GACGCGGCATTCTTCCGGGCACGGAGTACGGGCCAGCAAGGGGTACAGGTGATGATTATGGTTTGGATTACGCAGTTACCGTACACTGCGCCTGGGCTGACATGGAGATATGGCTGCAGCGAGGGCATGGAGGCTGACTACCACACATGGGAACTCCTCTACCACTCGGGGTTTACAGAGCGGGGCAGACACTCTGGGCACGGAGGAATGGACAGTGGCTGCAGCAAGCACACAGAGCCGGGCAAGCACACAGAGACCACACAGAGCCGGGCAAGCACACAGAGACCACACAGAGCCAGGCAAGTAAAAAACTTTTTTTTTAAAGTATATGTGTAGGCTATATTTGGACCATAAGACGCAGGGACTTTTTCCCCCCACTTCTGGGGAGGAAAAAGTGCGTCTTATGGTCCGAAAAATACGGTAATTTTTTTCTCTTGGTGCTTTTAATATTCTTGTCTTTTGCTCTTGACATTTTAATTATTATGTGTCCTGGTGTGGTCCTCTTTGGGTTCCTTTTGTTTCTGGTTCTGTGGGGGAAGTTTTCGGTCATTATTTCTTCAAATAGGTTTTCAATATCTTGCTCTCTCTCTTCTTCTGGCATCCAATAATTTGGATGTTGGTACGCTTGAGGTTGTCCCAGAGGCTCCTTACGCTATCTTCGAATTTTTGGATTTTTTCTTTTTGCATTTCTGGATGACTGTTTTCTGCTTCTTTGTATTTCAAATCTTTTGACTTGATCCTTGTGGTCCTCTAGTCTGCTGCTAAGTCGCTGTATAATATTTTAATTTCAGTTAGTGTATGTTTAACTTCTAGTTGGTCTTTTTTCATATCCTCAAGGGTCTCGCTAAATTGCCCTTTTCTAGGAAATTCTTGAAAAACCCTATAGCCGTGGTTTTGAACTCTATGTCCAGTCATTTGCTTTCCTCCATTTCTTTCACAATCTGTTTCTTTGTCTCCGCATTTTCACTGTTTCCCTAAGTTGGTAGAGTAGTTTTGTGTGCTAGGTGTCCTATAGGGCCCAGTGGCTCAGCCACCCAGTTACCTGAGGTAGACACTCTTGGTGCTCCCCTTTGTGGACTGTGTGCACAACCTTGTTGTAGTTAAGACTTAAAAAAAAAAATATATATATATATATATATATATATATATATATATATATATATATATATATATATGAAGAGAGAGGGATAGAGTTAGAAACATCGATCAGCTGCCTCTTGCACATCCCCCACTGGGGATGTGCCCACAACCAAGGTACATGCCCTTGACCGGAATTAAACCCAGGACCTTTCAGTCTGCAAGCCGATGAGCCAAACCGATTTTGGCGGTAGTTAAGTCTTAATAGTTGTTGGTACACTGGGAGGAATTGACTTGCAGGCCAATTGGCTGTGAGGATCAGCTGTGTCTATGCTGGGAGAACTTCTGTGCTGGAGACAACTTTAATTGCAAAAGCCTCTCCTGCTCAGCTTGGATGGGGCAGAGTCTCAGGGCAGAGCAGACAGCCTTGGCTTCCTGTCAGACCTTCAGAGTGCCCTATGAGGGCCCTGGGTCTGTGTCCTTTGGTAATTGCTGCAAGCACCTCTGAGAGAAAGCTGCCCTAGAGTTTCACCTGCTGCCAAACCATCCAGTTTCTCCCTGAATGGGTCCAGGTGCCCAGAGTCTCACCCGGAACTGGAGTTCAGTGCAGTTAGCAGCTTCCGTCTCCCTCCCACTTGAGAAAGCCAGCCTCACACTCAGCCGCCAGTCCTCTCTGCACTTGCATGTCCCTACCTCAGCCTTTTAAAGCTCCTCTGAGTCTCAATGTACTTTTCTCTTTCCTTCTAGAATTTCCACTCAGCCAGTTTTCCTGTGGTTCTAGATGATGTCTGTTTTGTCTTCCAGTTGTAGTTTTGTTTTTAATGTATTTTACTGATTTTCTAGAGAGGAAGGGGGAGGGATAGTTAGAAACATCAATGAGAAACATCCATCAGCTGCTTCCTGCACACCGCCTACTGGGGATGGATGTGCCTGCAACCAAGGTACATGCCCTTATCGGAACCAAACCTGGGACCTTTTAGTCCACTGGCCAATGCTCTATCCTCTGAGCCAAACCAGTTAGGGCTAGTTGTAATTTTGAAATTGTGTGAGGCAGCAGTTTACGTGTTTGCTTATGCCGCCATCTTGGTTTCTCCCAGAACTTTTTTTTTTGTTTGAGAATGATTACATTATCTGATGACATTAAGAAACTTAATATTTTTTAGGTGTAATGATATTGCAGTTCTTGTGTTTTAGAAACATATACTAAGACATTTATAATTAAAATGAAAGTAAAGTTCCATGATGCAGGATTGCATAGAAATTCCAAAAACAAGCAAGCATGCCCCGTAACAATGGGGATTTGCATCATTAGGTGATTTCATCATCGTAGGAAGATCAGAGTGCACTCACACAAACCTAGATGGTATAGCCTACTACACATCTAGACAATATGGCATAGCCTACTGCTCCTAGGCTACAAGCCTGTACTGCAAGTTACTGCACAAAACAGCATGAGATTAAATCAAGCACAAGTGAACATGATGTAATAAAGTGATGCAGTGAACACAAGATGTATGAGGCTGCTGCCAGTCAGTGTAGCAAGGCACAGTTTTATAGCAAACTTTTTTTTTTTTAAGCAGAAAGAGTATAATGATAAATAATGATAAAGGTAGAGTATGATAAATGCATAAATAGGATAGTTGTTTATTAACATCAAATATTGTGTATTGTACATAACTGTACATGCTACACACTTATATGATTAGCAGTACAGGTTTGTTATACCAGAATCACCACAAACATGTGAGTACTGCATTTTGCTATTAAAATGGCAATAGGAAAGGACACTCCTCTGGAGAAGCAAGAAAAGAGAATCCAGAAAGTTGAAGATAGTGTAGTTGTGCCTCTGGGACAACTTCAAGCGTACCAACATCAGAATTATGGGAGTGCCAGAAGAAGAGAGAGTGCAAGATACTGAAAACATATTTGAAGAAATAATATCAGAAAACTTCCGCCGCCTGGTGAAAGAAATAGACTTACAAGTACAGGAAGCTTACAGAACCCCAAACAAGAGGAATCCGAAGAGGAACACACCAAGACACATCATAATTAAAATGCCAAGGGCAAAAGACAAAAAGAGGATATTACAAGCAGCAAGAGAAAAACAGTTACCTACAAGGGAGTACCCATACGACTATCAGCTGATTTCTCAACAGAAACTATGCAGGCCAGGAGGGAGTGGCAAGAAATATTCAAAGCGATGAATATTGAGAACCTACAACCAAGATTACTGTATCCAGCAAAGTTATGATTCAGAATTGAAGGGCAGATAAAGAGCTTCACAGATAAGAAAAAGTTAAAGGAGTTCATCACCAACAAACCAGTATTATATGAAATGCTGAAAGGTATTATTTAAGAAGAGGAAGAAGATCATTTGAATTAAAAATCTGAGGAACAGAATAAACTGGTGTATTGGGGCAAAGAAAGGGAGTGGATTGATAATTATCAAGGGGAAAGGGGTGTGGGGGTACAAAAGAGACTGGATTACAATCGTATACCTATGGATGAGGACAATGGCAGGGGGTGGGGGGATGTAAGGGCAGAGGGTGAGGTGGGAATCGGGTGGAAAGGAGCTATGAGGGGAAAAAAGGAGAAACAATTGTAATAATCTGAGCAATAAAGATTTAAAAAAATTAAAATGCCAAAATAAATAAATAAAATGGTGATAGGAATTTTTGGCTCCATTTTCATCTATGGGACCACCCTCATATATGCAGTAGGTAATCAACCACAACATTGTTATGCAGCACATGATTGCAAAGGAGAGAGCTAAATGCTGGCTGGGAAAGGGCATGAAAAAAACAAACAAACAAAAAAACACATACACAAAAAAGCCCAACCTGTTTGGGGCTGTTTACTGTGAGCCAGAGTAGGTAGGGTTATGCCCACCCATGCTCACCAAGGTGGAATCTTAAACCCCAGGAAGATACTCTGCTTTGAGAAATTCCTTAAATGCTTAAAAGGGAAACAGATTCCTGACAGGACCAGCCTGAGCTTGGGATTTTTCTAAGAAAAAGCTCATAGATCATCTAATATTGAAAATATTCTGCAAGCACTTTTACAACACATTTTTTATTGAGCACCTATTTTCTATGCTACAAACTCCAGCAAGGCACTAAATGAAATACTAAAGTAAATAAGACAGCACTTAGTTGGTAGTTTTGAGACAGACATCGGTGGTTGGGAGGTTTCACCCAAATACATCATTACTGAGTACTTAACCAAGTGCTAGTTGTGACTGGTCTGAGATTTGGTTCCTCAGAACAGATATCTAAAGTTAATAAAAGCTTAATATGCTAATTGGACCCAACATCCAAACGACCTTCTGGACAAAGCCGGGGCTGTGAGGGCAGAGCCCCCTGCATCGGGCCTCTTGTGGTAAATAAGGAAGATCACAAAAATCCCTGTCCACAGATGCATCCTTTCCTGAAAATAAAGACTTCCTCTCTCTTAAAAGTGATGAAAAGCTACTTATTGGGTACTCTTGCCTTGACTGTAGACTTAAACACACAGACTATATCATTGTGATCTACCTTCCTCAAGAAAGTTTGGTATTGTGGAAAAACATTTTAAAAATAACTCTTTTAATGGTACGCTTTATCACAAACCGTGTGCTTTGCCAGCTGTTGGATGCTAAGGGTCCTTTCCTCTGCAAAGTATAAAATCTAGTGCGGTAAGACATCAGATGGTACCCATGGAAGCATCTTATAAAAATAATCAACATAAAGTTAATCAGATAACCTATATCCTCGTTTTCTGACAAAACATGAACAGATGAAAAACAACACAGCAGGAAACCAAGATCACCTTAAACATTGTATAGGACAGGGGATCAAAAAGCATAGGTGTGCAATGGTTCATTTAAAAAAACCGATACATTGAAAATAGATACTTTTTCAGAATGATTGAACTCACTAAACATCTGTAAACAAGAATAAATTTATTTAATTTCTTTTAAAGATTTAATGATATACAAAATGTATATAGTATAATATCTTTAATACATTTTTCTCCCCCCATCAATATGAAACACTTATTTAAACAGTTTATCTCTCTTCTTGCCTTGTCTGTATCTATGAGATACACTACTGAATACAAGTAAGATTTACACTGCTCTCTCCCAATAAAAATTAAAATTAGTACCTAGGAAAACAAAACAAAATGAAAAAAATATCAAAGCATAAAACTTTAGTCAGATGAAAAGCTTTTCTCGTTGTTGAGTATTCAACAATATCTGGGGCAGTTAAATTACATTTATTAGCACAAAGTTGCATTGCAATCTCCCGACATGATAATCTAACTCAATTTCTTAAATAAGTACCACAAAAAAATTCATGTTTGGATATTTCTACACAATTTTAAATATATGCAAGAGTTCATGTTTACATTCTGATTTGATATACTGGTCAACATAATCTTTGGAGAAATATGTAACTTCCAGGTTGCCACTAGAACTATAAATAGAAAAAAAGTACTTTAACTTTTCTCACAAGGTAACTTCCCTTGAGCAATGAGTTAAGTTTCTCCTTTGATATATTTAGGTTAAAGAAGTCTACGTGGCTTCCTTCTACTTATAATAACTTAATGAAAAAATGCTTAAAAACCCCCACTTATACTTCTGCACAATTCAGCTCTATTTGACAAAAAATTGGCTCTATCTTTAATTATGGAACCTAACCCTGATTCATAAAGTCTCTCTTAGAAAATGCTTGAGCTTATTTTTATTTTTTTAACTGAGGATTCATATACATCCCTGTGGATCTAGAATTATAACAAGTCATTACCTTTCCTGTGGCCAAAAAGCATCTAGCTGCAAACTAGTGAACCATGACTGAACACCCTAAAACACACTGAGGAAGATGTCCGAGTGCCATTTAACCCAAAGGCTGGGCGACTGCTTCATTTCGCTAGCTGAATGGCAGTCAAGCAGCAGCAAGTAACATCTGCACTGACACCTAACTTTGGTTAATGGTATTGCACCAGATGAGAGCGATCACCCTCATCAGAACAAAGTCAAATAAAGTCCTCTGCTTTTAAGAAGTTACAAATTCTAATTTTCTTTTACCTTTAAATTTTAACAGCTGCTAGCTAGCTGTACCCTATAGGGAGTTTCTGATTGACTAGTTTAATTGGTGAAAAAAACAAAAACAAAAAAGATTTGACCTTTTAACTATTCCAGAACTAGTATAATATTCAATTTGCACACACTTTTCTGTATTACAAAACAATTTCCTCCTGAATGAAAAGTGACACAGTAACATTGTTGTGAGGTGTAGGCAAAACCAATGATTCAGTTATAACATCAGACGAACAGAATGAGTTGATTCTGATTCTTTGGTGGAATCTCCAGGCTGAAGAGGCAAATCTGAAGGCTCCTCCGGAGGAAATATAACTTTATCAGGTGTATAGTCATTCCTCTTCAGGTCTATATTCACCACCCCAACAAAAAAAGGAGAAAAAAGTCAGTATTTCTTAGAAATGGAAAATTAAGAACATTTTTATATCAATTTTCATCTAAATATGCCAGATTTATTTTCTACCAGATTGTTATAAACTCAAAAGCCACAAGATATATAAACATAAAAATGAAATCATTCATTCATCAAATAATTGCTATGCTCTGACCATGAGTCAGTAACTCGTCTGGAGTGTGGAAACATAGCAATGAACAAGGCAGACCAGGTCCCTGTTCTCATGGAGTTTATTTTTTAGTAGATAAAAAAAAAACAAATAGATTACAGCGGGGAGAGTAGGGAGATCTGGGGGAGATAAGAGATCAACCGAAGGACTTGTATACATGCATATAAGTACAACCAATGGACACAAGACTCTGGGGAGGGAGGGTATGTATGGGGGGGGGGCAATGTTAAAATATATACACAGATAATAATTTAATAAAAATAAATAAATAAAATAAAATAAAACAAATAGAAAAATGACAGAATTATAAGTAGTAGCAAGTGCTTAAAGAAAACAATGTGATGAAGGCCACATTAGAGATGATATAAGGTGATTCCTCTAGAGCAGGTCAGAAAAGCCATAGGAGGCAACATCTGAGTAAAGGCCTGAATACTGAGAAATGACTATCAAAGCTTCAGGAGGAGTGTTCTAGGCAGAGGGAGGCTAACTGCAGACGGTAAGAAGGAAAGGAACTTGAAGTGTTCAAAGAATGGCAAGTCATACATTTATTTTTAAAAAAATTTAGCTAAAAACCATTTAACAAAGAAAACTTCAGATTTAGATGATTTCACTAGACAATTCTACCAAATATTTAAAGTAATTCCATGTATTATTTACCAATTAAAGAAGAAAAACCAAATGGTCACATAAATAGATGCAGAAAAAACATCTAACAAAATTCAATATCCACTCAGGAGAAGCATTTTCAAGAAACAAGTAGTAGTAGAATATGTCCTCAACCCAATAAAGCGCATCTACAAAATCCTTAGTTATCATCTTAATGGTAAAAAGACTAAATGCTTTCCCATTAAGATTATGAAGAAAAGCAAGGTGTTTACTCACATTATTCCTATTTAAGTAAAGTAAAAGGCATACTAGTTGGAAAGGCGGTAATAAAGCTGTATCTACTGCCCAGCTGGTATGACGTGGTGGCTAAGCATCAACCCATGAACCAGAGTTCATTGGTTCGATTCCAGGCCGGGGCACATGCCCTAGTTGGAGGCTCAATCCCTGGTAGGGGGCATGCCAAGAGGCAGCCAATCCGTCCATGTTTCTATCTCTCCATCCATCTCCCTTCCCCTCTCTCTTAAAAAAAAAAAAAAAAAAAAAAAAAAAAAATTAACCCCCTCCCCCCAAAAACCTATTATTTACTGTTTACATAGAAAATTCTAACAAGTTTATAAACAAAAACCTCCTAAAAATTTAGAACTAAGTTAGTTTAGCAAGGATACAGGATTGCAGGATATAAGGTATACAAAAAAAAAAAAAAAAGAAAGCCTCTATAATATAGGTATTTTCTGCCCTAGCTGGTTTTGCTCAGTGGCATCGGTCTGTGGAATAAAAAGTCCCAGGTTTGATTATGGTTAAGGGCACATGCCTGGGTTGTGTGCTCGATACCCAGGAGGGGGTGTGCAGGAGGCAGCCGATCAATGATTCCTTTCATCATTAATGTTTCTGTCTCTCTCTCCCTTCCTCTCTGAAATCAACAATGTTTTTTTAAAATATATTTTATTGATTTTTTACAGAGAGGAAGGGAGAGGGACAGAGAGCTAGAAACACTGATGAGAGAGAAACATTGACCAGCTGCCTCCTGCACACCCCCCACCAGGGATGTGCCCGCAACCAATGTACATGCCCTTGACAGGAATCGAACCTGGGACCTTTCAGTCCGCAGACTGACGCTCTATCCACTAAGCCAAACCAGTTTTGGCAAATATAGGTATTTTCTTGAACTATACAGTCTGACCCCTAAGTCCAACCTTTCCACGACTACATTACTGCTTATAATGAGAGGAACTTTTAAAAATGTAGCGTAAGGGTGAATCCTAGGAATTTGTAATTTTTTTAAAAAGTTCCACAAGAAATCCTGATGCACACCAAAATGTTAGAAACACTGGTTTATACTATAACTTATAATTCAATAATAGTTTGTAATTCTGGAGAAACCAAGATGGCGGCATAGGGTAGACACCTGAATGCAGCCTACCACAACAAATTTGAATTTAGAACTGGAAAACGGGAATAATCGCCTTGAAGCACCGGACGGCTGGCTGAGAGGAGGCTCTACCATCTGAGAAGGAGAGAGAAGGCACGCTGAACCTCAGGAACTGTGAAGGTGTGGAGAACTGTGGGCGCGAAAAGGTGGCTGCCTGACTTCACTGCTGGCTTGCTCCCTGGGCGCAGAGAGGGCAGACAGCTAATGTGCGGCTAGCTTTCTTGTTTGGGAGGAAAACAGAACCACCCTATTGCTCTGATAGACGGCCCCAGGCAGGGAGAGACCAGACTGTCAGACAGTGGGCAGAGATCTTTGGAGGTGTGTGAAGCCAGCAGCCATTACTGCGGGACTCAGAAACCAAAGCTTGTCTGCGCCTATACCAAAGAGGTGCGTGCGCCTGCAACCGATCTTACGGATTCAACAAAGCTTGCCTGTGCCACCCCGAGACTCTTCCCTATTCAACCGGAATACAGAAACCCTCCTAGCTGAGACACTTCTGATCCTCATAGCCAATTGGCTTGGAGATCAACGCTTCCCAGTGATACCAACAACAAACAAGGCTTAACAACAAGACTGCACACACAGCCACAAAGGGCTACACTAAGACTGTCCACCTCAGGTAACTGTCCACCTCAGGTAACTGGGAGGCTGACCAACTCAACCATATAGGACACCTTAGTACACAAAGCCACCCTACCAACTCAGGGAAGCTGTGAAAATGCCGAGACAAGGAAACAGATCACAAACAAAAGAAATGGAGGACAAGAAGTGACTGGATATAGAGTTCAAAACCACGCTTATAAGGTTTTTCAAGAATTTCCTAGAAAAGGCCGATAAAATAAACGAGACCTATGAGGATATGAACAGGGATCAACTAGAAATAAAGAATACATTATCTGAAATAAAAAATATTATACAGAGTCCTAAAAACAGAATGGAAGATCGTAAGAATCAAGTCAAAGATTTGGAACATAAAGAGCCAAAGGACACTCCTCCACAGAAGCAAGAAGACAAGAGAATCCAGAAAGTTGAAGATAGTGTAAGAAACCTCTGGTACAATTTCAAACGAACCAATATTAGAATTATGAGGGTCCCAGAAGAGGAGAAAGAGCAAGATACCAAAAGAATACTGGAAGAAATAGTGACAGAAAACTGCTCCCCACCTGGGGAAAGAAATAGACTTACAAGTCCAGGAAGCGCACAGAACCCCAAACAAAAGGAATCCAAAGAGGAACACATCAAGACACATCATAATTAAAATTCCAAGAGCAGCCAAAACCGATTTGGCTCAGAGGTAGAGCATCGGTCTGAGGACTGAAAGGTCCCAGGTTCGATTCGGTCAAGGGCATGTACGTTGGTTGTGGGCACATCCCCGGTAGGGGGTGTACAAGAGGCAGCTGGTTGATGTTTCTCTCTCATTGACGTTTCTAGCTCTCTCTCTCTCTCTCTCTCCCCCTTCCTCTCTGTAAAAAATCAATAAAATATATTAAAATTTCAAGAGCAAAAAACAAAGAGAGAATATTAAAAGCAGCAAGAGAAAAGCAGGTAGTTACCTATAAAGGAGCACCCATATGTTTGTCAGCTGATTTCTCAACAGAAGCCATGCAGGCCAGACGGGAATGGCAAGAAATATTCAAGGTGATGAATAGCAAGAACCTACTGCCAAAAATACTCTACCCAGCAAAGCTATCACTCAGAATCGAAGGCCAGATAAAGAGCTTCAGAAATAAAAAAAAAGCTAAAGGAGTTCATCACCACCAAACCAGAATTATATGAACTGCTGAAGGGGGTTCTTTAGGAAGAGGAAGAAGATAAAGATAAAAATTATGATCAACAAATACGTAACTATTATATCAACAAGTGAAACTAAAAGCCAAGGGAATTAAAAAACCTGATGAACAATATTAATTGGTGAATATAATAGAATCAGAGGTATGGAAGGGGAGTGGACTGACGATTCTCGGGGAAAAGGGGAGTGGGGGGTGCGGGAAGAGCCTGAACAAAAACCTATGGATGAGGACAATGTGGGGTGGGGAAAGGGCAGAGGGTGGAGTGGGAACATGGGGGAGGGGAGCAATTGAGGGGGGAGGGAAAGAGGAACATTTGTAATAATCTAAACAATAAAGATTTATTTTTTTTTTTTAAAGTTTGTAATTCTGGAAATACAAAAATAAAGTTACTATCCCAACAGAGTATATGTGTAGTTCCTATTCCTGCTTCATGGAATACTCTTTTCCCAACTCTTTAACAGGCTAACTTAAAAGTCTATTCCTCCTTCAGTTTTAGACAAAACTGTCAGTTCCCTTGGTAGCATTCCCTGACCTCTAGGTTTGTATTAGGTGATCTGCTTACCTGTTCTCTTTTTTCTGTTTGGCATTTATGACAGTCCTGTAACTCTGTTAACTTTGTCAGTTTTCAAGATCTGACTAAACTCCAGTGAGGGCAGGGACCATGCTTGACTAGTTCCCTATTATAGTATTATCAACATCTAGCACAATTCCTGGCTGTAGCACACACATAATAAATATATATTAAATGAGTTTACTTTGTGTTTTTATAAACAAAAAAAGCATAGATTAATTTATAGCCAACAACATATATTTGTGCCTCTAACCTTATAAAGTATTGCAGTAACAAGTTTTACTTAAAATGTACTATACATTATACTGATTAAGAAAATGTTTACCTGGAAGTTTAAGTTTTCTACAGCAAGAATTACAGTGATGTTTGGCTCTAAAGTTTTTTATTGCATCTTCTCCTAGATTTGCTGGGCCAAAAACCATATCACAGGATCTATGGCATTGATAGTTTAAATTAAAAAAGATTAGTTTATTCAAGTAGAAATATAGAACTTGAAATTATGAAATTGTCTTAATAAACTTATTAAAATTCATTACCTCTTTTCTTCCGCTTTTATCACAGATGGGTCAGTCAAATTTTCACCCACACCTTTATATGTATATGTAAAAAGTTAATTTATGTTAGGATTGATGAAATATTGACATTTGCGTAATAAAAATGAGATTTTATAGCAGCATTTACATAATTTTAAAATTATTCAAAAGAGTGTAGTTTTCCTCTCTTGATATTTCATAGCTTGTATTGACTTCCAACATTGTTCTCAGAACATAGCTCATGCAATTGTGACTCAGAGTTAAGTGTCAGAGTTGGTAGGTATGATCCTGATGGCATCAGCTTCTAATGCAACATGGCCAAGGTTGCAAACAAATATCTGCTTATATGAAAGATCTACACAATCTGCCATTGTTGCATTTCATTTAGCAAAGAAAAACTAGGGTCACAGAGGCATAATCTATAGGTCACTTAAAAAAACAGTAAACCTATTTTTGCCCCACTCTGTATAAATAAATCTTCCTAAAAAAGATTCAGGTAACATAAAGAATAGGAGTATGACCCAGCTGGGGTTGCTCAGTGGTTGAGCAACAGTTTGATTCCCAGTCAGGGCACTGGGATCCCAGTAGGGGGCATGCAGGAGGCAGCTAACCAATGATTCTCTCTCATCTCTCTTTCCCTTCCTCTCTGAAATCAATATATTAAAAAAAAAAAAAAAAAAAAAAAAAAAAAAAAAAGCTATAATGTAAAACTATCATCCAGGCAGAGCTAGAAACTTGCTCAGTTTTATTTACTTCTGGCCCTACCATGAAGTTGCACTGACATTACAATGAGCAAACCTGCTCTCTGCAAGCCACATTTTTTTTTTTTTAAAGAAATATTTTATTGGTTTTTTTTACAGAGAAAGGGAGAGGCATAGAAAGTCACAAACATCGATGAGAGAGAAACATCGATCAGCTGCCTCCTGCACTCCCCCCACTGAGGATGTGCCCACCCCAACGTACATGCCCTTGACCAGAAACGAACCTGGGACCCCTCAGTCCACAGGCTGATGCTCTATCAACTGAGCGAAACTGGTTTCGACTGTTTTTTTAACATGCTGCTCCACTGATCAAGTGCTGGTTTAAATCTGGGCTGTCCTCATTACTTGCCCTGAGCAGTAAAATGTGGTTAGAGGGATCTGGGCCAATTCTGGCCTGGCTCTGCTTTCTCTCTGAAAGAAACTAGCTACCATGAAAGAAGTCTAGCTACCTGAAACTCTGATGCTATGAGAAAGCAAAAGGAGCTAGTCACTTGGTGGAGAATTGACAAATTCCATCTGTCACTAAACAGAGACCTCGGCATTTGACTTCAATCAAGCTAGGCAAGCTAGTATCCAGTCATTCTGAGGGAACAACAGAGATAAACAATCCCCACTATGCCCCGTCCAAATTCCCCAACTAAAGAATACAAGCAAATAAAATGATTGTCTTAAGCCACTAAATATTTTGTTTTAAGCCACTAAATATTTAGGTAGTTTAGTTCACAATGAGAGATAAAACCTAACACCAGGACCAATAGATATACTTGTGTTTTAAAAAAATAGTCTTTATTTTTTTTAAAAGAGTAAGGCTACACATAAAACAGCAGAATAGGGTATTTTTGATTATCAAAATATCTCCATTACATAAATAATAATTAAGATAGATATATACCACGATTCAGGGCTCTGATGGCTATTTGCTACGGCTGTTATTGACTTGCTTTTAAAACAGGTTCTACTGGCCTAAGATTTTATCTACCTATAAATTAGCAGATTTCTGTACATTATTCATAACATATGAATAGTTGAGAACGTACTGCATAATTTCATCGATATTTCAATCGATTTACCTTGTAAATCAAGTACCAGCAACTCCCCTCTGGTATATTCATAAGTCCAGTGGCTAAAGGCTAACATGATCTCTTCCAGTGTATTAGTTGGAATAATCTCATCACCGTTATTATTATTGTATTTTCTAAATTCTCCAGTCATACATTCTTCCACAGCAAACCACTGTCCTGCTGAATGGCAATACAGCAGGAAAACTTCAAGGAACCTTATGAAAAATAGTTACAGATATTACTCGTTTTGTTTAAAAAGTTCTAGTTGATCTTTAAAATAAAGCAAATAATTATATATTCAACATCAATAATAAGATCAAAAGAGAATGCTATCCACATAACATTTATATATCCCAGAAAAATTTACAGACTTACCTCGGAGAATATGGTATGGATTTGGGTTTCATTTGGTTGAAGGCAAATGTGAGCTTCTGTGCTGCTCTCTGTTGCTGAATTTCCTACAAAACAGGAAAAACCCTTGTTCAATATCACCACTAAGATTTTATTTGGTTTATTATACTTTAGAAGTGAAAACATAATGTTCTGCCATTATGCATTCACCAGGACTTACTCTAAGACAGAGATGTAGAACCGTATCTTCTTTGTAAATACTTGACCATGTGTTGATAACCTCAGGAAGAAAAGATTTGATAATATAAAGATGCCCTGATTTGAGGATATCATGTTCTGACCAAGTACACTGTACTTTGACAGCTCTCCGTAAACCTCCTCCCATCTCTTCTTTACTTAAAAACTCTATTTTGGCACAGAGGCCTAACTGTGACCAAGAAGACATGCTGTTGTTCAGTATGCTGGGCGAACTCTCTTCCAAGCGATACACGGTGACGGGCTCACCTGCAAATGAATGAGTACATTTTGAGGTCAAATTATGACATTTTAAGAATGACAACGTAGGATAAAAATGGAAAGGTATCTGGTTAAGATGAAGGAATAAAAGAAATGAGCTAAGTTGTGTTTTATAAAGGGAAACTAACTTTTAGAAAGCGACCCAGACTAGTATACACTTTTAAGTTAACCTTTTAGACAAGAGGTTAGAAGTCTCTGTTCCACAAATCCCGTGATGTCAATTTATCTATTGCTTTCATTACTAGACAATGAATTATCTGAATTAGAGTACACCACTGCTTCTGGATATACAAAAACAGAAATTTAATACTTCTGATACATACATGACTCTTTTAGTAGTCAGGCTAATTAAATTTGTATGAAATCAACACTTTTTAGTGTGATTAGTCTATTAACACCCATGTCCTATGTTATAACTATAAATCATATATTAATGGAGGATTGATTTTTTCCCCTTTATTTCTTTAACTTTTGGATTTACCTCTTGGAGGCACAGGTGTAAATGGAATGCTCTGGGATAATCTCATCAGGTTATTTCTTTCCACAGCTGCATAAAAATGAGAGAGAGAAAATGAAATCCCTAAAAGCTAAAAATATTATTAAATTTTGTTTTTAATGTTACTGACCTGAGTAATAGTAATGTGTATCCATAACTGCCTTAAATGGAGAAGCAAGACCTAAAATATCAAACAAATGAGAATCTTTTAAAGGTACTAATGCAGTATAAATTTTTACTCCGACAGATATTCTCATACAATCATGTAATCTCTCTCTTCACAAAAACATAAAAAATGAAACATGTACATCATGTGCCATATTACCCCATTTCACTATGTCAGTTTAGTAGTAAGTGTGACCTCAGACACCTGGAGAAAAAGCACATACTTCACACTCTCCTGTCTTAAATGCATGTTTCTATATCCCATGCTCAAAAAGAGAAATATCTTTCAGTTTTGGACCTTTGGGGCTGGGGCCTGTGGCCATGTAATTATTTTACTGTGATAATCACAAAAAGATAAATTTCTGTAATGTGAAATATGAAAAAAAGCCCCTCCATCTCTAATTGAGGGCTTTACTTTTTAACTGTAGTGAGAAAGATGGAAAATAAGAGGAATATGCTATGTGTTAAGCTTCTAAAATGTAAATGAAAAATAACCTATTGTCTTGCAGAAGGAGGTTAGTCAAAAGTTTTAATGTTGAGAGATAAGCATATAGTATCTATATATGTAAAAGCCCAGCAACCAGAACGGCAGAACGACCAGAATGACTGATGGGTATGATATGCACTGTGGTAGCAACTGGCCTAATCCAGGCCCCAATGGGCCCCCAACACTCTGGACCCCACTCATGCACAAATTCATGCACTGGGCCTCTAATATATACTTAAGTACATACACACAAAATAGAACTATAGAGCAGGGGGTACCAAACGCCTCCTAGTTTAAGAGAGTTTGAAGGCTGATATAAAAATCATCTGTAGCCGAAACCGGTTTGGCTCAGTGGATAGAACGTTGGTCTGCGGACTGAAAGGTCCCGGGTTCGATTCCGGTCAAGGGCATGTACGTTGGCTGCGGGCACATCCCCAGTAGGGGGTGTTGCAGGAGGCAGCTGGTCGATGTTTCTCTCTCATCAACGTTTCTGGCTCTCTATCTCTCTCCCGTCCTCTCTGTAAAAAATCAATAAAATATATTTAAAAAAAATCATCTGTAGGGTTTTTTCAATGTATACCTACCCAAAGCTCACTCCAAACTATTCTAATTCTGTAGGTGTATATCATCATACAAATGACTCTCTACAAGTATTCAAATATGTAACCAAGATTGCAAATTAATGAGCAAGACGATAGGCTTAGCTAAAGGAGGTAAAGCTACAGTAGCAAGGAATACCAAATTGTTAAGAACCAAATATACTGTACTAAGAAAGAATATACTGTCATTGCAAAAACAAATATACTGTCATTGCTTTGTGCAATGACAGTGAGGAAAATGTAAAGCAGAGGAGTGACAAGATCAGATCTTTCAGAAGAATCATTTTGGTGACAGAATAGTAGACCAGAAGGGAGGACAAACTGGCACAACCACTTTGGAAACCTATTTGGCAGTAACTACTAAATGTGAACATACGCATACGCTACTACCTAGCAATTCCATTCCTAGGTATATTTACCAAACAACATAAACAAGAATGCTCCTAACAACACTATTGATAATAGCCACACCCTGGAAGCTACTGAAACGCTCTTCAAATAATAGTATGGATAAAAGTAAATTCAATATTTCCCCACAAGGAAATTGTGTACAGTAGTGAGAATGCTTAAATACCACTACACACAGCAATACTGATGGATTTCATAAAACATGTTAGGAGGAAGCTAGACATAAGAGTACATATTGTATAATTCAATTTATATACTACACACACACACATACACACACACACAACACACACACGTGTGCATGCACTCTCTCTTTCTTTCTCTCTCTCAGACTCATATAGACCAATCTATTGTGTTATTTGGGGACAGGGTTTCTAACAAGAGGACACAAGGAACTGGAATATTGGCAATATTCTGTTTCGAGATCTGGGGGCTGATTACATGGGTATGCTCACTTAGTGAGAATTCACTGACATGGAGGCTTATCTGCACTCTTCTGTATACATATTATCCTATCTAATAAAAGAGTAATATACAAATTGATTGTCACTCCAACACACAAGATGGCTGCCCCCATGTGGACACAAGATGTTCGCCACAAGATGGCCTGCAGGGGAGGGCAGTTGTGGGCAATCAGGACAGCAGTGGAGGGCAGCCAGGAGTGACCAGGCCAGCAGAGGAGGGCAGTTGGGGGGCGACCAAGTTGGCAGGGAAGGGCAGTTAAGAGCGACTAGGTTGGCAAGGGAGGACTGTTAGGGGTGACCCAGCCAGCAAGGCAGGGCAGTTGGGGGGGACCAGGCCTGCAGGGAAGGGCAACTTGTGGCAACCAGGCCTGCAGAGGATAGTTAGGGGCAACAAGGGTGGCAAGGGAGGGAAGTTAATGGTGACGGGGGCAGCAGGGGACGGCAGTTGGGGGCGTCCAGGCCCGCAGGGGAGGAGTTATGAGCAACCAGGCCTGCAGGGGAGGGCAGTTGGAGGTGACCAGGCCAGCAAGGAAGGGCAATTAGAGGCAATGGGGCTAGCAAGCAAGCATTTAAGTATCAGTCAGGCTGGCAAGGGAGTGGTTTGAGGCTGGCAGGCAAAAGCGTTTAGGGGCAATCAGGCAGGCAGGCAGGCGAGTAGCTGAGAGGCAGCATTCTGGATTGAGAGAGAGATGTACGACTGCCCAGTGGAACCGGGCCTAAATGGGCAGTTGGACACCCCTTGAGGGGTCCCAGATTGGAGAGGGTGCAGGCTGGGCTGAGGGACACTCCGCTCCCTGCCCTGCATGCATGAATTTCATGCACTGGGCCTCTAGTACACTTCAATAAAAGGTTTACTGATAAAAATGATGAAGTTATAAACTGAAAGGAGGATGTATAGTGGAAGATAAATTCTAGACACATTTAGGAAGTAACTACAAAAGGACTTTGTGAGTACAAGGTCAAGGGGATGAAGAATAACTACCACTCAGGTTTCAACTACCTAACTGAAAGGGCATCATTCACTAACATGGAATATAAGGAAAGAAACAGGCCGAGCTGCAAGGATGAAGGGGGTGGGTGGTAGTAAAGAGGTCATCATTCACACAGTGACTTCATGTGTTTGTGAAACATCTATATTGAAGAAAAGCTAGTTGAGTGAAGAACTTTGTATTGCATTGGCTTTTTAAAACACAAAGCCTAAAATTTTAGGATAATGTAGTACTTGCTATAATAAATCATATATGATCCTCACTTTTTTCATAATAAATCTACCACATGGACTCACCATTTAATGTTCCTTCTTCAGAGGGTCTAAAAAAAAATACCAAAAAATATATTGTAAGTTATTTTACAATTTTAGTTTTAGCTTCCCATAATTTTTTACTTCATGAAATTATGATTTAATACGTTACTAAGGAATTCTGAGGTTCAGATTCACTTTTTAAAATTTTAATATATTTTTATTGATTTTTAGAGAGAGGGAGAGGGATAAAGAGATAAAAACATTGATGAGAGAGAATCATCTATCGGGCTGCCTTCTGCATGCTCCCTACTTAGGTTCAAGCCTGAAACCTGGGCATGTGCTCCAAGTAGGAATCAAACCTATGACCTCTTGGTTCTTGGGTTGATGCTCAACCACTGAGCCACACTGGCTGGGCCAGATTCACTTTTGTTTAAATATTTGCCCTTTCCCTTAAGCCAATGCTAAATGCATACATGAATATGTAAATATCCATATGCATATACTTTATCAACAACCTGCACCTCCAATTCATGTCTATATAAATATCAGTAGTCTGGTGTCAAACTGATAGTTCAATACTAATAATATAATATTCCGTGACATCTCAATTAATGGAGACTCAATATAACAATGCCTTAAAATGACTATAGGATTTGAAAAATAGTTCAATAGAATTGATGGGCAAAGAACTGAGAAAAAAGTAAATAGATGACATTTTGCAATATTGAACAAAATTTTTTCAATACTGAATGTATTATTCATATCAATGCATAGAAGTACTAAGTGTGGAAGTTCTGTTAATTCCATGATTTCAGTACAAATGACAGAAATAGGTATAAAGGAGAGTGAAATGGAAAAGGAAAACTGGATTAGAGGCTTAGCTCTCCCATTATACAGCTCTGTGCCTTGCTAAGGGCTGAAAGTAGAGGACCTTTGTAGTCTCTTTCTACTTGTTACATTCTATCTGATCCTGATGTTTCCTGTTGATTTGTAATAACATAAACATTTTTATAACTATATTGACCCTAGCATCATTCTTTACTGCTAAGCCACACTTTTCTCAGCACCCAAAGAATGCTGACCAGCTCCACCTTTCTGGGTACTCCTAAGGATCAACATCTTAAGACAATGATCCCTTACTAGCTAAATTAAATCAATTTTGTCCTAGCCAGTTTGGCTCAGTTGGTGGGAGCATCGTCCCATTTATTGAACGGTTGTGGATTTAATTTCCAGTCAGGGCACAGATGGGAGGCAACTAATGTTCTCTCTCACATTGATGTTTCTCTCTCTCTCCCCTTTTCTAAAATCAATAAGCATACCCTTAGTTGACGATTAAAAATAAACTTTAAGTACCTATTATGTACTTTACTTCTATGGTTTTGGCTATAAAAGATAGTATTCTCTGAGGAGGTATGATATAGAAAACTTTTCCAAATGCCTTTCAGGGCCAGGGTACCCAAAGTATCTCAACAAATGCTTATTATCCATGGGGCATTTGATTTATTTCCTTCTGAATATATTCACATCTATTTTTGATGCACAGAAGGAAATGGGGGGAAAGACTGGAATAATCTTCATCAAATTGGCTTCCCTTCCAAGTTGTCCATATCAGAGTGTAACTCTATTTTACTTCTAGTATCAGATGGATATCAAAGGCTTTTTTAAAATGTTCTTTGGAATCCTAGCATACTAATTCCCAAGCTGGAAACACAGAAATTCTCTTTTATTCTTCTTTATCTTTAATCTATACTAAAAAATTATTACTTTCTGGGGATGATTACCATCTGATTGTCTTTTGTTTCCAGCCTTCTAGTGGGTCCCCTGTAGAGAGGCTCTATGTGTATTACTGCTCTAATTATCAAAGTGCTTTCCAAAACCAGTGCAAGGTTTGTTGCTTAGAATGATGGGCAAAATAATTATGAAAATGCAGAACTAAAGTGTCAAACGAGGTCTTTGAACAAATTTATTTAAGATAAGGTGGAAAACAAAACTAAATAATAAATTTATAATTGTATCATTATAAAGATGATTTTAGTAGTTGTAATTATAATCTGACTATAATTATAGTATAACTAGATAAAATTATAAATTTAAATTAATAATTAACTCAAAATGAACAAGTTTCCCCAACCTCTTCTATGTTAAGACAGGAGATGCTAAAATAATCATTACTGGTTGATAAAGGAGTGTTACAGGAATGATGCAAAAAGGGAAAAAAAAGACTATACTGGACAGGCTAATGATAAGAAAAGGCTTACTTACATTTCTCTGTCAGATGGTCTATCTTGTAACCAATCCTTTAGTCAAAAACAAACACAAACAAAAAGTTAAAAAAAATCTCCAGATTAATCAGAAATGTTTAGCTGTTTTGTTTCCTGTTTTAAGAATGAAGGGCTAAAAATATAATAATAAATAATGCCATTTCACACAATGGAATAAAGAATTTCATGAGTGTTATCTCCTATAACATAGAGCCTAGCTTTTGGTAGCTATTTTCTTTAAATATGCATCTGTTTCTATGACTTCAAAGATAAGATTTGCCCCTTGCCAAAAGAAAAACACATCAAAGTGTTAAGAGAAAAATTAGCTTGACTGGTGTGGCTCAGTGGTTGAGCATCAACCTATGAACTAGGAGGTCACGTTCAATTCCCAGTCAGAGCACATGTCCAGGTTGCAGGGCTAGATCCCGCCCTTGGGACATGCAGGAGGCAGCCGATCAATATATTCTCATTACTGATGTTTCTATCTCCCTCTCCCTCTCTCTGAAATCAATTTTTTTATATATATATATATATATATATATATATATATATATACACACACACACACACACACACACACACACACACACATATATATTTTTTTAAGTATAAAAAAAGAGAAATTAAAATATTGCAAATTGTGAATAAAGAAATTACTAGTGCTGGGATCGGTTTGGCTCAATGGATAGAGCGTCGGCTTGGGGACTGAAGGGTCCTGGGTTTGATTCCGGTCGAGGGCATGTGCTTTGGTTGCGGGCATATCCCCAGTAGGGGGTGTGCAGGAGGCAGCTGATCGATGACTCTCTCTCATCAATGTTTCTAACTCTCTGTCTCTCTCCCTTCCTCTCTATATAAAATCAATAAAATATATATTTTTAAAAAAATTACTAGTAACATTTAGGCACTTTTCATTGAAGTCTATCTGTGTGTATATGGTTTTCATTCGGTAGTTTTATAGCTGTGGATTTATTTTTACTACCCCAGTTTGGACTACACTTCCTGAATTCAAATATACATATATATTTCAGCATTTTGCAAAATTCTAAGCAATTTATAATCTATTCAAATTCTGTCTAGCCTTTCATGACCAATTTAGAGGTATTTTCCATTTCTTTGTTTAGTATATTTTCCATCTATATATAATTTTACATTACATTCTGGTCCAATTGGGCAATTCTCTGTTCTGCTGTGCCTAATCTATTATTTTCACCTCCAATAAGTTCTTTATTTCTAGATTTTTTTTTTCCAAATTTGCCAGTCTTTTTGAGTAGTATTTTTTCTTTTTTTCATTATGTGTAATACTCTCTTTTATGGCTTTAATTACTTTATACTTTACAATCTGTAACCAATAATTCTGCTATCTTCAGTTGTTAGAGTTCTAATACTATCTGTATAAAGTTGACTCCCAAGAACTTCGTTGTTCCACTTATTTATTGCATTCATTGGTTGCTTCTTGTATGTGCTCTGACCGGAGGTCTAACTTGCAACCCTGACATATCAAGGACAATGCTCTAATCAATTGCGTTACTGGCCAGAGCTGACTCCCATGAGTTTTATAATTTGACACTGTGAAGTCATTTTCAATGGAATTGTACTTGGGGCAATATTGTGCAGCTTAAGTCCAAGATGGATCCTTCTAGAAAAAGTAATTGTGGCTGTGAAACTGTTCATGAACTCCCTTTCCCCATTCAAGTAACTTCTCAAAAAATATGAATTTTAATAATATAATCTATCTCTGTATAGTTGAAAGTTAATAATATTCTTGACTATCCAGGATCATAATTGAGAGCACTGATTTCTGTACTTAACTATAAAGAATTTTTCTGCTTTCTACCAGAGTCTGCTTTTAAAAAGGGTTTATAAAAGCAAATATTACCTCAATTGGCTGGAAATTACTTCATATAATAAGTTTTAATTCAAACAGGTTCCTACCTTTCTTTTTCTGAATAATTCTTTTTTTTTTTTTTAAAGAATTCCTGGCTATTCACTACAGGAGAAACTCTTTTCTAAAACTACCATAGAGATGTCAGTTTTCTCAGGTAAAAATTATTTTGAAAGCCAGATATAATCTTAGATATCACCATCTTTTAGCTCTTCTCTAACAAATGTGCATTTAAAGAGACTCATTGTTTAGTTGAAATGTACAAACCGGTAGTAGAGCTGCTTTGGAGTCTACTTGAGTTTCTTCTGTAGATGGCCTTCTACTGCTGCTTTCCACTTAGAGAAAATTGGAAAACAAAAGTTATACAACTTAATATTTTTACAAAAAACAACTAACTGAACACAAAATGTTTCTAGGCATAGTATAACATTCATATGACAATTTATCCTTTCCTAAGCTCTGCTGAACATCAAAATTACACGAGGCCCATGGGTTTCTTGGCAGGACATCAAAATTACTCAATTTATTTTTGTGAAAAGGCAATAGGGAAACAAGAGTATGAAGAAAAAAAGTCTTGCTTTTCTTCCTCTCTTCCCACATTTCTTGTGTATCCTTTCAGGGATATTTTGGGTGTTTGTGTCTATGTATATATACCCCCCACTTCCCTCCATTTTTTACATAAATGATAACATAATATTCATTATAGTAGAGGCCCAGTAAATGAAAATTCATGCACTAGAGAGGAGGGATCCTCTCAGTCCAGGATCCCTAAGGGGCGGGAGGCAACCAGGCGATCAGGGGCAGGTGAGAAAGCATACCCCTGCTACCGCCATTTTAAGCAGCACAAGCCTTGGCCAGCCTGGTTACCTGAACCTCGGGCGGCTGGGCAGCTGCCATTTGAGGCTTGCCTGTGCCTCAGGCCAGCCCTGGGCGGCTGGAGGGCTAAAGAGGATTGGGGGGACTTTGATGGGGCTGAGGGGACTTGGTGTCACCATCTTGTGGCTGTGGGGGCTGCCATCTTTGAGGGTGTGACAGTCAATTAGCATATTCTATCCTTATTGGCTGTGGGCACTGCCGTATTTACGATTGTGTGAGGTCCATTTAGCATATTCCCTCTGTTAGATAGGATATCTTAAGAAACTTTGGTTGTTGGATTTTAAAGCTTAACCATGGAGATCTGTGTTATATTAGTACACAAAGTTCTATTTTATTTTAATACTATATTGAACTTCATACTCTGGATACATAATAATTTATTTAACCAAACACCTATAGGTGGACATTTGGTCTGATTTCATTATCTTGCCTAAAACAAACCATGTTGTAATTAGTAATTTTGTTGATGTATCATTTCATTGTAATGGCAAAAACAGAACACCTCATCTTTCATCCTGATTTAAGATGCTACATTTGTCATACGTATTTTGTTGATTCTAAACAAACTAGAAATAAGCCTATTTTTTTTTAAATTAGGCTGTTAAGTTATAAATTAACTTGGAGAGAATTTACCAATAATAATACAATAAATGAAAACCACTGAATAAATGGTGAATGAAAATCTTCTAATAAAAATTGTATTCCAAAGGCAAAAAGACCAGACTGAAATATATTAGAAGACTACGGGCAAAACTTTTTCAAGATAATGAAATTGACAGAATACCTTGAAGAAATTTAGCCAAGTAGCAGAGAATCTTGTGTTCATTTAATCAAAATTATGATATAACTATACTGTTGGAAAAGGGCAAGGGTGTATATACGGGGAACAGTGAGGTGTGTGTAGGTGGAGGGGAGGGGGAGTTCAAGCATTGCCTTTTTTAGTGAAAGGTTAATAAATATTGCCTAAAACTGAAATATGAGAGTATAAAAATTATAAGCACATTAACTTTAGAAATAACATCCATGTTATCTGAAAATAATGAGTTTAATTTCTTTCCTCCTAATCCATCTACCATTTCTTTTCCTTCACTGATTGCTCTGGCTAGAATGTTAAATAGATCAGCCAGAATTCTTGTCTTGTTCCCCACTTAGGACTTTTAATACTTCAATATGAAGTGTAATATTTGTGATAACTACTTTTTGGAGATATACTTTATTCAGATTAACAAAACTCATATTTTTCACTTTTCTAAGAGTTTTAATCATGAATGAATGTTGGTTTTCATCAAATGCCACCTCCTATTGGAAACAAGCCAGCAACTAGGGCATGTGCCCTGAAGGTAATGAAGCCCAACTAACTGAGCAACACTGGCCAGGGACATATTAGCTATTTTTAAAAGTTAAATTAGAAAAACAGTTTGACTAAATTACTGTACAGATAAAAGTTTCTCTCTCATCAATGTTTCTATATTTCTATTCCTCTCCTTCCCTCTCTCTAAAATCAATAAAAACATTTTAAAAAGTTAGGATTGTGTATTTTATTCAAGGTTACAGCAACACTGATGTGTCAGAATCTTCACTTTTTGACTCAAGAAACATTCATTACTCATATGTGTGATATACATAAAATACAGTTAAAGCTTAAATGTGTATGGTTGATAACACAATTCAGAGTCAAAACACTCACCTTGCTCTGAATGAAGAGGAATAGAAGTTTGGTAACACTCAGTAAATCCAGCATGAGAACTTAGGTGTTTCAAAGTGTTTTCAGAAGGAATATCATTCTGTATATTGTACATAGACACAATTTAAAAACAATTAAAATTAATTTAAAATCATTGTCCTAAGTAGATCTATTTAGAAGGGTATATTACAAATTACAATTATTTTCTTCAATGTTAATATAAAAAAAATGCATCAAAATATATTGATGCTATTGTTGCTCCTATTTTATACTAACATAGTGATAAGTGATTTGGGGGGGGGGTAAAGAGGGAGAAGGGCAATTTCTTTGGGGGTGCTTTGGTAACATTTTATTAGTTTCTATGAGTTATTTATATAACAAAGATCTATCTGACCATTACTTGTCAAATTTTTTTTTTCTTCTAAATTACTTTGACTTTCTATGCTTTACATTTTTAAGTACTCAAATCTCCTTACATCCTTCCCTTAATATTTTCTATTCTTTATATGCTTAGGAAACTGCACTGGTTTTATATAATTAAGTTTTTGTAATTTGAATTTTTACATTTAAATTTGGAATTCATCTGAGCTTATAAAGTGATATGAGAAGATAAACAGACTTCTACACATTTCTACCCAATTGTCCAATTTGTATTCATTGACAATAATAGTTTCTAAACCAACCCTCCTTATTAAATTCTTATTTGTAGAAGGATTATTTTGGAGTCACAAAACTGTTTTGCTAAAATATTCATGTTTCAACTGTTCTACCTGTATATTTTAGTATTCAATAGCTAACTATTCTTCTTTTACCAATTTATTTTTCCGGATAAAGTAATGAAATGCATTAAAGTAATATGGAGAAGATCTGATAGCTTCACATTGTTTCCTCTTTTCATCTATAAAGAGGTCACACTATAATGAAACTTTAAAAGTACTTTTATATATATATATATATATATATATATATATATATATATATATATATACACGCTATGCTGCAATGACACATTAGTTAGAAAATCTAATGGGGGATTGATGAGTGTGTTTCAAGTTATTTGTAAAAATCTATGCCTTAATAGAAAAATTTTTGTATATGTTCATTTTTCTGTGAAGAGAATCTATAGTTTTCAGATTTGTATATAACCCACAAATGTTCAAGAACTCAGTTTCTTACCATCATGAGCTAGAGCTTAATATTCTAATACAGTCTGTGTTCTTTTCCACTAATTAAATTACTCAAAATTATTTAATTCAAAACATAGCTACCAGTTTTCTGCCAATTCACGGAAACCTGTAATTCCTTTTTGTTTTTACCAAGTTATCTGTTCATTTAAAAATTTTCAGCATACTTCTACATTAAGTCCATTTAGTAATAAGTTTACTGTTAAAAGGTGAAATCTGTGTGGGGAAACCCTGACGCTTACCCTTTCCCATTAAGAAATGTCCATTTAATAGCTAAGATTTAGAAACAGCCCAAGTGTCTATCAGTAGATGAGTAGATTAAAAAACTGTGGTACAGCCGAAACTGGTTTGGCTCAATGGGTAGAGCGTCGGCGTGGGGACTGAAGGGTCCCGGGTTCGATTCTGGTCAAGGGCATGTACCTTGGTTGCGGGCATATCCCCAGTAGAGGGTGTGCAAGAGGCAGCTGATCAATGATTCTCTCTCATCGATGTTTCTAACTCTCTATCTCTCTCCCTTCCTTTCTATACAAAATCAATAAAATATATTAAAAAAACAAACAAAAAAAAACCTCAACAAGTGATACCTAAAATGTATACCTATAAAATAAATAAATAAATAAATAAATAAATAAATAAATAAATAAAACAAAAAAACAACAACTGTGGTACATCTACACATTGGAATACTATGCTGCTGTAAAAAGGAAGGAACTCCTACCATTTGCAATAGCATGGGTGAAGCTGGAGAGCATTATGATAAACGAAATAATTCAGTCAGAGAAAGATAAATATCACATGATCTCATTCATTTGTGGATTATAATGAACAACATAAAATGATGAACCAGAACAGATCCAGAGACAGAGAAGCATCAATCAGATGTTCAAACCTCAGAGGGAAGGTAGGGGAGGGTGGGGGTAAGGGGAAAGAGCTCAACCAAAGGACTTGTATGCATGCATATAAGCCTAACAAATGGACACAGACACCAGGGAGGTGAGGAAATGAGTGAAGGGGGTGTGGGAGAGAAATGAGGGGATGGATAAGGACACATATGTAATACCTTAATTAATAAAGAAAAGAAAAAAAGAAAAAAAGGAAATGTCAATTTTGCCCTGGCTGGTTTGGCTCAGTGGATTGAGCGTTGGACTCAAAATTATTTATCGAACTGGAATGTCCCAGGTTCGATTCCGGTCAAGAGCACATGCTCAGGTTGCAGGCTCAATCCCCAGTAGGGGGCATGCAGGAGGCAGCCAATCATTGACTCTCTCTCATCATCGATGTTTCTCTCTCTCTCTCTCTCTCCCTCTCTGAAATCAATAAAATTAAAAAAAAAGAAATGTCCTTTTATCCTAAAGGATTTCCTGTATATAGCAAGTGTTTCACAACAGCAAAATGATGCCACCTAGCTCTGGCTGGGTAGCTCCACTGATTAAAGTGTCATCTGGTGCAAGAAAAGGTTGCAGGTTCAATTCCTGGTCAGGACACTTACCTAGGCTGTGGGTTTGATCCCCAATCAGGGCTCATATAGGAGGAAGCAGACTGTCTGTCTGTCCCTCCCAAATCAATAATTCTATCCTTGGATGAGGATAAAAAAAAGAAATGGCACCTATGGGAGATGATCCTGTTGTGACACCTTGTTATATACATGTGCCCTGACAAGGAATTGAACGGGACCTCCTGGTTCTCAGGCTGACACTTAAACTTTGAGCCACACCGGCTGATTCAAATAATCAATAAACTCCCAAGATTATTTTATTCCTTTTAGTTTAAAAAACTAATATACACTAAAACACACATATCTTAAGTGATAAGTTAGAGAAGAGATTTAGCAATATTTCTTTCCTACTCAAAATATTGGACAACCTTCTATCAGTCCTCCTATCACAAAAGAAATTATACTTTTATGCCTAAGATTATCATTTTAAGTGCTCAATTTCACCCTATCCGAGTCTTCTTGTTTTTGAAATAATTCCAATCAGCTCTCCCTCATTATAAGAAACTAAAAGATTAACCAAGAGATGCAATTATTTAAAACTTTAATTTTTTCATTTCATATTAAAACATTCATAAATCTGTTTTCTAAGCAAATTAAGAAGAAAAGCCTTTAATAATTCTGCTACTCATTCAAGCTCTTGAACTACCCTGTTACTGTTGAATATAGTGATATTAATTCCTCTATCCCTTACAATCTTCACAATTTTTATTTTGAACCTCCAATATACTGAAATTGCATTATTGTAGGCCACCTAATTCAGTGGTCTAGGATCTTATTCTTCTAGATTTCTCTAAAGTACCAGCAATCATTACATATTCTCCTTTCTTGAAATCCCCCTGCATTGATTCTGTGATGGCTGCTTCAACATCATAATAACTGTCATCTTTGTGAATATTACTTCATTATACCTTTTTCTTCTCTTAATTCTTAAGAAAAGGGAACATTTGCATCTTAGTTTACTCCTCATCTTTAGCTCCTCCCTTTTGATGACATCCTATATCAATATATATCATTGACGTTCATTTCTCTCATAAGCTGTAAGTCTTGTATTTTTTCCTACCATTCAGAAACTCCTGCTTGGCTTGCTGTTCTCACATTTAATTATTTTAAACAACATAATTATTCCCATACTAATTCATACTTTTTTAAAAAAATATATTTTATTGATTTTAGAGAGGAAGGGAGAGGGAGAGAGAGATAGAAACATCAATGATGAGAGAATCATTGACTGGCTGCCTCCTGCATACCCCTCACCGGGGATGGAGCCCGCAACCCAGGCATGTGCCCTTGGCTGGAATCGAACCTGGGACCCTTCAGTCCGCAGGCTGACGCTCTATCCACTGACCCAAACCAGCTAGGGCTCATACTCTTTTGAATATGCTTTTCTACACATGGTTCTACAATAGTTCTACTATTATTTGAACTTAGAAACTCCTTTTCATTTCCATGTGTTTCCAGATATTATTATCTCTCCTGAATTATGGATTAAATTTCCTAGTAAGTCCCCTGTGTCTATGGTTATTCCCATCCATCTTATACAGTGCTGCGGGATAAGTGGTTCCCATAAGGATAACCAAAAATGTTCAATGGCTTCTTCCCTTGATTCTAACAAATTTTTCAAAATATTTCACTTGATATTTAAGCAGTTATATATCTGGCCCTGTGGCACAAACTGCAAATGATCTAGCAAAATTCAATCTCCTCCACTTTATTCAAGCAGCTAAATACATTTCCAAACTTCCTTTACAGTTAGGTGTAATCACATGATTAAGTTCTCTCCCTTTGAATTTCAGAATAAATGATGTATGCTATTTCTACGCCTGGTTCATAAAAAGTTCTGTGCTTTTCTGTGTTCTATTATATTATATGACCTTAGTGGATAGCAGAGCCATACAATGAAAAGGCTAGTGTTAGCCTGCTTTCCTGAATGACTGGATGAAGAACCACCATCCCACTGAGCAAGGAATATACTTCTACTCAACTACCTTCAGACTGGACCACTGCACTGCCCTATCTCCTAGAACTTCCTCAGATGAACCTATTCACTAGCAAAACTAACATTTGTTTTACCATGTTCTACATATCTTCTGTCTCTGCTTCACTACTATTTATGCTGCTTCTACCTGAAACACCTTTTTATCTAAAGAACTGCCTACATATCTTTTCATGGCTTTCAAAATTTTGCCTCCTTTATGAAGTCTTCTCTGATGTCTTCATCTTGAAATATTTACCTCCACTAAATAAGTATATGTAACTACAAGATTTATAGTCTTGGGTTATAGTCATATAAGTGCATAGGTCTAGGGTCAAAGGCAATTTCAGGCACAGACTGATAATCTATTTAAGTTTTATCAATAATGCTAAAAGGTATCAAATACTTCCCAAATTCTAGTACTCCAAGTATCCAACTACAAAATTAAAACATTTAAAATATATATTTCATTGATTTTGTACAGATAGGAAGGGAGAGAGGTAGAGTTAGAAACGTCGATGAGAGAGAGTCATCGATCAGCTGCTTCTTGCACACCCCCTACTGGGGATATGCCCGCAACCAAGGTACATGCCCTTGACTGCAATCGAACCCAGGACCCTTCAGTCCCCAAGCCGACGCTCTATCCATTGAGCCAAACGGGTTTCGGCCAAAATTAAGACATTTAAAAAATTACCTTCACTAATAAAAAGTGAACAAATATACCATCCAAATTATAATGTATGTCACACTTGTACAGCTAAATATACTGTTCGGAAGAAGTAAAATAAGAGATAATGAACTCTCTTACACTAGCACAAATAAACTGAATAACTGAGCAAAATAATATAGTGAGTATGGATTTTTAATAAAAGGATATATGCATATAGAAAAACATATATGAAATTTTAAGCTTAAATAATTCCAATTATAAACAGCTCTACTAAAATTTATAAAGGCCCATAAACACTTCATTTACTTAAAAAATCCACTACAGTTAAAACATGTTCAAGAAAAACCTTATATGGAATGTATACATATCATGTCTACATTTTAAGAATTATTAAAATCAACTTTGGTAGAGATTTGTTTTTCTTTTTACTTATTATTATTTTTCATTCCTTTCTTCTTCATTCCAATCTTTTCATTTTCATCATCATATGTCAGCTAAGGCTACCTACCTAAATGCACTCAACCCATTTATGTAGTTCTCTCTTTTGGTCATTATATATAATGAAAAAAATCCAGATCTTTAGAAGTATGCCAGAGTTAAAATGGTTAGAAAACAACATGTAAATTATAATTTTATGGTAAGTCCATTGAACTTATACCTACTCCTTCCATCTAAAGGCATAGGTATATTTTTAATTGACTTTGACTCCCACAAATACTAAAGAGAATTTGCCTGATATTTAGACAACTCTGAATACTCCAGAATCATATTTCTTATATCATTCTGCTGGACCTATTTGAGATAAGAAATACAAACTTAAAGGCCAATATGAAAACAAAAAGCACCCATGTAATTATTCTATCTCAATTTGCATATCATCACTAATTAAATCTCAAGTTAACAAAATCTAGTTAACAGACATTAAGCATAAATTATTTATTTTAGTAAAATACTTCAATCAGAATATGTTATTAAATATACAAATGTTAGTATTTGTATCATTAAAATGCATCTGAATCTTTCTTTTATATGCAGGACAATAAATGACATGTTCTGACAGTAATTACACAATTAACTATGGACATCTAAGAATAATCACTCCTAAAAACTGGCTATAGCTTTGTTTTTCATTACATTTGTCACCTGATTATTTTCACTTCAGTTCTTTAAAGAAAGGAGAAGCTTAATATTTCTCTAGTCTTTTTTTTTTAACCAGTTAACTGCCACGATAATTAAAAAAGGTCCACTGTGTGTGTCTACAAATGCTTATGGTGTTCAAATGGTTAAAATGTGTGTGTGTTTTTAATTGACTTTAGAGAGGGATAGAGAGATAGAAATAGAGAAATATAGTATTATTGGTTGCCTCCTATACACCCCCTACTGGGATTGAGCACTCAACCAGAGCATATGCCCCGACTAGGTATTGAATCTCAATGGGATGCATGGCTTGACACTCAACCAATGAGCAACACCAGCTGGACCTCTTGTCTTCTTAATTTCCTTCCTGTAACTACGTTATAACCTCTGAGGCTCTAAATAGTTATGGCTAATTTATCATATGAAAGCAACAGGTAAGAACAAAAACTAATTTTCTGCCAGGAAACAAAACTTTTGTTGCCAGTTTTCTCTATATTTTAAAATTTACTTAAAAAACACTTATTGAATATGCACTTGCACATTATATTATAGTTACTGGCATATCTATTTTATTGCTACAGGTTCCTTGAGAGCCAGATTTATGTTCTTATAAACTTCTGGGGGAAAGAGTTGAACTTGATAAATATTTAGTCTATGGAAACATATAGGAGAATCATTTTTTTTTTAATTCTAAATATGTGGTTTATTTTACATTAGTCTTAAAATGCAAGCTGATTGTACATTTTTGCGTATTTGTTGTTTCTTTTTTCAAATTATGTTTAGCTTCAAATATTTGTAATCATCATGTTGATGATGATCTCTGCTAAATCTATATTTTTACTAAAAAATGTCTAATTCTATTTTGAACAAAACCCCAAAACAGCAAAATAAAATTGAGCTATGCTGTTAAAAGGATTTACTTACGAATATTTCTTCCTTATTTGAGATTTCTTTAAGTCTCTGTAAATCCATGCTCTCTCTGTGTCCTTAAAGAGAGAAAAAAGATTACAACAAAAATTTGTTTTTTCTTATTTATCCAAATGATGTTACTGACTTAAGTCTATATTAACAAGTGATTTGTGTTGTTTTTAAGTAGTTTTGATGGCTTTGCAGTTTGCTGTAGCTCTTTTGATAAATACTAAAAATACCTATCAAGCAGCTAGAGAAGATGAGTAGCTCAATAGCAAAAGCCAAAGGTCTCCTACAAAAAAATGTAGCACGTGACAGGAAGTGAACTGCTTGAAATATAAAAGGAAAAAGGGAAAAAACACTTTATTTTTGATCATTTTTACTATTAATAAAATGTAAAAGAATTATATATTAGATATACATGTTAAATGCCTATCACATGCATATATATATATATAATATATATATTACATATACATATTATAAATACACATCGTATACATAGGTATATAAATCTCCATCTTAGCAGCAATATAGTACAATATTAATAAAAAAGACTAAAATGGCCGAAACCAGTTTGGCTCAGTGGATAGAGTGTCAGCCTGCGGACTGAGGGGTCCCAGGTTCGATTCCAGTCAAGGGCATGTACGTTGGTTGCAGGCACATCCCCAGTGGGGACTGTGCAAGAGGCAGCTGATCAATGATTCTCTCTCATCGATGTTTCTGACTCTCTATCCCTCTCTCTTCCTCTGTAAAAAATCAATAAAGTATATTAAAAAAAAAAAAAAAGACTAAAATGTGGGGTTTTTTTTAAATGAATTGGGATAAATTTTATGCGAATTTTATGTTTTTCTGAACATCCACTGAGAACTCCATGTAGCCTAGCAGTAGATAACTTAAGAGTTGGCCTTCCCCTGGCTGTTTGGCTCAGTGGATAGAGTGTCGTCCTTCGGACTGAAGGGTCCCAGGTTGATTCTGGCCAAGGGCAAATGCTGGGGTTGCGGGTTCAATACCCAGTAGAGGGTGTGCAGGAGGCAGCCAATCAATGATTCTATCATTGATATTTCTATCTCTCTCTCCCTTTCCCTTCTTCTCTAACATTATGAACTTAACCAGCTCTATAATGCATGCCCTCCTCACCTTTCTCCTCCATATGTCAGACTATCAACATTTAAATATGCTTTAAGTCTCCATCATCATTAAAACCCTATCTAATAAAAGAGTAGCATGCATATTGACCATCACTCCAACATATAAGATGGCCATCCCCATGTATGGCTGCCCCATGTGGACACAAGATGGCTGCCACAAGATGGCCGGCATGGGAGGGCAGTTGTGATCAGGCCACCAAGGGAGGGCAGTTGCGAGGGACCCACTCCTGCAGGGAAGGGTAGTTAGAGGCAATCAGGCCAGCAGGGGAGCAGTTAGGTGTCAATCATGCTGGCAAGGGAGTGGTTAGGGTGTAATCAGGATGGCAGGCAGAAGCGGTTAGGGGCGGCAGGCAGGTGAGCAGTTGGGAACCAGCACTACTGGATTGTAAGAGGGATGTCCAACTGATCCACCAGGATATAGCCTAAACAGGCAGTCGGACATCCCTCGAGGGGTTTCAGGTTGGAGAAGGTGCAGTCTGGGCTGAGGGATACCCTCCTCTGTGCATATACTAAAAAAGGGTACTATGCTAATTATATTGGGAGACCTCCGGACACTTCTGAACAAAGCTATGGTGGCGGGGCTGAGGCAGGGGCAATTAGGGATCAGGTAAAAAGGGGAGGTCAATTGGGGGTGATCATGCCAGTGGGGGGGGGGGGGCAATTGGGGATGATGAGGCCAGCAATCCAGAACAGTGGGGGTGAGAAGGCTGGCAAGGGGGGACAGGTGGAGGCGAGCAGGCTGGAGGGAGGGGCGGCTGGGAGTGAGCAGGTCGGCAAAGGGGGTCCAGGTGGGGGTGAACAGGCTGGAAGGGGGCGGTCAATAGGAGTCGAGCAGGCCGGCAAGGGGGGGTCAGTTGGGGTCGAGTAGGCAGGCAAGGGGGGGGTCAGTTGGGGGCGATAAGGCCAGCAAAGGGGGAAAGTTGGGGACCATAAGACAGCAAGGGGGGAAAAGTTGGGGGTGAGCAGCTGGCGGGGTGGAGAGGTGCTGTTGGGGGCAATCAGGCCAGCATGGGGAGCATTTAGGGGTGATTAGGCTGCAAGGTGGGTGCAGTTGGTGGCCATCAGGCCAGCAAGACAGTGGTTAGGGGCACTCAAGCAGGCAGGCAGGTGAGCAGTTAGGAGCCAGTGGTCCCAGATTGCAAGAGGGATGTTCGACTGTTGGACATCCTCTGAAGCATCCCAGATTAGAGAGGGTGCATGCTGGGCTGAGGGACACACCCTCCCATGCACAAATTTCGTGCACTGGGCCACTAGTCCTATATAATAAAAGGCTAATATGCAAATCAACCAAAGGAATGCTATGATAGACACTGACTACCAGGGGGGCAGACGCTCAACACAGGAGCTACCCTCAATGGTCAGTGTGCTCCCACAGGGGGAGCGCCGCTCAGCCAGAAGCTGGGGTCACGGCTGGCAAGCGCAGTGGCAACGGTGGGAGACTCTCCCACCTCTGCAACAGCCTTAAGGATGTCTGACTACTGGCTTAGACCTGTCATCAGTTGGACATCCCCCAAGGGCTCCCGGACTGCGAGAGGGCACAGGCCAGGCTGAGGGACCCTCCTGAGTGCACAACTTTTGTGCACCGAGAGTCTAGTAAACATATAAACCACAATAGTATTGTAGTTATTTCTTTCTCTTACATTCACTGCCAAACTTTTTGGAGTTGTCCCACCCCAGTCATTCTCTTTACATTCCCTCCTCCTATTCATACTTTGATTCACTATACTAATCTGGTTTCACCCTCCACTAATTCCTCCATTGAAACAGTTTTCACCAAGATCATTAATATGTTCATCAAAGCCTCTCTCCCTCCCTGCTAAAACCAATTAAAAACAACATCAAAATATCCTTCAGTGAGGATTAATTAAAAAAAAAAAGGGGGGGGGGGCCTGGCCAGTGTTGCTCAGTGGTTGAACATTGACCTATGAACCAGAAGATCATGGTTTGATTTCTAGTCAGGGCACATGCCCAGGTCCAGGGCTCAATCCCCAGTAGGGGGTGAGCAGGAGGCCGTCGATCGATGATCCTCTCTAATCCTCATTGATGTTTCTATCTCTTCTTTTCCCTTCCTCTCTGAAATCAATTAAAAAATATTAAAAAAGAAAAGAATTAATCATTCCTGGTGGGGGAAAGTAGCTACTAGGAGCCTGGTGCACGAAATTCATGCATTGGTAGGGTCCCTATCAGAAGAAAATAAGGGGCAGATAAATGGTGATGGAAGGAGACTCTACTTGGAATGGTGAACATACTGGTACAATATACAGATGATGTATTATAGAACCGTACACTTTATCCTATAAAAGACTAGTATGCAAATTGTCCCCTTGGGAATTCAACCGCTCACTGTGACATACGCTGACCACCAGGGGGTGGCAGCTGGCAGTGAGGAGAAGGAAAGCCCTGAATGGCCCTCATTGCTGGCCAGTCCTAAGGACCCTACCCATACATGAATTTCGTGCACCAGGCTCCTAGTAGCCATATAACGGTAACAAATGTCACTCCAATGAATTCCATTAATAAAAAGAATGATCACCTTACAATATTTCTGCAAACTTGCTACTATTAGTCTAAATTTATTTCAAAATTAAAAATTTAAATAAACAAATTATTATTTTTTAAAATGCTCTCTTCTCTGGATACTATAAATGGGTTGACTATAAGTAGAATTCTGGCATTCACTATTTGACCTGATGTAATTATTAGCAGTGTACCCTTTCACTCTTTTAAGTGTACTGGTTTAGATAAAAAATTATATGGTCATCCTACTTATAAGTCAATTTTCTTTTCCAGTTATTTCCAGCCTTCTCTGTACGTTCCTATTATTCCCCAATATGTAGGTTCTTTCAATGCACGTTGATCAAATTCAATAGAAGATCCTCAAATTCAAAAGACAAGGTTCAAAAAGTTTTCCAAACAATTGTTATCGTAGGAAACTGCACCATAGGTATAAATATTTCTCCCATTTCTGTTTCCTTGCAAAAATTTTGGAACCACACTCTATTATTAGATCTACATATACTCCACTTGTCACGTGAGTACATAGTTTCAATTAGCTATTGCTAATTTTTATTTCTATGGTAATAATAATAATTACAAAATAAATAATATTAATATAAAAATATCACGTTGCCAAACTTACCCACAAATGCTCCAAATTCTATAGTATCACCTTCTGCAGCTTTAGAACAAACAGTTCCTTGATCTTTGGTTACAGTTTCCAAGTGGCTTTTGCAACTTGGTTGGGATGGTGTACTAACAAAAAGTTTGGTTGGTGGGGATGATAGTGGTATACTATTAGATGACCTGCCTGACTTATTTTTACTAAATATTTTTAAGGTTTCTACCCCCTGTAGTCTCTGTCGCAGTTCTGGAGGAGAAACAGCACTTTGGAATAAGGCACCACAAGAGGAACCAGCCTCTGGAAAATGGAATTCTGTTCTCTGGGGAATTAGAGGTAAATCATGACCCAATATGTTACATTGGGGATCTTTTTCATCTTTCACAAAAATATTACAAAGTAAAGGGTTACTACTTTCAAGACTATTTTGAGGAAGAGAGGAGCTAAGGGTATTTAGAACACCCTGCTTTTTCCATCCAGAAGGTCTTACAGGACCATCATCAATAAGGTTTTGAGCCAAATGTTTGGAAATGCTCAATTCTCGTGTAATTTCATTGTGAACTTTACTAGCTTCCGAAGCTTTCTGAGCAGTGAGTGTTTTTAATGTATCCACAGTCAGGGCCGAAAGATCTTGCAAATGGCCAATTTGAGAATCTAATGACTGTAATGATCTTTTTATATAGTTGACTCGATCTCCAACTTCTTTCATCTGAATGCACATTTGTTCCACTCTATAGGGGAAAAACAGGCATTTTACAAATGTTGAAAATTAATGTTTTAGAAAATTTTTTATAACTTCAATAAATTATGATAAAAAATAAGTTATAAAATAAGGTATGATTATTTATAGAAAGTACACTTTATATTTAGGAAAGCTTCCATGCCAATCCCATCATAATTAAATACAAAACTTCCATTACCAATATTATATCTACACCAACACCATATGCTTTCCTAATATAGCATAGCTGATAGAAACAAATAACCTAATATAATAATAGTTTTAATTTTCTCCCACTAGTAAGAAAAACCATTAATTCTTCTCTGCCCTCATTAATAAGGATAAAAAATAACATAGGACTGACTTATTGACACACATGAAATATTAGAACTGAACTGTCTCCCAAAATACAATGTAAAACTATTACCAAACTTACTTGTTTGACAAACATAAATTGAACAATAACCACATGTATAAGAGACATAACTATAAGGATCTATTCTGATATATAATCCATTATAATTAAAGAGCTTCTGAACCTTTCAAAAGTTACACGAATTCTCTCTTCACTCCCAGAATTGAATTTGTCATCTTTTTCATTAAAATACATCTCAACACACTGCTCTTCAAAATCATGAAGTTTCTTTTGATCTTCTTCTGTTAAAAAAAGTTCTATGGAAGAAAAAGAAAAAAATAAATCAATAAAGGCTATCAAGATATCCATCTTTAACTAATGAGTCATGAATTATGCAGGGTTCATAAGCCTATAAGCATAATCTGTATTATTTTTTTACAGCTGTATGTATGTCTAAAGCACTAACAAGTATTTCTGTTTCTTTCTTTATTCATAGTGTGATCTTAGGAGAACAGTTTCAAGTACTTCTGTCCTAAAGATCTTTTCCCATAAAACACTCTTCCCCAACTATTTCTCAGAACTCTCCCTCTCATATCCAGGTACATGAATTTAAGAACTGAACTGGTAGAACAGAAAGAGATTGTAAAATTTTAAACACTGTGTTTCCCCGAAAATAAGACATCTCCAAAAATAAGACCTACTTACAGGTTTCCTTCTGAGTGAAATAAAAGGCATCCCCCCCGAAAATAAGGCCCCCTCTAGGATCTGTCTCAGAATGCTATTGCTAAACATGAGAGATTTGGTCCACTGATTCTGAAAGAAATGGAGTCACAAGAAATTCACCAGGAAATTCAGGAATTGGATTGTTATGATGATGTTCCAGAAGATGATGACATGATTGTCATTGAATAAATGAGTAAATTCTTGATACTGTAGGATTCACAGTTTGTCTGATTTGTGTTGACAACTGCCGTACTACCGTACCGTATACAGGTAATAAATTTCCTTTATTTTCATTTAACAATAAATGTGTACCGTATTCTTCTTCATGGAAAAATAAGACATCCCCTGAAAATAGGACCTAGCGCATCTTTGGGAGCAAAAATTAATATAAGACACTGTCTTATTTTCAGGGAAACAGGGTAGTTTGATATGGTAATTAGTCTCATGCAGTATACAAAATGTACTATAAGTATTGTTTCCAAAGCAGCAAAAATGATGTGTGGAACAGAAAGCATTATATATGCTAGAAGCCCGATGCACGAGGATTCCTGCCAGAATGGGCTTTCTTTTCCCTGGCTGCCAGCACCACCTTTCCACTCTGACCCAGCCCTTTCTGCTCAGGCCCCGCCTTCCCACGCTGCCCAGAGGCCCTGAGAGACCAGGGATGGGGCAGAACGCTTACATGTGCCATGGCCCCATCACTCAGCACCTGTGTACACAAATTAACCACCATCTTTGTTGGGTTCATTTGCATATCACTCCTGATTGGCTGAAAGCTTAGCGGAGGTACAGTTAATATACATGTTGTCTATTATTAGGTAAGATTATCATTAAAAAAAAAAAACAAAAACAAACAGATGCCATTTTCAAAAAGAAGTTTAATACTAAATTCATTTTACAGATGTCATAATTTGCTTAAAATTCTGTTTTGAAAAATTCAACAAAAATTTTTACAGTAACAACCAATTAAGTCTTTTGAATAAAATTAATACTTAGCCTTTAGGCCCTGAATGGGTGGCTCAATTGGTTAGAGCAGTGTTTTTCAACCTTTTTTGGGCAAAGGCACACTTTGAAAAAAATCACGAGGCACACCACCATTAGAAAATGTTAAAAAATTTAACTCTGTGCCTATATTGACTATATATAAAGTAATTCTCTTGAATAGGAATCAAATAAACACAAAGAAAGTATTTTATAATTACTTTATTATGAAATATTAAGTAAACAAAATAGTGAAAAATTATAAAATTCTTGTCTTGTCTGCACCTACGGCACACCAGGCAACATGTGCCATGGAACAGCAGTTGAAAAACGCTGGGTTAGAGCATCGTCCTGCATGCCAAAAGAATATGGGTTTGATCTCCAGTCAGGGCATATAACTTATGTTGCAGGTTTGATTCCCTGTCAAGGTGCTTATAGGAGGCAACCTTCAATGTTTCTCTTTCAGATGGATGTTTCTCTCTCTCTCTTGCTCTAAAAATCAAATATATCCTCTAGTGAGGATTAAAGAAAAAAACCTAATACTTAGTTAGCTTTTAGTGTAATACTGATAAATGATAAAATGTAAACACTGGAATAAAAAGCAAATAAACAAAAACATTATTTTAATATATTTTACTTACTTGGTCCATCTGAACTCTTATCTTTTTTTCTTCTTTTACATATGCAGCAAAACAGAGAAGCTATATGGCTGAGAATGATAAGTGGTGGAGGCAGAACTGGTTTCTCATGATAAGTCATAATGAAATGATAACGTTGGTACTTCCATACAATATTGGAAATTGCCTTCACTTGTAAATACACATTGCTTAAATAAAAAAGAATGAAAATAGAACAAATAGCTAATCACATTTTAAATGCTAAAGACTTCATTGTAATTCTGTTTTAAACAGAATTCAAAAGAGTATCTTACCATAAATAAGACAAAAAAGTCAAATGAGAATTCAGAAAAAGTACATGCAAGAAGTATAAGGCTCAAGGTTTAATATTGAGAATTTTAATTACAAATTCTCCCCAAAATGGGCAAAAATCATTAAGATGTTAAGATTATATATAACTGATAAAAACACAAGTAAATATTCTATCTTAATAGCAACAAAGTGCAAGTAAAAATAAGATCCTTTAATGTACTATCAAATTAATAACCATTAAAAATACCTAGTCTTGGCAGATTTGAGGACATGGCCTATTTTGACTTAAGTGAAAAAAGCCCTAAAAATATATTGAGCGATTCTACTTTTAGAAAAATATTCTAAGGAGCTGGGACCGGTTTGGCTCAGTGGATAGAGCGTCAGCCTGGGGACTGAAGGGTCCGGGGTTCGATTCCGGTCAAGGGTATGTACCTTGGTTGCGGGCGCATCCCCAGTAAAGGGTGTGCAAGAGGCAGCTGATCGATGATTCTCTCTCATCGATGTTTCTAACTCTCTATCCCTCTCTCTTCCTCTCTATGAAAAATCAATAAAATATATTTTAAAAAAATATTCTAAGGAAATACTTAAGGACTGATAAGAAAGTTAACCACAATGTCATTTTGGGAACAAAAAGTTATAAACAATTGAACAATATAACATACTAGCTTGAACAATTATGACTACATCATGGTATACCAGTTAGCTATTAAAACTAAATGAGAGGTCCTTGGCTGGTGTGGCTCAGTTGGTTAGTATTGCCCCATTCACCAAAGAGTTACCAGTTCAATTCCCGGTCAGAGCATATACCCAGGTTGTGGGTTCAATCTCTCACAGGGGTGCATATGGGAAGCATCAATTGATGTTTCTCACATTGATGTTTCTGTCTCTTCCTTCCTCTTATAAGTATCAATTAATATATGTGTGTGTGTATGTGTACACATATATATTTATGAACATTATTATTTTGTTGTTTGTTAATCTTCACCCAAGGGTATTTTTCTCATTGATTTTTTTTAGCGAGAAAGGGAGGGAGAGAAACATCAATGTGAGAGAGACATAACTGATTGGTTGCTGAGCAAAACTGGGTAGGGCTATATGAATATTATTTTTGAAAAGAAAAAAAGTCCCTATGTATTCATAAAAAATGATAAGATGTACACCAAAATATTGAGAATGGAATTACTGATTAATTTTTTATTTGCTGTTCTATTTGATTACTGAATGGGTATTTGACAACTTATTAAAAATCCCAAATAAAGGTTTACATTTACAAAAGAACTGCATGTTGAAAGATATTTAATAAAGTTTCAAATTCAGAACTCATTTAATATGAAAATGAATGTGTTCTTATTTGCAAATTTCAAAGATAATTTTAGTTTAGGCCTCAATAAAATTTTTGGAATTAAAATTTTATTTCCTTCAAATTGAGTAGAAATATATGCTAAATGATCTCATTACAATAAGCAACTGAATAAAATTCTTACTTGAAAAATGCAATAAGAAGATTGACCATAATGATATACTGTACAAAGAGGTAGACTGCTTGAAGAAATGGAGTCAACCACGTCCCAGGACCACAGATTCCAGGGATAACAGAATCATTTGCACAGGCTTTAGAAAGAAAAAATATATATATTTAGTAATTCACTAGTAATTGCTTCTAATGAGTATTTATGTTTGTTTGGGTAAAGGAAGTTTTGATTATATATAAATCTGTTTTATAGATTCTAGCAAAAGTACTGGGCAGGCAGCCATAAGAACATTAACTTAGAAATATCCCAACACAGAAGAATTTTGTGAGGGATATAGATATCTGTTCTAGCACTCTATTCCAGACAAAGAAATATATTTTTACATTATGTCTAATCTTCAAGGTAGGGGTTAGCCTGAGGAGCATTAAGGAGAATATAATTCCCAGATTCAGCCACACTAACATTTCTATAAGAAAAGTAATGGAACCATAAAAGAGTACAGTAAACTCACAGTCCATTTACAAACATAAAGATTACTGAGTTTATATTATTATGTCACAAAAGAGGGTCTACAGAGTGGTTCAAATGCCTCTCAAATATATAGTGATTAGGTTTGAATTCTAAGCTTTCATTATTCCCACCAGAAATGTTTCTGAAGTCAGAATATTGCTGAATACAAAAATGCGAAGAGCTTTAATACCAGGCATGAACCTATTTGAGTAAAGTAAAAACAATTTAAGAAAGCAAGGATTAGAATAACCATTAATTAGTGACAAATTCTGTATCACTCCTAAAAAAGTTTACAAATCTGTCGAAACCGGTTTGGCTCAATGGATAGAGCGTCAGCTTGGGGACTAAGGGACCCGGGTTCGATTCCGGTCAAGGACATGTACCTTGGTTGCGGGCATATCCCCAGTAGGGGGTGAACAAGAGGCAGCTAATTAATGACTCTCATCGATGTTTCTAGCTCTCTATCTCTCTCCCTTCCTCTCTGTACAAAATCAATAAAATATATTAAAAAAAAAAAAAAGTTTACAAATCTATTTCCATTTTGCTCAGATTAATTTGATGAAGCATACCCAAGAAATAGAATGCTGGAGACTAAAAAACTATATCCAGCCCTGGCCGGTGTGGTCCAGTGGATAGAGCATTGGCCTGCAGACTGAAGAGTCCCGAGTTCGATTCCAGTCAAGGGCATGTACTTTGGTTGCGGGCACATCCCCAGTGGGGGGACGTGCAGAAGGCAGCTGGTCGATGTTTCTCTCCCTTCGATGTTTTTAGCTCTCTATCCCTCTCCCTTCCTCTCTGTAAGAGGTTAATAATAATATTTAACAATATCCAATGCTTTATAACAACTAAACTAGAGCCACATCAAAGAGTGTAGCCAATGAAAACCTGGAAAGAAACCGAAGAAGCAATTAAACACAAAATTTGACCAAGCTGGCAAAACCTCATTGTTTCAACATCTGATAACAACCAATGACCACGATCTGGCCCTCCTTGACCTTATAATCTATAAATAGGTGGGTATGGAGCAACACAGGTATGGGGTGAGAGAGAGATCAAGAGGGAGTTAACAAGATAAAGATTCCACAACCAAGATGTGGAGGTCAGTAGAAGAACATCTCTGTTCCTGACTAGCTTAGTGCGCAGAGCATCAGCCTGTGAACTGAAGGGTCCCAGGTTCGATTTCAGTCAAGGAAACATGCCTGGGTTGCAAGCTTGACCCCCAGTGGGGGACATGCAAGAGGCATCCAGTCAATGGTTCTCTCTCATCATTAATGTTTCTATCTCTCTCTACCTCTCCCTTCCTCTCTGAAATATATATACATACGTACATATATATAAAAGAACATCTCTGAAAATTGGCTGTATTGCCAATGTTAGCAAGTTATTTAGCCCAATTAACTAAAACAATCCAAAAAAACCCACAAACAACCCCACACCATTTATCACCTAATTTCATCATGATTAGTCTAAACCAGTGGTCAGCAAACTCATTAGTCAACAGAGCCAAATATCAATAGTACAATGGTTGAAATGTCTTTTGAGAGCCAAATTTTTTAAACTTAAAACTTCTTCTAATGCCACTTCTTTAAAATAGACTCACCCAGGCCATGGTATTTTGTGGAAGAGCCACACTTAAGGGGCCAAAGAGCCGCATGCGGATCGTGAGCCTCAGTTTGCAGACCATGGGTCTAAACTAATCAAGAAAACCCCATTACCATTGCCCTGTTTCAGAGCAATTGAAATTGAAGGACATTTGAGCTAGTGAGATAGGAGTACAGGTACAATAGGGGGTTCTGGAAAAGGGATTTTTTCCCCTAAAGAGCACAATGGAAAACAGTATATCTTCCTGTTGCTTGTTACATATAGTCTCATAATCATAAGAGAAACTTGTATGAATCAGACACTATGATTTCAGAGCCATGGGAGGAAAGAGAATAGATGTCCTTAGCTATGAATTAACAACCCCTTACGACCACTCTACCTCTGACCTTTGTTATGTGAACTAGTAAATGTCTTTATTATGTATAAGCTAGTTTAGGCCACACTTTCACAACTTACAACTAAACAAACACCTCTAAAATACTTTTTTTCCCATTAATTTTTTTGTTTCTTCTGGAATTAACTAATGTATTGTGTCAAGAGTTAGGCTGGTAACAGTTTGAAAATATGTAATCTACAAACATAAAAGCTTAATACACAAAGTGTCACCTCAGGAGTTCTACTGACCAGGAGTTCCATCACTCACTATCACATGCATTGACCACCCAGGGACGGCACTAAATGAAGGAAGGTCCTGATTGGCATCCAGGGAAGGGAGACTCCGGCTGGCAGCCAGTAGCTGGTAGCTGCTAGGTACGCTACCCGCACAAATTTTGTGCACTGGGCCTCTAATATTATTGTAATGCAATTTCCTATTTTAAACATAAAAAAAACAAAAGATGAATTTGTAAACATAAACCCTTACCATCTATTTCATATGCGTAAACTTCACCAAAAATCATCCAGTATGGATGAAAAACTATATCTTTAGCAAGAGTCCAAGATGGTTCTTCACGAGGATAAAGTATTGCTTTTCTGGGAACACCAAAACTAAGTAATACAAGAGCCATAATCACTACAATGTAGAACATATTGGCCACCTGTTGAAAAATGAACATTGTTAAAATACATTTAAACACAATGACAATATTCATCTTAAAAGTTCTAGTGTTCTAATAGATAACTAAAATATCTGAGTTTCTTTTTTATCCCTAATATTAGCATTGAAAAAAATCTCATTACTATATAAACCTTAACCAAGGAGATTATATAAAAATTGATCTGTGAAGCTAGGCAAGTCACAGACATATCCTATCTAATAAAAGTGTAACATGCAAATTAACCATCACTCCATTACAAAGATGGTGGGGCCCATCCTCTCAGTCCTGGCAGAGTCCCCTACTCCCAGAGGCGGGGCGGGGGTGTGGAGGGTAGACAGAAGCTGACAAGGGGGTAGCTTGAGTGGCCTAGTAGAATGCTTGCATCGTCGCGGTGGCAATAAGGCAAACGTTCCACCTCGGCTGCAGAGGGCCTCTGGCCAGGCCAGGGCACAGAACACTTGCGTAATCATCCCAGCGACGAGGCAAGTATTCCGTGCTCGGCGGCAGATGGGCCTCTGGCCAGGCCAGGGTGCAAATGGGCCTTGGGGCCACAGAGAGCCTCTGGGCAGCAGGCACCACAGAGACCTATTAGCTCATGGATTTTTGTACAGGGCTACTAGTTTTATATAATGAACTGTATCGCATTTCTGATTCTAATTGAAGGCTATCTGGAGTAAAAGTGTACCTAGTGGCTGCCAGTGGCAAACTGCAGCTCTTTGGCCCCTTGAGTGTGGCTCTTCCACAAAATACCATGTGCGGGCGCGCACATATACTGCAATTGAAACTTTGTGGCCCATGTGCAAAAGTTGGTTTCGGCTCTCAAAAGAAATTTCAATAATTGTACTGTTGATATTTAGTTCTGTTGACTAGTGAGTTTGCCGACCACTGGTCTAGATACATGGGCAGATTCAGGGAATCAATTCCATAAGTGCTCTTTCCAAATACTTCTATACTGAAGGTGCAGACTCTTTTCTACTCCTTCTGCTAACTGTCCTTTGCCCACTTCACCAAAAGAAAAAGAGGAAAAGCCAAAACTGGTTTGGCTCAATGGATAGAGTGTCGGCTTGGGGACTAAAGGGTCCTGGGTTCGATTCCGGTCAGGGGCATGTGCCTTGTTTGCGGGCATATCCCCAGTACGGGGTGTGAAGAGGCAGCTGATCGATGACTCTCTCATCGATGTTTCTAACTATCTCTCTCCCTTCCTCTCTATACAAAATCAATAAAATATATTTAAAAAAAAAAAGAAAAAGAAAAAGAGGGAAAAAAAGCAAGGATTCTCATTCACACTGAACTCTAGCATGATGCCTGGTCCTGGGCTACAAAAACCTCATGGGAACTAAAGCAAAACTACAAACTATATTATTAATATGGATATTGAAAAATAAATGAAACCAATTTTTGACTAACAATTACACTTGCAAGTTAGGTAGTTTGTAATTTCAACAAATTAAAAAAGAGACAAATTGAACTATATCACCTATTAAGTTACTGAAAAATAATTCTTATGAAATCACAATGTGAATTTTGGTATCATTACTCAGGATTCAAAGAATTAAATACTATAATAAAACTTCAATTTTCTATCTACATATTGAGATGCACAATGCTTAGCATTTACATCTAAAGAGGTAAATGTTTCATTCTAGCAATACATAATATTTACTACAAATAATTATCTACTGAGGGAAGCACTATACAGATCAAGAGACTATATTTATAATAAATCTATACTTTACTGTGAAGGAACTATTATTGTAATAAATCAACCTAAAAATTATTATAACATTTTCCTATATTTTAAAAAATAAATACACCGCAAAAGTAAAAATGGAACCAAAAAAAGATGAAACATAAATAGGACAATAAGTCTAGACTAGAAGAACTAATTATAAAATATTTACTTATATATAATAATTTAGACTCAATCCATCATCTTTAAAATCCTGTTAGATCGGTTAATAAGAACTCTTTTTGATAGTCTGTGACTTGCAATCAAAGAGTCCTAATACCCTCCAAGATTCTGTTTTCTTATTTGTAAAACAATAAGAGTATAGTTGAGAGAATGTATGTTCTCAATCAACAAAATATTATGATATTTTGGTTTGGCTCAGAGGTTGAGCATCGGTCTGCGGAGTAAAAGGTCCCAGGTTCGATTCCGGTCAGGGGCATGTACGTTGGTTGTGGGCACATCCCCGATAGGGGGTGTGCAAGAGGCAGCTGGTCGGTGTTTCTCTCTCATCGACGTTTCTAGCTCTCTATCTCTCTCCCTTCCTCTCTGTAAAAAATCAATAATATATATATATATATATATGTATATATATATATATAAAAAAGATTTTAAAAGGCAAATAATTCATCAAAACATTATTCATGGCATTTAATATACTTTTGAGATCCAGACATTCATCTGTAATTTTTTTGAAAGTCCAAGTCAAAATTCAAAACACCCAAATCTGTACTTGACTACCATAAAATTATTCAAGGTCTATAGCTGATTTTTCAGAGATATCTATATTTCATAACTTTTACTTTAAAAAAAATAATCTTTATTATTGTATTACAGATCCTTCTCCCACCCCCCTTGATTCCTTCACCTGATTCCCACCCCACCCCAGGCCTTCACTACTGTCTGGCACTAAAGATAGGGAGGCTTAGCAGACATCTAACACAAACAGGCAAACAAAATAGAAAGACAACCCCCCACCCCCCCCAAAAAAAAAGCCCCAAAGGAAAACGAGTTGTTTTCTGTTTCTGACTGGTCCTGAGTACCCTGTTTGGAGCTATCAGCAATCCACAGCTTGTGGCTCCCTTGGCTGTAGCTCCTCGGTGCCTTTCGAAAGGACCAAGATGTGCATCAAGATCTGCTTTTCCTAGCCCTGGGCCCAGAATTAAATCAGGCAAAGACTCAAAGCCTCCAGAGACCTGCCTCTGCCTGCAGTCTGATTATAATGTCTTGATTTGCCTCGTTATTAACCACAGGGTGGGATGAGAGTTTTTCTCATAGGGTGGGGCAATGGCTTCTGCCTGCAAGGTGACTGTCATTCTAAGTCTTTTATGGACCTCAGAAACTCCAAAGGGTGAGCAACTGCCTTCTCCCCAGGCTAAGACCACCTGAATAACAACGGTCTTCTGCAGAAAGATGCTCTGAGCAGTGTGAGACAGTGACTCAGCACAGGAAACAGGTGTCTGCCTTCTGAGCTCTAACTCCAGAGATCCCAAACCTGGTTTCAGCTCACACAGCTCCAATCCACCCTTCCCTCCCTCTGCTGGAGCACAAGGTAAGTGGCTGCACATAAAATTTTGCTTGTTGGCCCTTCAAGAGGGTGTCTGCATAGCAACTCTGCTGCCTTTCACAGCCAGATGTTATGTGGGCACCTTTCTCAGTTCTGGTGTACTGGGTTGGGGAGCTCAGTTTGGGGTTTAGACCTTCAGTTCTCAGTGGGAACTCCACACAGCTGAGATATCCCTCCTGAACTTTAGCTGCTGTCTGTGGGAGCCAGCCAGCCCTTTTACCCCTCCACACTTTCTCCCAGCAATCCATTTGTGGTCTCCACTTCCCATCTTTGATTATCAAGGTTCTCTCCAGCTGACTTTTCAGGATGGTGTTTTTGTATTTTACTTGTAATTCCAGTTTGGTCTTAGGAGTGTGTCAGTACAGTTTCCATTTACTCTGCTGCCATTTTTGAATCTCTCTGTTTTGGAGACTGGAAGTCCAAGATCAATGTGCCAGCATTGATTAGGTAAGGGCACTCTTCTGGGTCACAGACTACATGCTGTCTCCTCACATGGTTAAAGGGCTATAACTTTTTTTTATTAGCAAAAGATAGAAATTTACTGAAAAACAAGCACAGACTCCCACGTGGGGAGGGGAAAAGAGTCCCCACCATAACTTTTTACATAAAGCCTATCTGATAATCTTCAATATACTTTATCTAAATTTAATTAACTAAAATATTTGAATATTCTATTCTAAATTGCGAATTTCTAGTTGAAGAGAATGGGTGACATTTACTGTTTATCGTATAATTGTCTTTAGTATGAACTCTACTAAAAATAGCTACTGTGGGGAAGACTTTTTTTTCCATTTTAATCTCTTATATCTTCAAGTTTTTCAAATCTATTTTCTCTGATAACAAATTCCCTCATCAGGAAACATTCCTACCTGTTTTCTAAACTATTTTCAAATATCAGTCTTTGTGAAAGCCTTCATGACAGAATTTGCTACTAGTTCTATAGTATTAACAGGTTAGCATATCTTTCTGTACTGGTGAATAGAAGACAGACATAATCCTAATGGAAGGTGGATCTAAAGATCATGGATAAAGAAAAAAATAAAGCATATATTCAAGCTCCCTATAGCTGAGATGAAAAAATTGGCAGGAATATTTGGAGTATATTAGAGGCAAGATTTGGAAAGAAATCCTGATAGCTCCACTTAACTTTTAGATTCCTCTGCTTTTCCCAACTCCATTTTTATTATGGCTGTCCACTTCTGTGCTTCCTACACTTCCCATTTACTGTACATTACCAATGAACTAACCCAATAGCATTAAGTCACTAAATAATCTGGCAATGAGAGCTGGAGCTCCTTACATATTAAATATTAGGATAAAACCAATTATCTTAAAAAATATGAAGATAATGTAAGGAGCCTCTGGGACAACTTTAAGCGTACCAACATCTGAATTTTGGGGTGCTAGAAGAAGAGAGCGAGCAAAATATTGAAAAACTATTAGAAGAAATAATGAGAAAAAACTTTCCCCACCTGGTGAAAGAAATAGACTTACAAGTTCAGGAAGCACACAGAACCCCAAACAAGAGGAATCCAAAGAGGACCACACCAAGACACATCATAATTAAAATGCCATGGGCAAAAAAAAAACAAAGAATCTTGAAAGCAGCAAGAGAAAAACAGTTAGTTACCTACAAAAGAGTACCCATATGAATGTCAGCTGATTTCTCAACAGAAACTATGCAAGCCAGAAGGGAGTGGCAAGAAATATTCAAAGTGATGAACAGCAAGAACCTACAACCAAGATTGTTCTACCCAGCAAAACTATCATTCAGAATTGACAAAGAGCTTCACATACAAGAAAAAGTTAAAGGAGTTCACCACCACCAAACCAGGATTACATGAAAAGCTGAAGGATATTATTTAAGAAGAAAAAGGTAAAGATAAAAATTATGAACAACCAAATGACATCAAATACATACCTACAAACAAGTGAATCTAAAAATCAAGTGAATAAAATGTCTGAAGAACAGAATGGACTTGTGAATATAATGGAATCCGGGACATAATAAATAAAATGTGTTCCCACCCTAACAATATACATAAAAATATTATCTTCAGCCGAAACCGGTTTGGCTCAGTGGCTAGAGCATTTGGCCTACAGACTGAAAGGTCCCAGGTTCGATTCTAGTGAAGAGCATGTGCCTTGGTTGTGAGCACATCCCCGGTAGGGGGTGTGCAGGAGGCCGCTGGTCGATGATTCTCTCTCATCAATGTTTCTAACTCTGTCCCTCTCTCTTCCTCTCTGTAAAAAAATCAATAAAATATATATTTTTAAAAAATCTTTAAAAAAAAATATCTTCAAAAGTTAATACTTTTAGGAATGATTAATTTAGAGTACAAAGCAAATACACATGAAACAATATTCTGATTCAAGTAAAGCTATGTTAACAATTTTATAATTTTAAGAAACAATATTGATAAACTGATATGATCAGATACCTCTCAACTTACCATTTTTCCAATCATCATTACATAAGGTCCTGCCTGTTGATTTACAGCTAGAAAATCTAGCAAGCGCACATACCAAAATATTATGTTAAGACAGTAAATTAATCTTCCAGCCACAAAAACATGATTATCATATGCATCCTCAAAGTTCCCCTTTGCTCCATATCTTAGTCCAAATCCAATGAAGAAAGAAAATATGGCAATTGTATCACTGATATTGAAGTAATCACTAAACCACACTTTAATCTTCTGGCTTATTTTTCCAGCTTCAGACATAAAGATCTAAAGGTGAGAAAAAAAAAGTTTAATCAGTTTCTTCCTATAAAAACATATAACAGCATTCACTTATAACATTACAGTAGATTTTTACATATCTTTTGGTATTTCAAAGTATTTTTTTTATTTTCTTGGCATTTGATGATGCATTTGATCCCAAGACAATTCAATAAGATATCAGAGACAGATACTTCTTCTCCTCATTTTGTATAAAGGAAAAAGCACACATAAAACTACCACTACAAATGACTTGATCTATTAAATAAGATGCTGAAATCTTGGATTAGACCACAGTTCTCTATATTGGAATGTAAGATGCTTTTGAAAAGTTGCTTTTTCTTTAATGAAATAACACTAGTATAGATGTTCCAAAGGTGCTTTATTTGCAGAAGGTAAACAACTCTATGGTTAAAGTAGCTGTACTTATTTCTTTCCTGAATATGAAAATTAAAAAAAATTGTGTGACATGGTAACACATTCACATCTTCAAAATCATAATGTATCATAAAGTAAATACTGAAAGTCTCCATTCCACTTTTCTGCCTTAGCCAGTAAAGTTCTTTTTCCATTAGAGACAACTACTTTTATTACACGCATAGGTCATTTCATTGTACTTTGCTTTACTGGCTTTAGAGGTGTTGCCTATTTCACAAATTGAAGGCAATACCCTTCACCAGCAAAAAGATTATGACACGTTTTAGTGACAGATTTGCTTTATTAGAGTGGGCTGGAATCATATCTCCAAGGTATGCCTATACTATCTAATGAATCCTTATAGAAATGTTTTATGAATATACTAGAGGCCCAGTTCACAAATTTGTGTACCAATGGGGTCCCTTGGCCAACCCTGTGGGATTGGGTAGAAACCAGCTCTTCCAACATCTCCCGTAGGGTCCCAGATTGTGAGAGAGTGCAGGCCAGGCCAAGGGACCCCCACCAGTCAATCCACAATCAAAACTGGGGAGGGATATGGGAGGTTGGACAGCTGGGAGGGACTGTGAGAGGACTCCAGGGTATGTTTGGCCTGTCTAGTTCAGTCCCAATTGGCTGGACCCCAGCAGCAAATTAACCTACCAGTTGAAGTATCTGCTCCTGGCGGTCAGTGACAGCATAGTGACTGGTTGACTGTCTGCACTCTCATGGTCAGTGCATATCATAGTGAGTGGCTGAGTGGCCTTAGCATATCATTAGCATATTACGCTTTGATTGGTTGAATGGCCAACTGGCCGACAGGACACTTAGCATATTAGGCTTTTATTTTATAGAATGTTTAGAAGAATTCTTTGGAACTTGTTATCATTTAACAACCTAATTTCTTCAAACAAGTTGGTAAAACAACAGATTTCATCAACATATGAATCATCGTACTTAAGAGAAATTTAAAATGTATAGTAAGCTAGTTAATAAGATAAATTCCAATGATATCCAAGTGGTAGGGTAGTACAATGCCTTTTATTTATTTTTGCAATTTCAGTATATTCTCTAAATGTAAGCAGTGACATAAAATAACTCAGATATTATTAAGTATATGTGTTATAAAACAACTTATGTAGTTACTAATTTGAATTCAAAGTATAAAAGCATTTTCTCCTCCATATCAAGATATTAAAAATTTACAATTTAGCCGAAACCGATTTGACTCAGTGGATAGAACATCAGCCTGTGGACAGAAAGGTCCTAGGTTCGATTCCGGTCAAGGGCATATACCTTGGTTGCAGGCACATCCCTAGTAGGGGGTGTGCAGGAGGCAGCTGATCGGTGTTTCTCATCTATGTTTCTAGCTCTCTATCCCTCTCCTTTCCTCTCTGTAAAAAATCAATAAAATATAAATTTTTTTAAAATTACAATTTAAATTTAAAACTCCTATAGACATAGGATCTAAATCTTTGACAATTCAATGGGCAATAGAGTATACTTAAGAGGGCAATGCAAGACAAGAACCTATATCTAACTTACATACCTATATATAACCTATATATAAGTGACTGGCTGTATGTATAATTAATACTTTTTGAAGAGTGGCAGAGAGAGTAAATATCTATGTTCATAAAATATATAAGCAAACACAGATCTAGGTTATGTTCCTGAGACAAATCATTGTCTGTAATTTGTTACAAACACACTGATCTCTATTTTTTTATAAGTAACTAGTGCCGTGGTGCATTGATTCATGCACATCAAAAGGAAATTAATTAGAAAGTAGCCGGTGGGGTGGGACTGGGTGAGATATGCCCTGGAACCAAACTCCAATGGTCCCTTCCTGACCGGCTGCACCTAGGGCAGTGCCATAGCTCAAAGGGTGTCTGTGGAGTGAGGGTCCCTTGGCTTGGCCTACAGGGATTGGGCCAAAACCAGCTCTCCAATATCCTGAAGGGCTGCAGATTGCGAGGGTGGTTCTTGGGTGCAACTGCTGTCAAGTCACCACAGCTCAGCAGCTTGGGCAATGAGCGTCTGCCCCCTAGTGGTCAGTGTGTGTCACTGGCCGGTCACTTAGCCATTTATATACCGTATATAGGTTTTTTAAATTTATTGATTTTGAGAGAGAAACATGAATTTGTTCTTCCACTTACTTATGCATTCATTGGTTAATTCTTGCCTTGATGGAAGATTGAACCCACAACCTTGGTGTATGGGGACAATATTCTAACCAACTGAGCTACCTGGCCAGGGCTGCCATGATTTTTATAACAGAATAAATAAACACGGTCCACTAAAGTCACTCTCCCATAAAGTAATCACTTAAATTATCATACCCATACTCATATACATTCCCAAAACAAAACATTTTCCATATATACAGTAAGTTACTGGTAGGAAAAACTAAAGACATACCGCACGGACTTTCTCAATAGCATAGGTAAAAATATAAGCAATAACAATCCATTCTTGAACTGAAGGTAATTGTTCCATTTGTACAAGAACCACAAATGTATAAAGCATCAGAAATCCTAAGTAAGCCAACTAAAAAAAAAACCACACAAGATATGAATAAAATTAATAAAATATTTTACTTTGAAAAATTTTAAACATACACAAAAAAAGAAACTGAAGGAACTCTTGTGAAGTACGCCCAGCTTTTATCATTAAAATAGTTTTAGAAGTAATTCTTCTTCAGTTCAGACATTGCATTTATTAATCAAAATATAAGTGATCTCCTGAGTATAAATGTGTTGTTCTAAAATTTTGTAAGCTTTTTAGTACTTCCCATAGGAAGAATTTTATAATATCAAGGTTTATGTTCTCAGCTTAGCCTACATAATTCTAATTAACTTATAATTTACCTAAAGCATCATAATATATGGTTTACTAAAGAACTTCACTGTCATCATCAAGAAACACATACTGCCTGTTTCTTCCCTCTGCGAACAACATAGTATTCCTAGGAACGACAACTAGCTCCTCATCAGTGAGGATGAAATCCCAAGAAATGGAAACTAATATGAAAAGCATTTTCTCTAGGAAAGGGAAAATTCCACTTTTGATATTCTTAAAAAAAAAATTTATAGGAAGGTGATATGGTCTATGTATAACACAGCTAAACAATCATTCATAGGAAAACCCAGATTTATCAATCCTTGTACGATTGTAACTAAGAATCATCTTTGTCTCTACCAGTCTTAAAACAAGCCACATCATGATTTTAAGCTATGGCAGTAAACTGCAATAAATAAAGAAAAGAAAAATTCCTGCAGCCACCTGGGTTGTTCATTTTAAACAGTCCTTTCACATGAATGCAAACTAAGATACCTACATTATTTCCATTAGTGGGGACAGAATTTGGGGATTATGTTAGGTAATTCAAATGTGCAATTTCAACACCTGATCAAGATGAAGCGAGAAAATTTCCATATTGAAATGGAAACGTGATCAATTCGTCTGATGTTAATGAGCATGTGTGTGTTGGAAAGCAATACTTGAAGGAACACATTCTCAAATGTTCATCTTAGCACAAAGCTATTTGTATACTTTCGCTAGTCTTAAAGTCTGACGATAAAAATGAAAAACAAGGAAAATAACAATAAAATAAAACAACTTAAGCCATAGCCAGTGTGGCTCAGCTGTTTGGTGGTTGTCCCCTATACCAAAAGCATGCTGGTTTGATTTCCAGTCAGGGCACATGCCCATATTTCAGGCTTCATCCCAGGTAGAAGGTATGCAGGAGAGGCAGCTGATCAATTTTCCACTCTCACATCAATGTTTCTTTTTCTCTCTCTCTCTCCCTAAAAAAAAAAAAAAAAAAAAAGAAAGAAAGAAAGAAGGAAAAAAGTCAATAGAAAAATATTTCATTTAAAAACAAAGCAAAGCAAAACAAAAAAAAAAAAAAAAAGCTTGAGTTTTTCTGGGAAGGAAAGTAAAAACTCATTTGCTCATCCCTGGTTAGTGTTTCTTCAGATGAGACTGACTATCCCTCTATGAACATACATGTTCATCAGTAAAATCCATTCCTTCATAAATCAAGAAACAAGTTGATTATGAATAAAACTATATGAATTATCTAGATTACTTTTCAACATCAATACTGCAAGAAAGGCTTATTTCCAAAATTTTAACATTATCTGCAAAAATCCTAAAACACGAAGCGTTATAATTGTGTATTAAGTGTTCCTTTTGATTAATCTTGACCAATTTTTTCAGTAGATGATTAGTACTTGTTACCCACTTACAAAGGCATATAGTTACCACATATTTGTTTAGTAAGTTTCTGTTTCCAGTCAGAACTAGATCCAATTATAACTAAGATGTGTTAACTTTTTATCATTCTATTTGAGAGCTGTTTGGATAAAACTACTTTGAACTTATTGCTCTTTTAAATGGAAAATGGCTTTTCAGTTATTAATTTACATCAAGATCAGTATGGACTCTAGACCACTAAGTCTATCTTTTAAAATCATTATATTCATACAATTTAAAAACATACCGTGTTAAACCAGAATTTCACAATTGGTGCATGATAAAAGGCATAAAACTTTCGTGTGATTGGAAGCTTTTTTGATTTTATTTGTATTTCCATTTCATTCTTTCCTTCATTGCTGTCCAATATTCTTACTTCTTTAAATACTTCCTAAAATAAAATAACACTTATAAATATACACATTTATGCATAAATTTGTATAGTCACTTAAAAAATTTTTCCCCCTCACCATAGGAATATCTTCTGTGATGTTTTGAAAGTTGTTTTCACTATCTTCCATTGTCATTTGATGGGCATCTTGAGATTGTGGAATATGAGACATTTCAGCCTTAGTTTTATATTCTAGCATTAATATGGTAGGTGGAACTAAGATGCTTAATATAACCTAAAAATTTCAAAAACATAAATTCATATTTTAGCATTAATAACTTTTAAGAAAATAATACAAGCAATAAAAAAATATTAAATATCCTTACTATTAGCCATTTTGTCCTTGGTAGTATAGGGAATAAACCTTAAACTTCATTTCTACTTACAACTATTTTTAAAGAGGCCCAGGTTGAATGGTTTTAAGGAGTAACAAAACATTTAAGTATTATGATATGAGGGTATAGAAATATTTAATAAAGACTTGTCCTTTAAAAAAATCAAATTACAACCTGTTTAGAAAATACATTTGTTTAAACAAAATTCAAGCCTTATGAAGTTACTATGTGTTTCATTTTATCCTAAATCTCTTTCTTTGCAAGTGTGCCATGTTACATGATTACTCAGCTTGTGCCTCCATAAAAAAAGCTTAATTTATAAAATTTTGTTATGAAGCACAAAGAAATTAGAATTGTGTATCAGGTTTTCTACTGGTTAATCTTTCACCATCTTTTTAGTAGATGATTAGTATTTGTTATCTACTTATAATAGTTAATGATTGAACTACTTGCCTGATTTCTGCCTTCTAGATTTCTGTACCTTATTTAAGATATAAGATAATAAAAAGGGAGTTTAAAGTAATATCTCTCATTATGATTAAACTGAAAGTACCAGCCCACATTTTTTACCATAAAAAACAGGCATATCCAATATACATCAAATAAATTAAACGTAACACATTATTAAGTTAGTAGATAGGTACTGAATTTTAGAATTTAGGAACCGTTGTCCATGACTGCTCAGGGCTATAAATGCCATACTTTCATTTGTTGGCCTCATTATTCTGGCTCAGATAGGGGCAACAATCACATCTGAATAGGATTTAGAATGAACAATAGGAGGAAAAAGGACACTACATGTCACCCTGTATACAATGCCACCACCATCCCACCCCCAAATAAAAAATAAAAGCATTTTACTATACAACTGGGCTAACCCCCCCCCCCCCGCCCGCTCTTTTAATCTAATCACACCTTTTATCAATTTTTTTTAAGGCATACCTTATACCAGGAATTTTTCCTCATATTCAGCCTTCCCATCCACATATCAGATAACAACATTTGTGTACAGGTGTGGGCTACAAAAGGCCTGAGTCTTGAAGAAACTGCTAACTTAAGGCAGGTGGAATTACTCCAGTTTTTCAGTTCATAAGTGAGTAATTTCATAGCCATGGTTTCATCTTGTCTGAAGGATTGTTCTAGTAATTCAACTGCTAGTTGACCAAAATCACTATCAAAAGATAAAAGCAAAAACATACTCATTTTACCAAATTGTAGTTTTAAACCACTATTCTTACATTCATTCATAACATGTTCTAATATTTTTAATATTTTCACAAACATACAATACAAACAATAAAAAAATTAGGGAATTGTGAGGCAATAGAATGATGGTAGCTTTATATTTTCAGATACCTACTACTATGTGGAAATCACAAAGTATTTAAAATATGTCAAATTAAAATAAGACTGAAGCCCTAGCTGGTTTGGCTCGGTGGATAGAGCGTCAGTCTGCGGATTGAAGGGTCCCAGGTTCGATTCCGATCAAGGGCACATGGCTGGGTTGAGGGTTCAATCCCCAGTGTGGGGTATGTAGAAAGTAGCCAATCAATGATTCTCTCTCATCATTGATGTTTCTATCTCTCTTTCCCTCTCCCTTCCTCTCTGAAATCAATAAAAATAAATAAGTAAGTAAATAAATAAATAAATAATTTTTAAAAAGACTGAAAAGGTGACTCCAACCCTGGCTGGTATAGCTCAGTTGGTTGGAATATGTCCTATGCACTAAACCACATGTGTCAAACACAAGGCCCGCAGGCCAAATCCGTCCCGCCAGGCCTTGCAATGTGGCCCGCACCGCGCTGTCATCACTGCACTCCGCTGCGTTTCCATCACAATGACAGTTTATGACTGTTCAGTAAACCATTCGGCCCGCGATTTAGGCTGGATTTTAGATTTTGGCCCCTTCTCTGATTGAGTTCGACACCCCTACACTAAACGGTTGTGGGTTTGATTCCTAGTCAGGACACATACCCAGGTTGTGGGTTCCATGCCTGTTTGGAGTGCATTTAGGAGGCAATTGATAAATGTTTCTCTCACTCTCCCTTCATCTCTAAAATTAATAAAAAAACATATTCTCTGGTGAGGATTAAAAAAAAAAAAGTGACTACAGAGCAGGACCTTTCCCCTGGTCCTTTAGGAAACCCAATCTAACAATGTTCAGTTAAAATTTTTTCTATATATCGGCCGAAACCAGTTTGGCTCAGTGGATAGAGCGTCGGCCTGTGGACTGAAAGGTCCCGGGTTCGATTCCAGTCAAGGGCATGTACCTTGGTTGTGGGCACGTCCCCAATAGGGGGTGTGCAAAAGGCAGCTGACCGATGATTCTCTCTCATCAATGTTTCTAACTCTCTATCCCTCTCTTCCTCTCTGTAAAAAATCAATAAAATATATATTTTTTAATTTTTTTTCTATATAGTTATTTCAAATATAGAAAAGGGTTAATACCTAGTAGAAAGGAATGTGAATACAGACTAACCTAATCATGAAAAACACCTAAAAACACCAAAGCTCAATCTCCAGTAAGTAATCATCAGATCCCTGTTTGAGTTACTTTCAGTAATAACTGTTACCCTTTTCTAAAGTCAACCTATTTGGGGGGAGAGAGGTCTTATTCTCTATATTAAAGCTTCTTAGAAACTACCTTTCCAGCTTACAATTCCATTAGTGCACTAAGTAAATGAAAACTTCTATGAAATGTTGCATTCTCCTATAAATGTAGTTCCACCATCTGGAATGCCCTTCCAGTTGAACTCATTTCCTTAGTTCACAACATAAACCTTGCTTTCTTCTTCTTTTTTTTTTTTTTTTTTTTTTTTTCCCCCGGCAGGAATCTTTTTATTTATTTATTTTTTGTGTGTGTCTTCCGCATAGTTTATTTATTTATTTATTTTAATATATTTTATTGATTTTTTTGCCCCCCCTTCCCTCCCACACATCCCCTCCCTCCCCAGAGTTTTGTGTCCATTGGTTGTACTTATATGCATAACCTTGCTTTCTTCTTTCCTTTTCTCACCATTCCAAGTGAAACTTTTCCTAACCTAATTATTAGTATGTCCAATTATTAAACTAACTTCTGGTATTTCTTCTTTCTTGAATTATTTAACTTGAAATGCAAACAAAGTAGTAACTTCTTTAGCATATGCATAGGTAGCCAAGTTTCTTTCTAAATTTTTAAAACGGGTTTCTCTTAAATATACAAATAAAATTATACATCTATATCCCCACTTAGTTCATGATATAATCTTCACTTAAACATAGTCTATATTGTATTTTTTAAATGTTCCAAGTCATAAAATATAACTTACTTGGAATACTGTTTCAATTCTTCTGACGTATCATCAACCAGGTCACTCTGCTTTGCTTCATAGGCCATTGAACGATAGATTTTACAGGCAACTAATGCTTTAGCCATTGATTCCTCACCATGCTGCCACAAAAATCGGGCCATGACCTGCCTCTTCATAAGGCAAGCCCAAATTAACAGTTCATTAAGCGGATAAGGAAAGCGCTTGGTTTCTGGATCATCAATATCTACAATTTCATCTTTGGTTCTTTTTTTCTTTCCTTCTTCCAAAGCTGTATCAATCTTCAAGGAAAAAGTAAATGTTATAAAGCTCATTATAAAAATGCCATGACATTCATGTGGAAATTTTTATAAAATCTTTTTTATAGTATTCTTCAACTTTATATAACTATATCAATTTAAACAGTATCAATTTTATATACTTGATTTTTGTTACAGCTCAAAATTCATTTTATAGAAACGGCATTTCCAAAAAAATACTTTTATAACAGTTTCTCAAAATTAAAGGGACTACATATTTCAACTAATACTTGATAAAACACAATTTTATTTTATTTTAAAATGTTTTCTTTAATCCTCACCTGAGGATATGGTTTTATTGATTTGAGAGAAAGAGAAAGAAACATCAATCAGTTTCCTCCCATACTCACCCATACTCAACAGGGAATCAAACCTGCAACCTTTTGCTGTACAGGATGATGCTCCAACCAACTGAGCCACTGGCCAGGTTCATAAAACACAATTTTAATGAAAAAGAAGTTTCAGTCCTGGCTGGGTAGCATAGCTGTTTAGATCATGGTCCCAATATGCCAAGGTTGCAAGTTGGATCCCTGGTAAGAACAAATACAAGAACCAATAATGAATGCATATTTCTCCTCTCTCTCTCTCCTTTCTTCTCTCTCACAAATCAATCAATAATTTTTTTTTAAAGAAACTCCAGTAACACCCTTGTCCTTCATGTTGTTAAGTAAAAATGGAATAAAAAGAGGCAGTTAAGTGTTTATCAAAACATTGTTTAAAAAATTGTATTATTATATAATCAATTCACAATGGGTATCTTTATATGGGAAAATGAAGAATCAAAGATATATCTAAAAACAAAGGACAACTCTTACTAAAACAAGTAGTTCTTTATTTCATAATAATAATTTAGAAATAACAAATATTCAGAAAGATATTTAAACAAAAATACCTTTGGTCGGTAGGGCTGTGCTGTTTTAATGAAATGATTATGTCTTGTTTTTTCTTTTTTGTCTGCCCTATTGCCAAAAGATTCATGACTCTTTCGCAACTGAGGAGTGCCACTTGAGGTATTTCGGCCAGACCTCTGAAAATGAAAGCTTGTTAGTTTTTATAGATTTAAATATGCTGATATGCTTTTAAAAATTCAAGAAACAGTTTATATTATGTATAAATGTGTTCATACACACACGAAAAATATGATTTGGTTAGGATATAAATTATAAAAAATTTCAAAATACCTAGTTGAAAACTCTCTTTAAAAAATATGTTTTTATTGATTTCAGCGAGAGGAAGGGAGAGGGAGGAAGATAGAAACATCAACAATGAAAGAGAATCACCAATTGGCTGCCTCCTGCAGACCGCCTACTAGGGATCGCACCTGCAATCCGGGCATGTGATCTAGGAATCAAACTATGACCTCCTGGGTCATCTAGGTCAAAGCTCAACCCCTGGACACAATCTCATATTTTTAAGACAATGCTACTTTAACCATTCTAATATAAGTAATTTTTAACTTTTAAAGTGTATGATTTAAGCCAAAACCAGTTTGGTTCAGTGGATACAGCATCGGTCTGCGGACTGAGAGGGTCAAGGGCATGTACATTGGTTGCGAGCACATCCCCAGTGGGGGAGGGGGGAGGGCAGGAAGCAGCTGGTCGATGTTTCTCTCTCATCAATGTTTCTAGATCTCTATCCCTCTCCCTTCCTCTCTGTGAAAAATCAATAAAATTTAAAAAATTTTAATGAAGTGTATGATTTAAGTTTAAAGCAAATATATACTTCCCCCCAAATATTACATACCCGATTATTTCCACCAAGACTATTATATATTAATCGAAAACGTTTCCGAGTATAGGTGCATCTATAAGTTCCTCCCATAAGATATTCAATAACAAGTCCTATATCAATTAGGGTGATCTTATATCCTGGAGGAAGATTTCCCTGAAAACAAAACATTAGTTTTAAAGACAGGATAGTATTTCTCAATAATTCCATGTGATGCTCTAAAATGACAAATATTTACTTTTTACAGAAAGCTGGGATTTCCAGCAGCTAACTTAAGAGAAGGAAGCAGCTTGTTTCTCTTCTTCCTTTTATAAAAGGAAAGAGGATTATAAAGTTGAAGTTTCAAAAGGTGTGGTTCAGAACAGAAATACGGTTTACCAGAGATAGTTTGGTCTCCACCACCTTAATAATTCACAGATGGAGGCAAAGCAACTTCTAAGAACCAACTATTCCATTTTCACTGTAACAATACATATCATAAATATCATTTTCCAGTAAAAATAATGCTATGTTTCTTAGTGAGTCCATACTTACTTGTAAGTACTGTTTAAACAAAATCTTATTGCTATTTTACAGATTACACAAGATTTTATAGCCTTGCCTAAGACTTACTACTACTTTTAATCTTGTTTAGAGCGGAAACTTCATTTTCCCAGGGCTTCAATTTATAAATGAACTTTTGGAACATAATTCACTTGTGAGTTTGGAAAGATTGTTTCACAATCAATCATTTGGTTAATTCCATTAAATAATCTTAAAAAGGTTTAATCATCAGATGACTTAACATATATTAACCAATTCTACCCTCCTACCATCATCATTCTTTTCATTTCCCTAATTATAATTTCATGAATTTAGTACTGTTAAAAATGCTTATACTTTTTTTACATCTTGGTTTCATCTGTGAAGTTTTTAATTCTAGATATCTATATTTTTAAAACCTATTTAAAAATTAATTTTTAAAATGTTCATTTTAAATATTTTATTTTTATATCTAAAACCTCAAAATATACTTTATAATTAAGAATGTTTTGTTAAGAAGTTTAGTTTTTAAAAATATAACAAATACCATTATGGTATGAGTCCACTTGAATGGGAAATATTTATATTAGGTAAAATGAAACTATATATAAATAACATATAAAACAACTTATAATTTGAGTCAAATACTCAATTACTGCCTTAACGTTAGGATAAAAAAAAAAAAATTGGGCCACTGATATAAAAAAAAAAGAATTAACAACTGCAGTTCTTTCTGCTAGCCCATGTAAGTCAATCAGAATGCAGGTGTGTTCTAGACCCTCCCACCCCCTAGACTAAAAGTCTCTCCCATGACTCAAGCTTTCTGGGAAAAGAAAAAATATTTGAGTTAAATGAATATTTTTACACCAAGAAAGATTAAAAACTATTGGATACCAATAATTTAAACAGCTTTTATTTTTCAATATTCAAAACTTTTATTATTCTTTTTTAAAATCCTCACCAAGAATATTTTTTTTGATGGGAGGGAAGGGAATGGGAGAAAAGGAGAGGGAAGGGGAGGGGACATTGGTCAGTTGTCTCCTGTACGGGCTCTGATCAGAGATCAAACCTACAACGGAGGTATGTGCCCTGACCATGAATCGAACCCACCGCCTTTTGGTGTACATGAAAGAAAGGGAGTGAGTGCACTTACAAAGGAGCATGTTTTTCAGCATTTTTATTGACAAAATCTGCCATTAATGATCATAACCCAGTGACTGCTCCTTGTTCAATGTCCTTTACATGCCCTAGGAACAAATTTCTTCTGAACACAGAGAAAAAGATACACTCATCCTATCACTGATCTTCCTTTACAAACCAATGAGCATTATGAAGTTCACCACACTTTAGGATGGTTAGAAGCTCAAGAAACTTGGTCATGCTGAAACCGGTTTGGCTCAGTGGATAGAGCGTCAGCCTGCGGACTTAAAGGTCCCAGGTTCGATTCCGGTCAAGGGCATGTTCCTTGGTTGCAGGCACATCCCCAGTAGGGGATGTGCCAGAGGTAGCTGATCGATGATTCTCTCTCATCGATGTTTCTAACTCTCTATCCTCTCTCTTCCTCTCTGTAAAAAAATCAATAAAAATATTTTTTTTTTAAAGAAACTTGGTCACAATTTAATAAATTTTCTTCCTCTTGATTTCTGATGCATCATGCAATATCTTTACTTCTGTCATTACATATTTAATACTTATTTTATTTTGTTCTAAAAAATGTCATTTTATTGCTACTTTTAAGGTATATTTTAATGACTTTTGGAAACAAAGTGTAACTTCTTTAAATAAATTTTTTTGGGGGAAAAAGGTCTCTTACCTGCTTGACATCTCGAACAAGATGAAATAGCATTGGATTAGTTGGACCTTGTTTCTTGAAGGAGAAAAAATTAAACTATTATTTTTCTTCTAAAATAATGTAAACAACTCTTTTTATTACATATAAAACTTTTATGAACCCACTTGTACAAATTACATATATATTTTTAGTTAACTTCTGCTCATAAAATGGATCAAAAAATAATATACCTGCCCTAACCAGTTTGGCTCAGTAGATAGAGCGCCAGCCTTAGGACTCAAGTGTCCCAAGTTCAATTCCAGTCAAGGGCATGTACCTTGGTTGGAGGCACATCCCCAGTAGGTGTGCAGGAGGCAGCTGATCAATGTTTCTCTCTCATCGATGTTTCTAACTCTCCCTCTCTGTAAAAAAATCAATAAAATGTATTTTAAAAAAAGGATATACCCATTTCACATTACCATAGTTGCCTTAAACAAAATATATATTTTCTTATGTTTTTATTTATATAACAATATGCAATTTTTTTTTTCTAGAAGTCATGTAAGCATTGCAAGCTTCACAATTATATTGTTACATTTCTTTCATTGATAATGGAGATATACATATTCTTTATTAAAATTTCTGTACTTATTTCTGCCATTAACCATCAAGTTGAATCAATACTTCAAGTATTTTGGGTAACAAACTTTTAACATTTAAATATGTCATCTTTTCCCTATTATCTTAATTCCATTGATGTATAGTAGATTAAAAACTTTTCATTTTTACAGTAATCTTATTTTGATGGTATCCTATTTTGAAAAAAATACTCAGAAGTTTATCTCCTCCATCAAGACTGAGAAGAAAATGGGCCAAAAACAGTATTCTTCTAAACTTTTTAAACAGGGCTTTGACCCATCTGAAATTTATTGCATTAAATTCTATACGGCACAAGCAAATATATTTTCAATACTGTAAATCTATTGTTTAAAAGGAATAGCAAATGGGATTTTTCTCCTATTATTGTGTTATTAATTTTTTATGAGGTTATCATAGCAATTAATGCAATCTACTTTTCCATTTTGATCACATATACTTGGTAATACATTTCTGGATAAACCTATTATTTTTTTTTAAACCAACATTATTTTCTTTGCTATTCTTGACTTTCAAATTCAATATATCTAAAGATGACTAAACATATATTGAATATAAACTATATTTTATCTTTGTTGTGTTATTACAATATTTAGTCTATCCACTTAAGAGCTAAGTTTTCCCTGCCCATTCTCCCCAATGTGTTAACTTTGAGGAGAAAGAGAAAGTGTCTAAATTATATTTAACTGAGTTAAAAAAAAAATGTCTTCTAAGTTAATATGAGGTATTTTGTATTTTTTAGTTATTAGAAAGTTTCACTCTATTTTCTCAGTTTATAATCACATAAAAATGCAATTTTTGAAATTCTATCTTATCTTAACCCATTATTGTTTATTCATTAAATATAAATGCTTAGTAAAAAATAAATATACTTTAACACAGCAGTTCTGAGTGTGGTCCAGGAACTCCTGAGTGCCCTTTTTAGAAGGTACATGAAATCAAAAGTATTTTCAGAATCATGTTATAAGATATCACATGCATTTCTCATTCTCTTCCTCTCAGTGTTCAGTAAAATTTTCCAGAAGCCTCTTGATGGGTGATTTCATAAAATTAAACTCAAAAGCAAATATAAGAATCCAGGTGCCATCCATGAAGCCAGACATTAAAGAGATTTGTGAAACCATAGAAATATTCTACTCTCTTCATTAATTTTTTGTTTTCTTGAAAAATTTGCTTTAATGTTAACATGTAATGGATTTATTATTATTAAATACAATGTAATAAACATTTCTTGGTTTTATATTCTAATGTGGTCAATATCAACACATATAAATAAAACCTATTTAAAAACAGCTCTTTGAGTTACTCAATAATTTTTATGCTATAGGACTCCAATACCAAGAAGTTTGAAAACCACTGTTTCGTCATAACTAATCCCTTAAACTTTAAAAATTTCATAATTGATGCTGAAAGTAACTATGATTTTAATAACTGAGTTATACAATTTAAAAAATTACTTGCCTTGCTAATGGGACCAATTTTTATTTTTATTGTTTTATATTTGCTTTATAGTTCAAGGATAAACCTTACTTTATTCAGCACAATGAATAATCCTTTTAATTTTTACGTCTGTTCACTAGAGACAGTAGAACGCCAACAAAATTCAATGTAACTGTGCTAGACACTATTAAAAGAAAAAAATGAGGAAAAATAAAGATATAATCCCTATCCAAAGGCAATTTATAATACATGGGGAAGATATAATTGTATTTAACTGACTATGCCATCGAGCTTCATGAAGGCAATGGAATGGCATTTACTCCACTTTCTAAACAATAAATAAAATTCCAGCAGGTGGGGAGTAGTTGAAAAAAACCCACCAGCACTGTGTAAAGAGAAAAAAAAAAATTTTTTTTATTATAATAGGGGGGTGGGGGGGAAAAGAGGAATTGAAAGTGAACCACGTAGTTGAAATACCCAATATAAGGGAATGGGGCTAGAATATAAAGGTCAAATGAGAGATACCTAGAGCAAATGTTCAAAAATTAGAGAGCTTTGAAAATCAAGCTAAGGGTTTGGGTATTATTCTGTATACTAGAGGCCCAGTGCATGAATTAGTGAACAGGTGGTGTTTCTCAGTCTGGCCAATGATCCGGGCCAATAGGAGCTGTTTCACGGCCAGGGGGAGGGACTGTGGAAAGTTGACTGTGGGAGCACACTGGCCACCAGCGGGTAGTTCCTGCACTGAGCATATGCCCCGTGGTGGTCAGTGCACATCACAGTGACCAGTTGTTTGGTCGACTAGTCATATTGGTTGCTTGGGCTTTTATATATATATATTAGAGGCCTGGTGCATGAAATACATGCACTGGTGGGGGTGGGGAAAGGCTCAGGTCCCCTTTAGCCTGGCCTGCGCCATCTCACAGTCTGGGACCCCTCGCTCCTTACTACCCGCCTGCTAGCTCCTTACTGCTCATCTCGCTGTTCCTTAGCACTTGCCACTATTGCTTTGCTCGCCAGCCTTGAGCCCGGCTTCTAGCAAAGCAGGGCTTCCCATGGGAGCACACTGACCAGCAGGGGGCAGCTCCTACATTGAGTGTCTGTCCCCTGGTGGTCAGTGTGCATTGTAGCGACTGGTCATTCTACCTTAATGGTCACTTGGGCTTTTATTATATAGACTAGAGGCCCAATGCACAAATTCGTGCAAGGACCTTGGCCCCTGCCACTGCGGCAGCCACCTCTGCCTTGGCCCTCGCCACCATGGCTTAGTCCGGAAGGTTGTCTGGAAGGACATCCGGTCTAATTAGCATATTATGCCTTTATTAAATAGATGGATAGAAGAGCATCAAAGGTTTTTAAACTGGAAAAAGATATGGTAAAAATCTGTGCTTATAAGAATAATTAATGTAAAATATTAATGTAAACAAAGACTAGAAAAGGACATTATTTCACAAAAGTGGTATAGTCTGTAAATTCCAAAAGACATTAAAAATGAAAGGGAGGTGATAAACAGAAATTGATGAATAAACAAATAGCTTTGCCGAGAAGTCAAAGTTAGTAAGCTAAGATTTGGTTTTAGTTCTCAAAGTACAACTAATTAAATTTATATTGGTAATAAATGGCAACCAATAAGAAGGGCAGTATTTTCCTTCTCCAATGCTAGTAACATGAAATCTGAAATGAAATGAGAAAGGCTTTGTGAAGAAAATAATTACTTTTCTGAAGCTCTGCAGAATATTAAAAAATAGTATGTAAGCTAAAAGGGCAATACCACAAGGTCAAATCATGAATGTAAATACAAAGGAGAAAGGAAAAAAAAAAAGTGTGTAACTTCTCCATTAGGCAAAGTAATCTAAAGAAATCTGCTGCAACAAATGACCACCAGGAAAAATAGGTCCCCAGAAACAAGGAAAGTTTGCCACTTTCATATAACCAATCCACACTGACTACCTGTAATTTTTCCATGAAATCAAGCAAGACATTAAAGATTTTATCAAAAGGATCGATTATGTTTAGGTAAAACAACATTTCCCAAAGATGATAAAACTTCGCTAACAAAGAATTTTAACATATACTTACAGTGTTGTAAAGTTCTTCCAGTCTGGGAATGGTAAGAAATTTATGCATGCTTACTCCATTCTCAATAAGAAGTTTTACAAATGCAACTCTATCCATTACTAGAGCATCAAGCATAGCTTGTTCCAGGGATCCAACCTGAGAGTATAAAAATTAATAAATGTTTCACACATTCTAATTATAGAGTTCTAAATGCAAGTGTTTAGGATTTATACCTCTTTGGTTCTGAGCAGTTTTAGAATAAAATTTAAAAATGGAAAACAGTAAAAGGCTGGCTTAGGGTATAAAGAAAATAGATGAAAGACATCTCTAGAGTAGCATTCCTGAAAGAATAGTCCATAAAGATTACTTTGTAGGAGAGCAATTGTGGCATGTGGAGGGTAGAGGGAGAAAAGAATCCATTATTAACTAAAATTGAGAAAAAATAACTTAAAGCAATGATTCTCAATATTTAGGAAAGGTTTTTAGAGAGATCATTTCAATAATTGAGGGCCATTACTAACATTTAATGGGTAGTCTCAAAGGACTACAAACCACACAATTTGCCAGCCAATCTCACTCACATTCCATATAACTTTCTATTATCATGCTAGATGCTTCTGAGTGAAAACTCAGTAATACTGCTTTACATATAAACAAAAAGCACCTTTATGGTTTATTCTACAACGAACTTTCTAAAAATACAATTACCATATAAGTTAGACAAGATTATACTTAGTTTTCTTTAGAACTTTAACAGAAATCATTCACCGTTAGAGAAAAATCTTTTAACAGCAATACAACTTGTGATTTGAGTTGAATATAATACATGTTTATCAGTCAGCATTTATAGCTGTTTCATATGTTTTTAGAGAGACTTTTATAGACTTTCACAAAATACTATTAAATTAGTGGAGCCCAGGTGGTGTAGCTCAATGGTTGAGTGTCGACCTATGATCCAGGAGGTCATGATTCCAGGTCAGGACATATGTCCAGGTTGTGGGCTCTGCGAGCTTGATTCTCAGTATGGGGAGTGCAGAAGGCAATCGATCAATGAATCTCTCTCATCATTGATGTTTCTATCTCTCTCTCCTTCTCTCTTCCTCTCTAAAAATCAATAAAAATATAAGCTAAAAAAAATGAGTGGAGCTACAACTTTAGGGATTCACTGAGTATCATTAATAAAGGTTATGTTATTAATAAAATACCATTAACATGTTAATATATTACTTTAATAGCTCATATTATTGTTTCTGTATATTTTGAATATTTTTTAAAATATTATTAATTTTTAGAGAGAGGAAGAGATAGAAACATTGATGAGAGAGACATATCGATCAGCTGCCTCCTGCACAGCCCCTATTGGGGATCCAGCCTGCAACATGGGCCCTGACTGGGAATCGAATCAATGACCTCTTGGTGCATGGTACAACACTCAATCCACCGAGTCACACTGGAAGGGCCCTTTTGTATATCAGGTACCATATGATTTTAAAACTTTGTGGTGAAAAATCAATACCAAAAACAATGTGTGTGTTTTTTATACCTGCTGTTATTCAAGCTTATTCTGATTTTTTTCTTCAGAAGTTTGCCATATAAGTAACTATACAATTTATCTACAGCAACCTCTATTGCCATTTATTTTTCAAGTCTATTCTCTACTTACAATCACTTAGCAAAGGATATGATCTCCAAGACCTTTTTAATATACAGACCAAATGCATGCCTTATACATAATAGTATTTCAAGATGAAAGATGTTTTCCGTGTTACTTTTCAACACTCAGTTCATGTTATAACAAGAAAACATGTTGACATTGCACTTAAAAATAAAATACAACTAATATATAAGAATGTAACATGCCGAAACCGGTTTGGCTCAATGGATAGAGTGTCGGCTTGGGGACTAAAAGGTCCCGGGTTCGATTCCGGTCAAGGGCATGTACCTCGGTTGCGGGCATATCCCCAGTAGGGGGTGTGCAAGAGGCAGCTGATCGATGACTCTCTCTCATCGATGTTTCTAACTCTCTATCCCTTTCCCTTCTTCTCTGTACAAAAATCAATAAAATATATATTAAAAAAAAAAAATGTAACATTCCTTTTCTCATATCAACAGCCCGAAACTTATTATGGCATGTTATTCTTATTTTAGTTAATATTATTTCCTTATTTCTCTTGTCACATAACAAATTCTATTTCTTATTACTTATTCTAACATTAACAACTTTTCTTCTATTGCCCACTTGGTCTTTTCACTGATCTTTCCTTGTCCTGTATTTGTAAGGAATAATGTTCTGCTGTCCATGGAATTTAAGTTAACAACATTCTGAATTAGTCGGCACTCACAACTGCAGACTTTCACTGATTCTATCAATAGGTGCAGGCATCTGACTACTTAGTAAATCTTTTATAGGTTGCCATTTTTTAAAAATATATTTTATTGATTTTTCACAGAGAGGAAGAGAGAGGGATAGAGTTAGAAACATCGATGAGAGAGAATCATCAATCAGCTGCCTCTTGCACACCCCCTACTGGTAATGTGCCCGGAACCAAGGTACATGCTCTCAATCGGAATCAAACCCGGGACCTTTCAGTCCGCAGGCCAACGCTCTATCCACTGATCCAAATCGGTCCCGGTAAGGTTGCCATTCTTGAGCATCTGCATTTGAAATACTATTTTTATTATACATCACTTTTATTTCTCTGTCTTTATTACAATTAAGATATTATATTGGCTTTTTTCTAATTGTGTATTTATAAAATTTAATTTTTAAGAAAGTAATAAAAAGGGGGCATAATAATTTTTTTATTAAAAAAAAGCAGTGTTTGATCTTACTGGATTTATAACCACATGTAAGAGATATATACCTTAAAAATGACATCATAGGGGAGTAAAAATGTTGAACTTTAGAATGGGATCAAACTTAAGTTAATATCAACTTAAAATAGACCATTAGAGATCTAAGCTATAGCTGGGACTGGTTTGGCTCAATGGATAGAGCGTCGCCGTGAGGACTGAAGGGTCCTGGGTTCGATTCCGGTCAAGGGTATGTACCTTGGTTGCGGGCATATCTCCAGAAGGGGGTGTGCAAGAGGCAGCTGATTTATGACTCTCATTGATGTTTCTAACTCTCTATCTCTCTCCCCTCTGTACAAAATCAATAAAATATATATATATATAAAAAATAGAGATATAAGCTATTATATGTAAGCCTTGTGGTAACTATAGAGAAAAAAGTCCTTCTTTTGTAAATAGACAAAAAGTAAATAGATAAAAGAGAAAGGAATTTACCATTAAAGTAAGTTAGCAAACCACAAAGAGAGCAAGAGAAGAAAGTTGGGAATTATAAAAACCATCTAGAAAACAACTAGCAAAATGATAATATGTACATATCTATCTATCAATAATTATTTTAAATATAAATGGACTAAATGCTCTAAAAAAAAATCGAGTGGCTGAATGTATAAAAAACAACCCATTGTATGTGCTGCATACAGGAGACCTACTTTATTTATTTTTCTTTCTTAAGGTATTACATATGTATCCTTATTCCCCCATTACTCCTACCTCCCATTTATGCCCCCACCCCCCTGTTGTCTGTGCCCATTGATTAGGCTTATATGCATGCATATAAGTCCTTTGGTTGATCTCTCCCCCCTACCCACTCCTTCCCCTTCCTTCCCTGAGGTTTGACGTTCTGATTGATGCTTCTCTGTCTCTGGCTCTATTTTTGTTCATCAGTTTATGTTGTTCATTATATTCCACAAATGAGTGAGATCATGTGATATTTATCTTTCTCTCTCTGGCTACAGGAGACCTACTTTAGATGTAAAGACAGATTCAGACTAAAAGTGAAGGGATGGAAAAAGATACTCCATACAAATAGAGACCACTCCCCCCCCCCAAAAAAAAAGCTAGAGTACCTACATTTACAGTAGACAAAATAGACTTTAAAACAAGACTGTAATAAGAGACAAAGAAAATTATTACATGATTATAAATCAGTCCCTCCAACTAGAGTATATCACATATGTAAATTGATGCACCCTACATACTAGAAGCAATTAAATATATAAAGCAAATATTAATAAGCCCAAAGGGAAATTCAATAATACAGTAAGAGTAGGGAACTTTATAAATTACAGCATAACATTGATTGGGGGTGTGCACTCATGCACCCAAGCATGTGCTCTGATCAGGAAATGAACGAGTGACCTCTTGGTGCATGGGATAGCACTCAATCCATTTTCGTCAATAGGGAGGTCCTCCAGACAAAAAAAATCAATAAGGAATATAGGCCTTAAGTGACACATTAGACAGGCTGACTAAACAGAAAGAGACAAAACATTCCATCCAAAAGCAACAGAATACACATTCTTCTCAAGTGCACATAAGGCATTTTCAGGCCACTACATAAGTTTTAATAATTTGAAGAGGACTGAAATAATATCAAGCATCTTTTCCAACCATAATATGAAATTAGAAATTAATTACACAAAGAAAAATGGAAACTTCACAAATATATGAAGATTAAATAATATGTTACTGAATAACCAATGGGTCAAAGAGAAATAAAATAAAGTCAGAAAATATGAAAACTAATGGAAATACAAAATTTGTAGATTATAGCAAAAGCAGTTTTAAGAGAAAAGATGAATGTAATAAAAGCCTACTTCAAGAAACATGTGAATTCTTAACCTAACTTTCCACCTCAAGGAATTAGAAAAAGGAGACAAAAAAAAGCCCAAAGTGAGTATAAAAAAGGGAACAAATATAAGAGCAGAATAAATAAAACTAACACCAAAACGACAATAGAGAAGATCAATGAAATAAGAACTGGTTCTCTGAAAAGATAAAGTTGACAAAGAAAAATAAAATAAACTCACCAAAAAAAAAGACAGTATTCGAAGAAAATGAAAGAGGAAATAGTACAACTGATACACAGAAATAAAAAGGATCACATGAGACTACTATGAACAATTATACACCAACAAAGCAGACAACCAAAAGAAATGGATAAATTCCTAGAAACATACAACTTATCAAGACTGAATCATGATGAATAGAAAATCTGAAAAGACTTACTATTAACTAGAGGCCTGGTGCACAAAATTCCTGCATGGGTGAAAGTAAGGGGAGAGTGTCCCTCAGCCCAGCCTGCACCCTCTCCAATCTGGGACTCCTCAGGGGGTTGTCTGACTGCTGGTTTAGGCCGGATCCCACTGCCCTTCCCTGCCAGCCAATTTGGTTCTCATTGGTCAGTTTCTATGCCAGTCAGCATCAAAAGTAGGCAGTCATTGGCTTCTCACAGTTCACCCAGATTTGGTTCTGGATTGGTCAGTTTTTATGCCAGTCAGCCTCTGGGCCTATCAACAGGACCTAATCAGAAAGGCAGGGCTGCTCAGTAGCCCTGGCAGAGGACTGCAGAGAAATGAAGGCAAGGCTACTGGCCAGGCCAGGATAGAAAGAGAGAGGCAAGTGCTGATCAACAGCTGCCATAAAGGCTACAGTTCAGACCCTGCTTCTCTCTTCAGGCCTCTCTCTGGGCCTGATTCACAACCCCCTCAGCAATCAGTGATGGGTCACCACGCCTGCAGCCACAGTAGTCAGTGCTGGGTTGACTGACATTCAGTTGGTCAACATTGTGGATGTGACAAACCCAGGGTTTTTATATATTAGAACAGTAATCAATCAAAAACCTCCCAACAAACAAAAGTCTAGGAACAAATGGATTCACTGATGCATTCTATCAAATATTCAAAGAATACCAATCCTTCTAAAACTCTTTCAAAATATAGAGAGGAGGAAACTCTTCCAAACTAATTTTATACCAAAACCAGAAAGGAAGGCCACAGAAAAAGAAAATTACAGGTTGATTGCCCTGATGAACATGGATGCATACAATACTACTTTTATGACTTTTTTCAGTACTGCCATGTTTCCCCGAAAACAAGACATCCTCCGAAAATAAGAGCTAGCGTGTGGAAAGATAAGACATCCCCTGAAAATAAGACCTAGCTCAACTTTGGGAGAAAAAATTAATATAAGACATTGTCTTATTTTCAGGGAAACAGGGTAGGATTTTTAGAGATCTCTATGCTATAAAAAAATAAATAAAAATTTAAAAAAGGTTTTACCAAAGAAGTAAATAGAACTTATTAAATCCTAATTAGATTGAAATGTTAGAGAGGTATCTAGGTAATTTTGCACTTTAATATATTTTTTATTTGACAAGTAAAACATCGTTAGGTCACAGTTCCAACAAACACTTTGTTATTACTTATTTAATTTAATTATATTAAATTAATACACATAAATTAAATACACATAAGATTTTTTACATACCAGCCACTGTTGTCCATAAACAAATACATGATTTTTGGCAATGTCAACTCTATCCCATGCCAATGTAAGGATGAGCTGGTCAAATGCAGATGCATTAGTGCCTAATCAAATAGAGAAAAGTTGACAGGTTCAATTAATTTATCTTCATTAAAATATAAACATTTATAAATTCTTCCTACTCCCTTTTAACTAACTTACACAGCTGGTATCAATCACTGTTCAGAGGTAGGCTGCCTCAGAGAGGTAAGATTAACCACAGGGTTGAGGACTTTTATTTTCCAACTATAGAAAAAATACTACCTTATTCACCACAAACAATTCAGAATGTAGAACAAAAAGAATATAAAGATGACACATTTCTATCAGAGATAGTACTGACTGTTAAGATTATGAAAAACATCCTTACATGTGCTTTTCTGTGCATATATAAATACATATTTACACTTTCAATTATTTATGCAAAAAGTGGATAGCACTGTATAATGTATTCAGCAGCATGCTTTGGGTGCCTTATTACCATACCTTAATTTTCTATGACTAGTGGATAATCAGGATTTTTTTTTGTGTGTGTGTTTTTGTTTTTGTTTTTTTGATAAGTATATTTGATGTTTTTGTGGACTATATTTACATAGTATGATTTTGTAGATGCCAATTTGGAAGGATATTTTATAGCTTTTCACTGCCAAAATGTATTCCAGAAAAGTTATAAGATCTATCAGAGGTATAAAAATATCTAGTGAAAGGACAAAAAACTTACTTTTAAAATTTACTTTTTAAAAATATATACTTTTACTGATTTCAGAGAGGAAGGGAGAGGGAGAGAGATAAAAAGATCAGTGATAAGGGAGAATCATTGATTGGCTGCCTCCTGCACAGCCCCTACTAGGGATCAAGCCTGCAACCTACGCATGTGCCCTTTTGTACACAGGCCAACTCTCTATCCACTGAGCCAAAACAACTAGGACAAAATTTTACTTTGTAAAAAATTATAAATACTGAACATCTTTCCACATTTTTCTCAAGCATTTGTATTATTCTGTTATTCTGATGAACAGAATATAAATTATGGCTCATTTTTCCATGAGGTAATCATCTTTTTATTATTAATTTACACCAGCTCATTGTTATCCCTCCACATTCCTATTCATTAATTTCCTCATCTATAAAATGAGCAAAGTAATAGAAAATCTTTCCCTTTACGTTATTGTAAAGTTAAAACTGAGATAAATCCTCCCAAACACTAAAGAACAGTGGCTAGCACACAGAAGTATATGGCAAATATATTTTTATATTTATACAATCCCTTTTATTGATCCCTTTTTTTAATCATTTCTGGCTTTCCTATTACTATGGTCTCTTCTACCCAAGGTGATGTATATGTTATCTTACATTTTATTATAGTATTTTTAAAATGTTTCATTTATTGGCAATTATTGTTGCCTAGTATTTGGTAAATTCTTGTGAATGATGAAACAATAGTCCTTTCTTGCTCTGCTCCTGCCCACTCACTTACATACTTGAAATTTTAGGCAGCATGTGGGACATCATTTTAGTTTCTAATTTTATAAAGATTTTTCATTGTAATACCATTTGCTATATCAGTTGGATATTTTTGGCCAGATAATGACTGGAAAACAGTTCAATTTGTATATGCATTAACTTCTTAATCACAGAAGTTCCCTTAGTTTTCAAATTTATCTTCAGAATGAAAAAAACATGTTTAAGAAGACTATCTGAAATTCTATCAACTAATACTTTATTACCTTTATTTTTTAGCCAATTAAAAACGTGACACATTCTTAACAGGTTAATTAAATGGGTCTGATGGCATAAATCCTGCTATAACCTTAAAATAATTCTACAAAATAAACACTTATTGTCAAAGAAAGCTAACATGTCTTTTACAAATAAAAATTACTGAAAAAATTCAGTGCCCAAACACTTTGCTAAATTAAAAAATGTTTCTTATACAAAAGAGATATATTATGAAAGATCTTATAAATAAATAAAAATATTTAATCTTACCTTTAAGCAGTGCAGTAAGTATTGCTACATCTATATCTTGATGTTCATCTGATCCAATGTGAAAAACAGTGATCTATATAAGGATTAATTAATAATATTAGTTTTAAAAACTAAGGCATAAGACATAAAGTTATTTCCAACTGCACAGGAGATAGTTTTGGAATGTGTGTTATTTTTTGGTCGAAAATAAGAAACCCTAGAACATGAAATTAAGACTTTGTATCATTTACCAAGTAAAATGGCAAGTACATTAAAAATGTTTGATTTCATATTACATTCAGTTTTTCACCTGTCTTATGTCCTTTACTGAAGTAAGCAACAAACTTAAATGGGAAAACCCTGCTGTTCCTTCTGCAGAGTGAACACTTACTTAATCCAAACAACTATGTGTCATTGATGAGAAATGTTTTTTTTAACTGTAAGTTTCTTAAAATAAATTGCAATGTAAGACAATTGGAGAGATTTTTATGTAATAACATTTTTCATAAAGAAAAACACTATTGTACAAAATTTTCAACTAACTTCATTTCCAAGTATAGAGAAAAGAATACATGGAAGAAAACTGCAAATCATCTACTACTCAGAGTTAATAAAAAATTTTCTTTATAAACAGAAGCACATGTTTAGATTACTAAAAGTAAGCAGCACTACTCTTTAATTTAATTTGAGCACTCAGAGTAAAATAGTTTAAGTTTTTTTGTTTCTAAATATATTTTAGATAGGCCAATAACAATTCTTTAGTATGCGCTGCTTTATCTCTAAATAAAAATCTGTGGAGGCCTAGTTATGAAATTTTTCCTGAAATAAAGTGCAAATACATGCCTCAATACCATATAAAAGCTGTAATCGTTCTTCTGTATTTTTCAGCTTAAACAACTTCACATGGTTAAAAAAAGATTTAAAATCTTAAAATCTAAATGAAACAACTTTCTCACCAATTTGCATTGTTCTTTGAATTAAAAGGCTAAAACCTACTTACAAGCTCCTTTCTTTTCATGCACTCCATCAATGTCTGAAATAAATGAACTGCTTCACTCTGGCCAAAGTTAAATGTTTTTTTGATGGTTGAAATAATATCAGGTTCTGCTGCATCAGGAAGATTCCTAGAGTAAGGGGAAGCATAACTTAATTCACAAATTTACATTCTCATTATTTCTAGAACCTAATATGAAATACAGATGGATCTATTCAAGATTTTTAAAGCTACTTTATTAAGTACTTGACCCTCGGTGAAATTTTCTCCTTCATGAGACTCCCACTATAAGTCATAAAGGGGAAATGGAATGGAATGATTTTTCTCTTTAAAATATTTCAAAGTTTTTTACAAGGTACTATGTATTTCTTTTTTTAAAAAAAATACATTTTATTGATTTTTTTTTTTTTACAGAAAAGAAGGGAGAGGGATAGAGAGTTAGAAACATCAATGAGAGAGAAACAACGATCAGCTGCCTCCTGCACACCTCCTACTGGGGATGTGCCCGCAACCAAGGTACATGCCCTTGACCGGAATCGAACCTGGGACCCTTCAGTCAGCTGGCTGATGCTCTATCCACTGAGCGAAACTGGTTTTGGCCAAGGTATGTACCGTATTTTTCGGACCATAAGACGCTCCGGACCATAAGATGCACCAGTTTTTAGAGAAGGGAAATGAAGAAAAAAAGATTCTGAAACAAATAGTGTCCTAAAATATTTTATGTGCATTAAAACCCAACATCACAGTCATAAACACATGTAATCAACCCTGTAAAGTAAACAGCAGCATTTAGAACCATTTTAGAGCCGGGCAAGCACACAGAGACCACACAGAGCCGGGCAAGTAAAAAAACTTTTTTTTTAAAGTATATGTGTAGGCTATATTTGGACCATAAGACGCAGGGACTTTTCCCCCCGACTTCTGGGCGAAAAAAAGTGCGTCTTATGGTCCGAATAATACGGTATTTCAATATTAGTACTAATTTTCTATAAGATATTATATAAAGATTAGAGGCCCGGTGCAAGAAATTCATGCACGGAAGGATGGGTGTCCCTCAGCCCAGCTTACACCCTCTCCAATCTGGGACCCCTCGAGGGCAGTTGGACATCCCTCTCACAATCCAGGACTGCTGGCTCCCAACTGCTCACCTGCCTGCCTTCCTGATTGCCCCTAACCACTTCTACTTGCCAGCCTCATCACCCCCTAATCACTCCCATGCCAGCCTGATTGATGTCTAACTGCTCCCCTGCCAGCCTGTTTGCTCCAACTTCCCTCCTCTGCCGGCCTGGTCACCCTAACTGCCTTCCCTTGCAGGCCTGGTCCCTCACAACTGTCCTCCCTTGCAGGCCTGGTGCCACCCAACTGCCCTCCCCTGCTGGCCATCTTGTAGTGGCCATCTTGTGTCCACATGGGGGCAGCCATCTTATATATTGCAATGATGGTCAATCTGCATATTACTTTTTTATGAAATAGGATAGATGCCTGTACACAGGTGGGGGACATCTGGTTTGCCCTGAAGGGTGTTCCGGATCAGGGTGTGATTCCCTTGGGGCATGGGGTGGCCTGAGAGAGAGGCCTGTGGTGGTTTGCAGGCCAGCCATGTCCCCTGGCAATCCAAGCGGAGGCCCTGGTATCTGGAATTTATTTACCTTCTACAATTGAAACTTTGTAGCCTGGAGTAGAGCCAAGCCTCCTGCTCGCTCTGTGGCCAGCAGTCATTTCTGTTGGAGTTTATTATCCTTCTATAATTGAAACTTTGTAGCTTTAAGCGGTGGGGGGAAAGGTTTGCTTCTTCCATTGCCAGGGCAACCTTAGCCTCCCACTCTTTCCAGCTCCCTGGCTGCCACCAACTCTGTTTGGATTTGTTTACCTTTTATAATTGAAACTTTGTAGCCTTGAGTGGAGGCTTAGACCGGCAAGGGCAGGCGAAAAGCTTGGCTTCCTCTGTTGCCTGGGAAACCCAAGCCTCCCTCCTGCTCTCTGTGGCCATAGCCATCTTGGTTTGGTTTATTTGCATAATTGCTGATTGGCTGGTGGGCGTGGCTAGTGGGTGTAGCAGAGTGATGGCTAATTTGCGTATTACTCTTTTATTAGGTAGGATAATTTTAAAATAATGTGGTATGTAAAGCAGTATTTCACCAAAATGTCTTAAACACAAGCTCATGCACATTTTTATTTCTTTTTCTCAATTGGTATTATATTTACATGGTTCAAAAATGTATATACATAAAAGCCTAGCCCTAACCAGTTTTGCTCAGTGGATAGATCTTCAGCCTGCGGATTCAAGGGTCCCAGGTTCGATTCTGTCAAAGCATGTCCCTTGGTTGCGTGCATGTTCCCAGTGGGGGGTGCACAGGAAGGCAGCTGATTGATATTTCTCTCACCAATGTTTCTAACTCTCCCTCTCCCTTCCTCTCTGAAAAAAAATCAATAAAATATATTTTTAGCATGAGTGGGAGGGTAGGGAAGTAATGGGGGAATAAGGACACATTTGTAAAACCTTAACCAATAAAGAAATTTTAAAAATACACACACACACACACACACATTAAATATATATGTTTATATATATTAAACTTCAAATTTTCATGTTCATAACATATTGAAATAAATCTAATATTCTAAAACACAAGCCTCTTTATATAGTTATTAAAAACTTGTTGTAATCATACACTTACCCTCCCTCTTCTGTTTGTTTATGAATATACGCTAGTAGATCTGCAGCTCTGCCTGTTCCCTCACATATGACAACTGGAACAGGAGGACTTTCTTGAAGGTATTCCAAAACTGTAAGGATAACATTTGGCCCACCTTCAAATATAAGTGCCACCACAGGGACACCTTGACCAATTCCTAAAAAAAGAAAAAGATTCGTTAAGATATTAGGCAAATTTAGTAATTTAATCTTATTTTTTATTCAATCAAAAACAAAATAAAAATAAAAGGCCAATATATTTCTTTCAATACAGTGTTGACTTCATTTTAAGTATTCAACACGATACTAGTTTGGCATAAATTAAATACTGAATAAGTTACTTTTTCACTTCTAATTTTGTCTATTAAACTGTTTTAATAGACAAAATTAGAAAATCCAATGTACAATTAGACATATCCTAGAATTTATGTATTTTTTGAAAAGTAAAAATATTTTGTATATTTCACTAACTCTTGGTAAGAAATGTGTAACATTAATTTGTTTTAGAGTTTGCTTCTAGTTGAATTTCTAATATGTCTGTTTTTATTATAAAAATGTATATTTCTGATTCCAAATAATTAAGACATTAATACACACATTAATGACAGAATTAGGATTACATAAAGGGAACTGATTAATAAAATACAAGACCTCTACAAGAGTAACAAATAAATTTAGTAAAGAATATCAATTTTTGTTTTTAATAACCTGCAATGCAGCAAGATAATTCAAAATATACGTAATACCACGACTAAAACATCTGTAATCTTAAAAAGAAATGCTAAGACTCCATCATAATTTGAATACAATGTTCTGTAATTTTGAATTTCCCTTTGCCATAGAGCTCACCTTCTTGGTTTCCTAAAATTACACAATTTCTCCTCTTTGAAACAAAAATCTGGATGTTGGGGAAATCAAAAAGTTTGATCATGGTTGAAAAAGATCAGTATTAAGAATACCAACTTTTAAGAAACGCCTACCAAAAAGTGACACTACTCGCGTTAAAAACTTTAAGCAAGGTTATTCTTACTTTGCAATAAAGCATTTTTTCTTCTTTTACTCTTCATCTTGAATTTCAAAGTCATGTATTAGACTATATCACCCATTAAGATTATTTCTGAATTCTTTGGGCTGCAATAGGATTACAACAGCAACCAAACTTCCAATGGGCCTTTGTGGCTTTGACTTTAATATCTGAGTACTCTCAGATATTGGCCTTAGGCTTCTTTTCCTAGGTCACCTTATTAATCTAAGGTCAGTCATTCTTTGTTATTTCACATGCTATCTTGCTATGTAATAAAACCAACACTTAAATAAACATTATTTTAAGAATGTTGCTAGCATCAACAAAACAACAAGAAAGCCCACTGTATGGGAGAACATATTTGCAAATGATATCACTGATAAAGATTTAATCTCCAATATCTACAGACAGCTTATATTTACAACAAAATAAAAGGAAGATGAATGATCCAATTAAAAATGGGCAATGGACCTAAATAGAATATTTTCAAAAGAAGACAGAAGGAAGGCCAAAAGGCACATGAAAACATGTTCAAAGTCACTAATTATCCGAGAGATGCAAATCAAAACAACAATGCGGTACCATCTCACACCTGTCAGAATGGCCAACATCAACTAATCAACAAATGACAAGTGTTGGCGAGGTTGCAGAGGAAAAGGAACCCTCGTGCACTGCTGGTGGGAATGCAGACTGGTGCAACCACTGTGGAGAACAGTGTGGAGTTTCCTCAAAAAACTGAAAATGGAACTCCCATTTGACCCAGTAATCCCATTCCTAGGAATATATCCCAAGAAACTAGAAACATCAATTAGAAAGGATATATGCACCCCTATGTTCATAGCAGCACAATCTACAATAGCTAGAATCTAGAAACAGCCTAGGTGCCAGTCAGCAGATGATTGGATCCAAAAACCATGGTACATCTACACAATGGAATACTATGCTGCCATAAAAAAGAAGGAATTCTCATCATTTGCAGCAACCTGGATGGAACTGGAGAACATCATGCTGAGTGAAATAAGCCAGTCAATGAAAGAGAAACACCACATGACCTCATTCATTTATGGATAATAAAGAACATTATAAATTGATGAACCAAAAGGTAGATATAGAGACAGTAAAGCAACAAGTAGACTGTCAAATTACAGCAGGTCGGGTAGGGAGATCTGGGGGAGATAATAGATCAACTGAAGGACTTGTATACATGCATATAAGTACAACCAATGGACACAAAACTCTGAGGAAGGGGGGTATGTATGGGAGGGGGGGCAATGTTAAAATATGAACACAGGTAATAATTTAATAAAGAAATAAATAAATGAAAAATAAAGTGCAAAAAAAAAAAAAGAATGTTGCTGGCAATTAATATAGCCCAGAATAATTTCAACAACAAATTTATAATTTCAGTAACAAATTTATAAATTCCCTTACTAGCATGAATTCTTTGCTGATTAACAGTTTTTTCAAGTTCTCTTCTCAGCCTGACTTCTGCCCCATACTTTCCAACAGTGCCATCATCCACCAATATGAAATGGGAATGTAGATTATTCAAAACATTCAATTTGCTCAGAGGGTTCAATAAGGTTTGATAAGGAGCAACCACCTAAACAATATCAAATGTAAGAGTTAGTGGGAAAGATTAAATATAACATAATATAAAAATAAATTGAAGTAAGCAATAGAGGGAAGATAAAATTCCATTTACCTATGGCAACAAATAGAAAGCGTCAAAAAATACATCAAAAAGCACTAGCTTTAAAAAAAAAAAAAAAAAAAAAAAAGCACTAGCTTTTAAGCAGCCAAAGATTAATCAGTAATTGACTGAATGATACAAGTAAATTTTTACTGTTATTGCAGAATATATTTCATTGTCACATGCAAAGGAAGCAGGAGCATATAAGTAAATAATGTGGAAAAAAACACGATAAATAATAAAAAAAAGCAACCAAAAGTCATATTGCTATTTTTCTGGTCATAAATAGGATCTTTAAAATTGATATTAGAAATTTAATAACATTTAAAAGTGATCATTATAAATTAGTCATTTCTTTTTGATAGTCTCTTCATATACGTAACCAATTTATATTTTTAACCTATTCAAGGCATTTAATTACTACTCAGTAAAGTAAAATTAACTCTTAATATTATGTAATCATTAAAAATTTAATTATAAATACTGGCATAAAATGGGATAAGTGTGAAATAATTATTTTAAAAAGGCAGAAACCAAAATCTACTCACACTATAATGACAATTACTACTACTTGTATCTATGACTGTATATTCAAAATGATCAGAAGGAAACGTTAGAGAAATATTTTTAAAAAGGTAATTTGAAAAGTATTGTATACTCAAGAATATTTTAAGTTGACTAAAAGATCCTTGTTTTAATTTTGCTTATAAGTAAGTGTGAATACAAGAAATTTAAAAATCATTCTTACATCTCTCCCAACAAGATCATTTCTGTTTTCAATCACTCCCCATGGAGCTATTCCGATAGTGCAAATCTTCCGAGATGATCTGGAAGCATGTTCTTTGAGGGCATCACCAACATGTTTGGCCACACCTGTTTATACAAAATAGAATTCACTTTATCTCAAAGTCTTCATTGTGTTCAGAACAATCATGTGCTCCATCTGTAACATTACAATTGGTGATACTTTCCTTAACATATACAAGACAAAAGGCAACAAGGTCAAAAAAACAAACTTACAAAGAAAACTCAGGATCAAAGAGAAAAAAAACTACAATTTCAAAACAGTACAACTGCCTAAAACACATACCATGTTCTTAGGCTTAGTTTCTCTCTTAGATTCTTCAATGTAAGTAACTATCATTTTTTGTTACTGCTCTACACACCATCTCAAAAAACTAAAAGTATGGCTTAGGACTATAAAAAACACACACCCCAAATAATTACAAAAGCTTCCTAATGGGAAAACCTGGGAGAATAGTAGAAAAGACAATTCAAAAGACCACATTAAGTCCTCATTATGATTTGTTATGAGCTTAATTGTATCCTCCCCAAAATTCCTATGTTGAAATCCTAATCCCCGTACTAAAAATATTACTGTATTTGGAAATAGGTCCCTTAGAGAGGTTATTACATCAAAATGAGGTGGTTAGGGTGGGTCCAAATCCAACCTGACAGGTGTCCTTACAGGAAAAAAGAGACACAAAAGGAGGCACCATGGACGCACATGCACAGAGGAAAGGCTACGAGAGGACACAATGAAAAGGTCACCATCTGAATGCCAAGAAGAAAGGCCTCGGAAGGAACAAAACCTGCTAACATCTTGATCTTGGACCTAGAGAAATATGAGAAAATAAATTTCTTTTGTTCAAGCTACCCTAATCTTGTGGTATTTTGTTATGGCATTTGGCAATTTGGTATTTACTTTCAAAATATCATACAAGTGATTTTTGGTCTTATCAACTCTGCTTAAAACCATCCCTTCTCATTTAGAGAAGATTAAAATGGACTATAAGGCCTTCTATAAAGATCTTCCTATTGTCCCTGATATTCACCACGCTACCCAATCCTCACCACCATCACACTCCCAAATCTTTTTTATCAAAAAACTAAAAGTATGGCTTAGGACTATAAAAAACACACTAGCTGTTTATTCTTTACTAGAGGCCTGGTGCAAAAAATTCGTGCATTGGGGGGGGGGGGGGGGGGGAGACAGCTGTCCCTCAGCCCAGCCTGCACCCTCTCCAATCTGGGATCCCTCGAGGGATGTCCAGCTGCCCGTTTAGGCAGGATCCAGATAGGGATAGCCAAATAACTAATATCATTGCAGTGATATTTTCAATAGCCTGTTCACCCCTAACTGCCCTCCCCTGCAGGCCTGGTCCCCTCCAACTGCTCTCCCCTGCAGGTCTGGATCCCCCAAAACTGCCCTTTTCTATAGGCCCAGTCACCCCCAACTTCCCTCCTCTGCTGGCCTGGTCACCCCTAACTGCCCTCCTTGGCTACTGAAATTATCACTGCAGCCGAAACCGGTTTGGCTCAATGGATAGAGCGTCGGCTTGGGGACTGAAAGGTCCCTGGTTCAATTCCGGTCAAGGGCATGTACCTTGGTTGCGGGCATATCCCCAGTAGGGGGTGTGCAAGAGGCAGCTGATCGATGACTCTCTCTCATTGATGTTTCTAACTCTCTCTCTCCCTTCCTCTCTGTACAAAATCAATAAAATAGATTTTTTTTTTTTAAAGAAAATATTACTAGGCCTTAAAAAATAAAAATTTAAAACAGAAAAAAAGAAATATCACTGCAGCCAGGACCAGTTTGGCTCAGTGGATAGAGCGTCGGCCTGCGGACTAAAAGGCCCCGGGTTCGATTCTGGTCAAGGGCATGTACCTTGGTTGCGGGCACATCCCCAGTGGGGGGGGGGGGGGGGTGTGGTATGCAAGAGGCAGCTGGTCGATGTTTCTCTCTCATCGACATTTCTAACTCTCTGTCCCTCTCAATTCCTCTCTGTGTAAAATCAATAAAATATATTTAAAAAAAGGAAAAAAAGAAAATATCACTGCAATGAACATAGTAATTTGCATATTATTCTTTATTAGATAGGAATGCTAGGCCCCACATTAGTCTTATCTTACTCCTTCATTTTCTTCCATCTCTACTCAAATGTCACTTTATTAGTGAAGCCCTCTCCACTGTCCCCATCATCTCTACATTATATTTCATGTGTCTGCATAGCACTTACAATCTAACTTATTATACATTTGTATGAGTTCAACATAGGTTTTATTCTTTTATTTCCCTACAGTTTTAATTTGTATTTTTCTAATAACAGTTTACATCATATTATGTTGTTAGTTTCAAGTGTACAGCATAATGATTAACATATACTTTACAAAGTGTTCCACCTGATATTTCCAGTACCTACCTGGCACCATACATAGTTACAATATTAATGACTGTATTTCCTATGCTGTACTAGACATCCCCATAACTATTTTATAACTGTCAAACTGTACTTCTCACTTCACCTTTTCACCCAGTCTCATAAACCCACCTCCCCTCTGGCAATCATCAGTCTATTCCCTGTATCTGTTTTGTTCCTTCGTTTATATTGTTCTTTAGATTTCCACATATAAGTGAAATCATATATTATTGTCTTTCTCTGACTGGTCTATTTGACTTTACCCTCCATACATGTCCATACATGCAAATGGTTAACATTTCATTTTTTATGGCTGAGTAATATTCCACTGTATATATGTACCATATCTACTTTATCCACTAACATACTGATAGGCACTTGGGTTGCTTCCATATCGTGGCTATTGAAAATATCACTGCAATGAACATAGGAATGAACATATTCTTTCGAATAAGTGTTTTGGGTTTCTTCGGATATAAACTCAGAAACAAAATTTCTGGAACATAAGGCAGTTCCATTTTTACTTTTTTGAGGTAACTCCATACTGTTTTCATAGTGGCTGTATTAATCTGCATTTCCACCAACAATGCATGGTTCCCTTTCCTCCATATCCTCATCAACACTTGTTTGTTGATGTATTGATGACAGCCATTCTGACGGGTGTGAGGTGATATCTCATTGTAGTTTTAATTTGAATTTTTCTGATGATTAAAACCATCTTTTCATGACTATTAGCCATCTATATGTCCTCTTTGGAGAAATGTCTATTCAGGTCCTTTGCCTACTTTTAAATGAATTATTTGTTCTTTAAGTTTTGAGTTGTTCTGAGTTCTTTATAAATTTTGGGTATTGCCCAACCAGCATAGATCAGTAGTTGAGCATCGACCTATGAACCAGGCGGTCATGGTTTGATTTCTGACCTGGATTGCAGGCTCAGTTTCCAGTGGGAGGCGTGCAGGAGGCAACCAATCAATGATTCTAATTATTGATGTTTCTCTTTCTCAACCTCTCCCTTCATTTCTAAAATCAATATAAGTATATATTTTTAAATAAATAAATATACTTTGGATATTAACCTCTTATTGGATGTATCAGTGGTGAGTAGCTTTTCCTGTTCAGCAGTTTTTCTTTTCATTTTGTTGATGGGTTCCTTTGCCCAGCAAAAAACTTATAATTTGATGTAATCCCATTTATTTATTTTTTGTTTCCCTTGCCTGAGAAAAAATAATATTCAGAAAAACTAAAATATCATACATTTAGTTATCTGCATCTCTCTACCAGAATGTAATCTGCATGAAGGTAAATATTTTATTTGTTTTGTGGAATGCTATATTTTCAGCAGCCAGAAGAATACTTAATACAAAATAAGTCTTTAAAAACCGTTGTTGGTAATGAATTAGCTTTTACCAAGCTAATTTAAGTTAATAATTGTTTTACTTTAGACATTAAAATAAATTGGTCTTTATTATATCTAACCCTTAGATGTAATAGGAAATGAAAAATTATAGTATATTAAAAATTAATTTTGAAAGCTGCTTCTTACTACTGGTCAGGCAATAAATTCCAATTTTTTATTATTATTGATTTTTTACAAAGAGGAAGGGATAGAGAGTTAGAAACATCGATGAGAGAGGAACATTGATCAGCTGCCTCCTGCACACCCCCTTCTGGGGATATGCCTACAACTAAGGTAGAGGAATCGAACCTGGGACCCTTCAGTTCACAGGCCGACACCCTATCCAAACCAGTTAGGGCTCAAATTCTTATGCCAATTTACCAATAGCCAGATATTGGCAGGAATAACAATACTTTGCTCTATAGTAGGGGTTAGTAACCTTTTTTTGTAAAGGGCCAAATAGTAAATGTTTTAGGCTTTGTAAAATATACAGTCTCTGTCACAGCTAAACTAGCACAAAGTAGCCATAAATAACACAAAACCAAATGAGTGCAGCTATGTTCCAATAAACCTTTATTTATAAAAACAAGGAGTGAACTGGATTTGGTAGATAGACCATAATTAGCCAACCCCTGTTCTAAAATGTATTATTTTTTTAAAAAAAAACTAAATAAAAATCAAATATTCTTACAGTTGCCATTTATATCTAGAAACTGTAGATTATTTAACAGAAAAACTGAATATATTTATATTCAATGTTGACTATTGTTTCAAATATCTAATTGTTATTCTGAAAAAATTACACACTAAATAAAATTAGTATAATCATCGCAGTACCTGTATTTACTCCTCCAGTTAAAATCCAGGCTCCAGTTGTAACTGCAGCTTTAATAAGACCTTTTCCAAGCAACTGCTTGACTCGTGGGTGAAGCTCAAATTTCTGCATGCCCCCATGTACAGAGATAACAAGTTTGGGTAATTCTATTTGCCATTCTTTAAGCAGAAGTTGCAGAATGACTTCAGTTTTGGTGTCATATGATAGCCTGACATACTAAAAAAAAATTTAAAAAAAAAACAAAATAATTGACTATGTTCACAGGTTTCATAATACGTTACACAACTTTAGAAAACTTTTATTTTAATCAGATTAGTATAAAGTAGATTTCATAGACTGCTTTTAATATAGTTACACTTTGAAAAAGCAAGAGCAAATGATTTTAAAGTTGGAAAGCCATTTTATTTTGTACAAGCTATAGAAGTAGTGGCATTTTAATTTTTACAATTTAAGTGTGTTACACTTCCTGTTTATATAAATTCAATTACTGTTCATCCAATTTACAAATTTATCCACAGTATTTTTTAGCTTGTTTAACTATGAGTATACAGTAAATGAGATGTATTAAGGTTAACTACAATGATGGGGGGTGGGGGGAAAATGATGAAAAATGGACACTTCTACAACTCTTGCTATTAAGAAAAGCAAATACTAAATTATCTATCTGAAAGTTTTTGTCAGTGATAGAATTCATTTAAAGAACTGTGATAATGCAGTAAAGTAATAAAAATATTTTTTCACTCTTTTTAAAAAATATATATTTTATTGATCTTTATTTTACCGAGAGGAAGGGAGAGGAATAGAGAGTTAGAGACATCGATCAGCTGCCTCCTTCACACTCCCTACTGGGGATGTGCCCACAACCAAGGTACATGCTCTTGACGGAAATCAAACCTGAGACCCTTCAGTCCACAGACCAGTGCTCTATTCACTGAGCCAAACCAGTTAGGGCGAAAAATATTTCTAATATAAATTATTGTTTCCCTTGTGGAAGTAATTCTAGATTTAATCCACAAATTACTGAAAATAATAAATTTTACTCAATATTCTAATATGTTCAGATGAGTTTACCAGTTTAGTTTTTAAAAAAAATAATTCTATAGAAAATAAACCACCATATCCTCTGATTATTAGTAGTTTTAAAATTATATTTCTCTTAATTATACATCACAAAATTTACTTGCTATTACTACTCTACTTCATTCTCTTTATCTACTGCACCTATATGATTCAGTTCATAAAAAATCTGAAATATTCAGATGTTGGAAGAAAAAACACTTTTAAATATCTTTAAGAAAGGTTATTTGCAAAACAATATATTGCCCATCCATTACAAATATCAAATACCAATGAAAAAATATCCCAAAATATCAGAATTCTTCAACACTGATTAAGATTCCAGAGTCCTGGCACAAAAAAAAAAAAAAAAAAAAAAAAAAAAAAAAAAAAAGATTTCAGAGTCCCTTGAGAATGCTTTGAAAAAGATTTGTTCTATACTAAGTATTTCTGCATTAGTCTTATTATAATAAGACAGTATATACAGTAATGTTTGGAAAACTTAATTATTATAATTAAGACAGTATATACAGTAGTGTTTGGAAAACAGTCGAAAGCTAATTTTTAAAAAACAGATTATGTTAAGAATAAATGAGGAATTCTACTTCTGGCAATGAACTAGATTGCTTTGGACCATCTCTGCCTCTGGAAACTAGAAAAACTAAAAGTAGGTAAGTAACATCTATTTTGAGGCATCAGAGGGCTACCAAGCAATGAGAACTTGTGGATTAAGGATCCACGAGAATAGAAAAACTTTTAGAGATGGGACCACCAATTGGCACTATTTTCCCATCAAGAGAAGGAGACAGGCAAAACAATGGAAAGAATAAAACGTTGGTAAATCTAAATGAAAGACAATTATGTCTTCGGGTTTTAAATACACAAATAAAACTCATGCCAACAAAAAGCAGGTAAGCCATAAGGAAAGTAAATGCACTTACTAAAGTTCTAAAGGATATTGCATTGTCAGAAAGTAGTAAAAGTACTAATTTATAATAGTAACAAGTTAAAAATGTATTCAAACTGTTTCTAAGAATACTGTAAGCCTGGCTGGCATGGCTCAGTGGTTAAATGTAAACCTATTAACCAGGAGGTCATGGTTGATTCTCCGGCTGGGCACATGTCCAGGTTGTGGGCTCCATCCCCAGTGGGGACGTGCAGGAAGCAGCCGGTCAGTGATCATTTCTCATCACCGATGTATCTATATCTCTCCCCCTTCTCCCTTCCTCTCTGAAATCAATTTAAAAATATATTTTTAAAAGAGAATATAAAAATTAAAAATATGTAAATAACATGCTAATAAGAACTAGTTTTTAAAAGAAAACCTTAAACGTAAGGAAAGGTTAACAGTAAAAGAAAAGAAAAAATTAGCTATACTGATTACTGAAAAAGCAGGCTTAGTCAACAAACAAAAAATAAAAGATATTTTATAATGATAAAAGGTTCAAGGTATAACAATTATATATTTTATGCACTTCTACAAAGAACTTAAAAATATGTAAAAGAATTACTGGGACTGGTTTCCTGACATAGATTATATAAACTGTCAGATAACAAGCATATATTATTTAAATAACAACATAAATGAAGTAAAGAAATCAAATATGTGACATACTTTAGCTCTGTAGGAATGAGAACCCCCTTGAAAATTTATGACTCCATAAGCATCTGTTGGGCTCTGTTCTGTATGCTTTTCCACAGACCATTCTTCCAATGCCTGATTAAAATGGTCACCCAATTTCACATCTGAGTATTTCATGGCAAGACTTGCAGTAAAACAAGCATGTTGCTTGACCAAGCGACCACAAAAACACCTAAAGAAAAACAATAAAATTAAAAACTTTAAAAAAATTAGTCAATGAAAAACTGAATTAAATGAATCAAAGAATATAAAAATAATTTGAGCTTTTGATTTTAATATAGCTAAAATAATATCTTTACTACAGCAATAAATAGTACAAATATATTAGTATATAATGATATATTCATCTAAATTTAGTGTGAGCTTCTACAAAATAGTATCTATATACACAAAAAGCCTGTTGCCCCAACACTGTAATGACCAAAAACTGGCGCAGGTGGGCGGGGCTGTAAGCACAGTGAGCCATGCGATTTCGCGTACTGGGCTTCTAGTAGTTATATAATAGAAACAGTATTTAAACACAGAAAGAAATGAACCACTAATAGACACAATAATATGATGTATCTCAAAATCATCATGCTGAGTGAAAAAAAACTGGATGCCACCAAAAGGATACCATGTATACAGAATTCAAGAAAATACAAATTAATTTACCGTATTTTTCAGACCATAAGACGCTCCGGACCATAAGACACACCAGTTTTTAGAGAAGGGAAATAAAGAAAAAAAGATTCTGAAACAAATAGTGTCCTAAAATATTTTATGTGCATTAAAACCCAACATCACAGTCATAAACACATGTAATCAACCCTGTAAAGTAAACAGCAGCATTTAGAACCATTTTAGAGCCGGGAAAGCACACAGAGACCACACAGAGCCGGGCAAGTAAAAAAACTTTTTTTTTAAAGTATATGTGTAGGCTATATTTGGACCATAAGACGCAGGGACATTTTCCCCCCACTTCTGGGGGGGAAAAAGTGCGTCTTATGGTCCGAAAAATACGGTATATACCCAAGGATATGTTAACAACTGCTAGACAGCAGTAGGATACATAATTTCTAAAGTACACAAAAGACAGGCAATAGTTTAGTGTTCCTGTCAGAAAGAATCAAGAGATCTCATAATATAGGAGGTCTATAATGTAATAGAGTCCTCAGGAGAGTATAGACTGCATATGCCCTGACAGAGTTTAAGAGCAAGACTTGAAAGAACCAAACTAACCCAAAATTACTTAACTGCATGCTAAAGTAAGTCCAAAGCTAGTGGAATACAGCAAAACCCAGTACCAAAACATAAAATTCACAGTGTGCAGCAACCATCAGAAATTACAAGGCAATCAAAAAAGCAGGAAAATATAAGTGAAAAAATATCAGTAATGAAGACCTAGAAATTGTACAGAGGTAATGAAATTAGCAGAAAAGGACACTAAACAGCCATTATAAATAAGTTCAATATTAAGAATATGTTTGGAAAAATTAGAGGAAAACATTAACAGGATGAGGGAGGAATTGGAAAGGTTTTATTTTTAAAACTAGAGGTCCAGTGCACGAATTAATGCACCAGTGGGGTTCCTTGGCCTGGCCTGAGGGATTGGGTAGAAACCAGCTCTCCAACACCCTTCAAGGGATCTTGAATTGTGAAGGGGTGCAGACCAGGCGGAGGGACCCCACCTGTGCATTATCAGGGTCGGAGAGGGACTCAGGAGGTTGGCCAGCCAGGGAGAGACCGCAGGAGGCCTCCAGGGTGTGTCTGGCCCATCTTGCTCAGTCCCTATCGACTGGACCCCAGCAGCAAGCTAACCTATCCGTCAGAGCATCTGCCCTCTGGTGGTCATACACATTACAGTGACTGGTCGACTGTCCCCTGGTGCTCAGTGCACATCATTGAGAGAGGTTGAGCAGCCTTAGCATATCATTAGCATATTACACTTTGATTGGTTGAACAAACAACCAGACAACCGGATACTTAGAATATTAGGCTTTTACAATATTATAGAGGCTATCCCAATTAGGATAGCTAAAGAAATATCTGAAATAAAAATGTCCTAGGGTTAGATTTATAACATATTAGACACTACAAAAAACAACAGTAAACTTGAAGACAGCAATCAAATCTACCCAAAATGAAACACTTAGAAAGAAAAAAGGAGTAAGAACATTAGTGACTTGTGGAATAATTTCAAGTAGCTCAACACACACATAAATCACCAGAATTGAGGGAATAGAAATAAAATTTGAAAACTATTTGACTGAGAAAATCTGAGCAGTTCAATAGGGAATAAGCAAAATGAGCTTGAGGAAATCACAATACAACACTGCTAAAAACCAATAATAAAAGCTTAAAAGCAGCCAGACTACAAGTGTCACATTATGTACAGAAAAACAAAGAATGACAGTAGGTATCTTATTACAAAACTACTATCAAATTAGAATCCTAGGAATAAATTTAACCAAGGAGATAAAAGACCTGTACTCAGAAAATAAGATACTGAGGAAAGTAATCAAAGAAGATACTACTAAAAGAATATAGCATAATCACAGGTAAGAAAAACTAATATCATTAAAATGTCCTCACAAACCAAAGCAATCTATAGTTTCAATGCAATTTCTATGAAAATACCAATAACATGATTCACAGAAGTAGAACAAATAATCCAAAAATGTACAGGGAACCATAAAAAGACCCTCAAAAGCCACAGCAATCTTGAGGGGAAAAACAAAGTTGGAATTATCAGGCCACCTGATATTAAACTATACTATAAGGCTTAGTATTCAAAACAGCATGATACTGGCATAAGAAGACATAAATTAATAGGACAGCATAGGAAGCCCAGAAATAAACCCACACCTATTTGGTCAATTAATATTTGACAAAGAAGGAAAGAACATACAATGGGGTAAAGACAGTCCTTGCAAATAAATGGTATTGGTTAGGTAGTTTAAATGCCATCCTTCTGGGAAATGGGTATTTGTGGTAGGTGGAACTTTTTGCTTAAAATTCTGAAATTATAAAATCAACATCAAATTAGCAGAAAAAATAAATCAGTTATTATTATTATTAAATATTAAAAACATGCCACCATCTACATAACTCTATTTTTATATCTATGATAAATTATACAAAAATTCCCAGGTTAACATTTTCAAAGGAAATATCTGTACATATTTTCTTTCTCAAAAAATTTAATATTGTTAGTTTTCTTAAATTATTGTGTGCACACAATGAAAGGTATTTACTATGCATTTGATATTCAATTACTTACAAATAAATAAAGATCAAAATGTAACAGAGAAATATAAAAATTACCCTCTCTACAAGTGGCTTAATATAATAATGGCTTATTAAAATTGTGATATTACCAAACTATTATTACCTAAAAAAATAAATAAGTGGTGTTAGGAAAATTGGAAAGATACATGCAAAGAATCAAGTGAAAATTCTAGAATTAAAAAATATAATGCATGCTGAAACCGGTTTGACTCAGCGGTGGAGCGTCAGTCTGCGGATTCCGGTCAAGGGCATGTACATTGGTTGCAGGCACATCCCCAGTAGGGGGTGTGCAAGAGGCAGCTGGTCGATGTTTCTCTCTGATTGACGTTTCTAGCTCTCTCTCTCCCTTCCTCTCTGTAAGAAAAATCAATAAAATATATTAAATTTTAAAAAAAATAATCCATGAAATAAAAAGTTCACTGGATGGGCAAAACAACATTTTGAAAATTGCAGATATGAGATTTAGTGAACCTAAATACAGATCAGTATACACTGAGTGGCCAGAATATTATGATCTCTGAACACATAATAATCTGGCCACTCTGTGTGTGTGTGTGTGTGTGTGTGTGTGTGTGTGTGTGTGTGTGTGTATGAGGTCTGGTACTTAATTCATACATGGTGAGATCCATGCTAGTTGAACTCCTGGTCAAGGGAATAATTTGCATATTAGCCTTTTATTATATAGAATATACACTGAGTGGCAAGATTACTATGTGTTCAGAGATAATAATAATCTGGCCACTCTGTAAATTTAATAAATGTAAAAATTTTTTATTTTAAAATATGGCACCAGTGACCTGTGGAAAACATTAAGCAATCTAACATAGATATTACTATAGTCCCATAAGGAAAAGAGAAAACAGATTGAGGCAGGAAAATAAATTAAGAAACAACAGTTGAAAACTTGTCAATTTGGTGGAAAATAACTTGCAAATATTGACACAGGCAAAGTAAGTACAAAAAACCACTCTCAGGCACATTAGAGACCTGACTCTGAAAACCAAAAATACAGAAGAAAAACACACACAACACTTTAAAGCAGCTGACGGGAAAAAAAGACCCATTACATACAGAAAAACAGCTATATTAATGATGGCTAACTTTTCACCACTAACAAGAGCCAGAATACAGTAAAATACCTTTAAAATGCCAGAATAAGAGAACTACCAACTCAGAATTCAATATCTAGTGAAAATATCCTTTAAGTCTGAGAGTAAATAAACATTTTCTGATAAACCAAGCTGAGAAAATTCATCTCCAGTATATCTGCTTTATACCAAAGGCTAAAGGAAGTTCTTTAGCTTGAATGGAAAAACACCAGATGGAATTTCCAATCCAGAGGAACAAATGAATATCAAGACCATAGATGGTAAATCTCAGTATATCTAAAATGAACTCATTCTATACACATTTGTTCCTAACATACCAACCACAAACCTATTTGTCTTCCTCTTCTATTCTTTTATCAGATCTTAATGAGCATACTATTTACTTAGTTGCCAAAGTAAGAAATTTACGAACCATCTCAAATCCTCCTTTCTCCACACATCACTAAATCATATTGAGTTTGTCTCATTTATCCTTTCAAATGTCTATTTCTCTTCATCATCATAGCTACTACCTTAATTCAGCCTTTATTTCAGAGTTGCCAGAATTACTCCAAAGCTTTCCATACTATTTTTTTCTCCCAACTCAATCTCCATTGCATTGAAAGAAAAAAAAAAAGAAAGAGAAAAATAAGCCTGTTATTTCCCCATACAATATGCTGTTAACATGAAATCAAAATCATGTGGCATATACACAAAGAGCTTAAATGATTTGGCCCCTACTCATTTTTCCAGTCTCAGATCTCTCCAACATTCAACTTACATTCTCGAGTTTTATGACAGAACCATAATCTCTTCCACTGTCAAGTTTGCCCACATCCTGTTCTGTCAAAATCACTTTCCATCTGTCTTTACACAACTAATTCACATTTAACTTTAGGACTCTGCTCAGGTAGCTTCACTTGAGTTTCAAGCAACCTTACCTTGTCCTTCACCTCCCAGGTCTGAGTAAAGGAACTCTCAAATATATAGCCTATAAGTTTTATCCCACTGTATTCTGAAGTTTCTAATAGATTGGTTTTATTTTTTAAAATGTGTGCAAGAGTTATGTTATGAAACTTACCTGACAAGTTGCTGACAAATTTGACATCCTGGAAGGCATCTATAAAGAAGGTAAATTTATTACTTAAAGGGGAAAAGTTTTTTATAGTTTAAACTAACCTATATAAAATCTATATAAAAGTATAAAATGAAGGAAAATTATTATACAGTTTCTGTTTCAGTTGATATCATAGGTCATTTTTACACTTTATTTACACATTCAAGTAACTACTTTTTTAAACTCACATGTTTTTATATTTTTAAATACAAGTAGGTATAACATAAAATCCAGAAACTATAGGAGAAAAAACTGATAGATTTAATTATGTAAAAATACAACATTTCTACCTGATAAAAATGTGCCACTAATAGTTTGAAAACAAACTGAGAAAAATATTTGCAGAACAAAAGGTTGGTTTCCCTAATACACAGAGCTTCATCAAATCATTTTAAAAAGGAACATATATGAACATATAATTCACACTAAAAACATATATATGAAAAGATATTTGATTAGAAAAAGTATTTTTAAAAACCTTTATAGTAGACATATCTCTTGGGTAAGGGTGTATAAATTGATATAATCTCTATTGAAAGGCAAGTTGGCAGTACTGATCAAAATAAAAAATCTAGCCCTAACTGATTTGGCTCAGTGGATAGAGTATCGGCCTGTGGACTGAAGGGTCCCGGGTTCGATTCTGGTCAAGGACGTGTTGGTTGGTTGCAGGCACATCCCCAGTAGGGGGTGTGCAGGAGGCAGCTGATCGATGTTTCTCTCTCATCGATGTTTCTAACTCTTTATCCCTCTCCCTTCCTCTCTGTAAAAAAAAATCAATAAAATATATATTTAATAAATAAATAAATAAATAAATAAATAAAATAAAAATGTAGACTCATTCTCAAAATCTAATTCCAGTACTAAAAGTATAGGCTAAAAAGTAAAATGATTAATGGACAAGGTTTATTCACCACAGCTTTTTTCACCTCACAGCAAAAAGAAAAACAGAGCAGCTAGTGTCCATCAATTTAGGACTACTAAAACAAATTATGATACAGACATATAATTTAAAAAGATGGAACCATTAAGAACAAAGTGGTTATCATCAAGATAAAAACAATGAACTAAACAGTATGTATTTAGAGTAGAGAGGGAGGAGTAGAGAGACATCTATGTGGACATGCAAATATGGTATCTATTTCTGGAAGTTATTCCAAGAAATAGACAATGATAGTTTCCTTAAGGAAGGGGAATTTAAAAGGAGGCTTTCACTAATAACTTTTGGTACTTTGTAAATCCATTTGTTAACATATTCATATAAAATTAATTTTAAGCCTGACCAGCATGGCTCAGGAGTTGAGCATCGACCTATGAATGAGGAGGTCACGGTCCAATTCCCAGTCAGTGTATTATACATGCCCAGGTTGTGAGCTCCATCCCCAGTGTGGGGCGTGCAGGAGGCAGCCTATCAATGATTCTCTCTCATCACTGATGTTTCTCTCCCTCCCTCTCCTTTCCTGTCTGAAATCAACAAAAATATATATTAAAAATTTTAATTTTAGCTGAAACCAGTTTGGCTCAGTGGATAGAGCATCGGCTTGCAGACTAAAGGGTCCCAGGTTCGATTCCGGTCAAGGGCATGTACAGTGGTTGCAGGCACATTCCCAGTAGGGAGTGTGCAGGAGGCAGCTGATGGATGTTTCTCTCTCATTGATGTTTCTAACTCTGTATCCCTCTCCCTTCCTCTATAAAAAAAAAATCAATATTTTAAAATTCAATTTTAAAATCAATTAGTATAAAAAGAAATAACCAGTTGTGTTTACAAATTATGTCTCTTGTCAACAGCTACAGCTCAGGATACTTACTTAATATTAGCTTGAGATTCCTTTAACATTGAATGAGTACTTTTATTATTCTGATTGCAAAATGAAATTAACAACATTATAGAAAATAAATTCATTAAGGATAATACAATCTATTTTTTAAATAAAGCAATATTAACTTTATCTCAATGAAAGAACAATAGTGTTTTATTTTAGAACTGGCATACTGAACTATGGATATCTTAATTCTAAACCCCATCTCTATGAATTGTTATGGCTTTTAATATGCAAATTAGCAATACAATTTACATCTAAATTCCTAGAAGAGTCTAGAGGAAACAAAGGTATTTTTACCTGTGAGGGTCTTTGGAACTTGGTATAATGTATACACATTCTCTCTTGGTCAAAGTACTTTCTATCCAGGATTTCTGGGACTGAAACAAAAAGTTTTAAAATATGCTTTATACATTAACCCACTAATATTATAAGAAAATAATTTAATTACAAATACATGAAAAGAAATAGTTCTATACTATTTAATTATTTTTCAGTTTGCTAAATATTTATTACAAACTACATGCTTCCTGATGACAGCACACCTAAAATATTAGAATCATCCCATTTAAGTCCAGTGTGATTTACATTATTATATCTACAGTGTATGCAGATACTGTTACAAAGGAGGAAAATTAAGTTTTAGATTCCTACTATGAGCCAAAAACTTCAAGAGGGGCTGTTGTAACCATTGAAAAGGCAGTAACAGTGATTATCAGATTAATTAAAAAAAATAGAACCTTTCGGTGGCTCTTTCTAGAGGATTCCCACCCTTTCTTTCCTCTTAGTCATGCATCTTTACTTTTTTTCTCCTAAATTCTAAGAGTCCTCAGAAGGCTTGCAACTAGGGGAGCATTGGGCAGTAGTAACTCATCCTGGACTTACCCTAAAACCTGTCCCCAAGGTTCCATTCGCTCTGACTTTTAAGTGTGCTAACAGCAGCCCCACCATGACTTACTTCTTTAAAAGTTATAGGGAGCCAAAGCAGAGCATGCCTAGGTTCTCTCCTGATGCTTCTTGTATCTTAAGCTCTCCTTTTGTTTCACTGTCCCAGCTTTAATAAACATACTCCCAAATAAAAAAATCCTACATAATCCTCTATAATAAGAGTAATATGCAAATTGACCATCACTCTGACACACAAGATGGCCACCCCCATGTGTTCAAAGATGGCCACCACAGGAAGGCCAGCAGGGGAGGGCAGTTAGGGGCAACCAGGTTGGCAAGCGAGGACAGTTAGGGGTGACCAGGCTGGCAGGCAGCTGGGAGCCAACAGTCCTGGATTGTGAGAGAGATCTCCCAGATTGGAGAGGGTGCAGATCGGGCTGAGAGACACACACACCCTGTGCACAAATTTCATACACCAAGCCTCTAGTTGTAAATACAAACTTCTTTCATACTTAAAGGACAATTAAAATTTAATGTTTTATACCACTACTTAAGACTTTTGCCTGAATCCTTACACTGTGTATCTTGCTATGGGTAAATGATTAAAAAGGAATGAGACATGTACTGAGATAGGCAAAACTCCATAAATTAGGATAAAGATCTTGGGTTCCATCCTATATATATTCAGATGTAGACATATACAGTATTATATCTCACCAGAACAGTACAAAAAAGAAAAGCCAAAAGGAAACATCTAGAAGAGATATTCTGGACAAAATTATTATGGGTAAAGTTTTGTGAGCTCCTTCAAAATCATTCAGGTAATGTAATGATAAACAATAGTTTATCTCCCAAATTCTCCAATTCTAGCTCCAAACTTCCACCTGTCACTTAAAAATGTCAATTTCCTAAGTCAATGGTTCCCCTTTAAATAGAATCACTTCACATTTACTAAGAAAAAAATGCCTACAAACTTCTATCACATCTACCCACCAATGAGTATCTATACCCCATACTCTGCCTTTTTTCCTATAACTGTGCTCCTATTTAACTACAACAGATCCGTATGTGCTCTTGATCCCCTACCACTCACTAACTAAAGGACACACTCTACCAATTCTTCCTTTATTTTTCTCCTTCTTTATTAATTCATTCCCATCAACATGAAATATACTGTTCTCCACATTTAAAAAACAAAACACAAACTTTTGCTTGACTATACTTCCCTCTCAAGTTAATACTCCATGTTTCTGCCTCCATCTATAGCAAATTTCATTAGGAAAAGATTTTCCCTCTTTTCTTCTCCCACATTTTCTAAAACCCATTCCAGTCAAGTTTTCAAGCCAATGACTTCCTCTAAACCCAGGAGTCCACTTTCAGGACTCATCTTTATTGATATATCAACAGCATTTAACAGAGGTTGATCATTCTCATCTTTCTAAGACATCTTCATCAGATAGTTTTATTTTATTCCTTTCACTGGCCATTCCTTTGTTTCTCCTTGCTTATTCCTCTTCTCCCCAATATTTGGATTTCTTTTTTCCAATTATATTCACTCTTTTATTACTCACATCTAGTTTACCATCAATATATTGGTTGACTTACAATTTATACTTCCATGCCAGATCCTTTCCTCAACTCCATACTCATATATCCACTGTCAACTCAACAGCTTTATTTTGAGTCCAATAGGCATCTCAAAGTTAACATGGCCAAAACTAAACTCCTCTTTCACCCTCATTTCTCATTCAGTCTTCCACACCTCAATGAATGGACAGTTCTATTTTTATATTTATAAAAATCTTAGTGACATCCTTGATATTTTCTTCATATATTTTCCCATGAGCAAAACCTGTGAGCTTCAAACCATACTTAGAATCAACACTTTTTCATCCTCCACTGCTACCATTCTGATCCAAGCCATCATCATCTGTCTAACTTGGTGCCCTGGCCAGTGTGGCTCAATTGGTTGGGCATCACCCCTTATTCGGAGAAGTATTGTAGTTGGTTCCATTCCTGGTCAGGGCAAATGCCTAGGTTGTGGGCTCCATTCCCTGTAGGGGATGTGCAAGAAGGCAGTCAACCACCGTTTCCCTCGCACATAATTGTTTCTTTCTCCCTCTCCCTTCCTCACTCTCTAAAAATCAATAAGTATTATTTTTAAAAATAAATAAAACTGGACTCATCATTATAAAACTAAATAAATTTATAAAAGCCATCAAATTTGTATACTTACAAACAAAGGGCAAATTTTACAGTATATGCATGATTTTACAATAAATATGTTTAAAAGGAAGGGGAGGATTGACAGGCATGTAAAACAGAATAAGGTCAAATATATGGGTTTTTATTTTTTGTTAATCTTCACCCTAGGACATTTTTTCCAGAGAATGGAAGGGGGGGTGTGGAGAAAAGGGGAGGAAAGGGGAGAAAGGGAGAGGAATAAGAGGTGGGAGGGAGGGGAGAAAGAGAGAGAGAGAGAAATCGATGTGAGAGACACACATTGGTTGCCTCCCACACTCGCCCCAATGGGGCTGGGGATTGAACCTGAGACTCAGGTACTCGAATCTGAGACCCTTCGGTACACAAGGTGATGCTCTAACCACTGGGAAACAATGGCCAAGGCTCAAATGTATGATTACTCAGAGTTCCAAAAGGAGAAAATGGGCAGAGGAGATGTTTAAATAGATGATGAGAATTTCAGAGAACTGATGAAAAATTCTAATCTATAGATCCTGGAAACCCAATTACCAAAAAGAAAAATCCACATCTAAATATTATTAGTAAAATTTCACAAGATAAAGACAAGAAAACTTAATATAGTTAATTAGGCTAGATCTGAGGTAGAAAATTTCAGAAATGGCCTTCTATTATACTGTAAGTTTATACTTATAAAATACCTTGAGGCATGTATTTTCAAATGTAAATTTCCTAAAGATAGTGGATATTTATATAATAAATTGCTTTGTACAATAATTGAAGGACACAGGAATACAAAGCTCACCAAGGGGTTATTATTTGGCTCAACTGGAGATAAAGAATCATATCATACCACCTAGCCAGTGTGGCACACTTCTTGAGCACTCACCCATGAACCAGGAGGTTATGCATGGTTTGATTCCTGATCAGGGCACATGCCCAGGTTGCAGGCTCGATCCCTAGGAAAGGGTGTAGGAGGCAGCTGATGGATGATTCTCTCTCATCACTGATACTTCTCTCTCTTTTTCTCACTCTCTCCTATCTGAAATTAATAAAATAAATAAAAAATAAAAGAATCCCATAATACCATAGACCACACTTGCACCAGCATCTTAGAAAAACAGATCAGGGTCACAGGTTGCTAACAAAGGAATCCTAAGATCAACCATGCAGCTGAGAGCTCAAGTACAAGATGACAAGATACACATTGAGAAGATACAGGATTGCCTGACCTCATGCCCCTCAAAAGCCAATATTTCTCAATACAACCTCATAGACATAGCTTCCAAGGCCCCCACAAGGGATATGCCCAATTACAGGAGTCACCACATACACAGGAAAATTCAAAGCTATGACTTCCCTATTGCTAGATATTTAGTTTCACAACCCACATATAATTTACCCACATTATAAAAATGTTGCCTAAAAATATAGTTGAGTCCTGCCAGGTGGCTCAGCTGGTTGGAGCATCATCCCATACACCAAAAGATTGTGGGTTCGATCCCAACCAGAGCACATACTGGAGGCAACTGATCAGTATTTCTCCCTCTCAGCGATCTCTCTCCCTCCCCCCAACTCCCCTCTCCTCTCTTTTTTCTCTCCCTCTAAAATCAATATGAACATATTCTCAGGTAACGATTAAGAAATACAGCTAAGCCCTAGCTGGTTTGGCACAGTGGATAGAGCATTGCCGGCAGACCAAGGGATCCCAGTTTGGATTCCAGTCAAGGGATCTATTATCATTACCCAATTAAATGTGCTCTACTGCCGAAACCGGTTTGGCTCAGTGGTAGAGCGTCGGCTTGCAGACTGAAGGGTCCCGGGTTCGATTCCGGTCAAGGGCATGTACCTTGGTTGCGGGCACATCCCCGGTGGGGATTGTGCAAGAGGCAGCTGGTCCATGTTTCTCATCAACATTTCTAGCTCTCTCTCTCTCTCTCCCTTCCTCTCTGTAAAATATCAATAAAATGTATTTTTTTAAAAATGTGCTCTACTATCATTACCCAATTAAATGTGCCCTGGATTATAAATACTAGTACACATACATATAAATTCCTAAATTTATACTCCTCCTTTGGCCAGGCTGCATTATTGAATCTTACCAACAGATGGCACACTACAAACATAAATCTGAAAATTTCTAAACTTAAATGTTCTAGTAAAGTAAAAACGAATTATAATCACAAAATGTTAACACAAGAGAGAAAACTTAGTCAACTTAAGTGGCTAAAGAGATGCTGGTGTCAGATTAACCCAAGTTAGAATTCTAGCTCTGTTGTTCAGTATCTATGCA